AGTGTTGAGTCCGAGTGCTTCTGCTCGCCATATCGTCGGCTGCGTGGGGTAAATTAGGGGCGGCCGGACGTCCATGATCTCGGTGTGTCGGCGGATCCCCAAAGGACCGCGCAGCATGCCGATCCTGGAGCTCTAGAGCTTCGCCGAGTAAGTGATAAGTTGCCGACCTGGCGTTTCGGCACAAGACAAGTCCGTGGCTGTCACGGCCAACCCCATGTGTCCGGGCCGATCTGCTAGTGGCTTGGTGACCGAACGCAACACCGCTTCCCGAGAGTTCAAGCGACCTTGTTGCGTTGCCCGGTTCTGAGACCACCTCTTACCAAAAGGGGAATCAAGTAAACAAAGCTGCCGGTCAAGAGGGTTCCTGACATCGGGGGCATGGAACTCCGTCCTCCGGCACCATACTGTTGCTCCGGCCATCAGGCTTGTAGCACAAGATTTACCGGGTCTGTTCCGCGGCGGCCTTGCAGAAAACGTCTGTGGAAGCATTGCAGCGTCGTCTCGAAGTGATGCAAGCACATGACTGCCGAATGCCCATCGTTGATTCGGGTTGAATGGTCGGGCATCGCTGTGGACGATGCAGTACCAAATAACCTGTCTCCGCATCAGGCTCAATACCTGACGTGACTCTCTTGGGCACCTACACTGCACTTACCTAGGTCTCAGATGCTACCATTGACATGATTCCATCGTGGTAGATCATCTCTGGCAACAATGTAAGAAACGACCCTCGGGAAGCCGCGACACATATGCCAGGCCAACGCTATTTGCTGCCGCAGACGACCAGTCGGCTAAACAGAACGAAGTCCGGACCTTGTGGAACGTGATCTCTTCGGCCGTAGTCGGCTGTCGGCTCTCTGGCTCTCCGTTAATTACTGACGACTCTGTTCCAAAGTGCTTCGGCCCCGAAGGTGCTTCTGCAACAGTATCAACCATTAGCGTCACTCAACAGTGAGGCGCTCTTTCTCTCCGTCCATGCCCGAGGAAGGACAGCATCTCACTCGAACTAGCTTGTTGAAGCTCCGGACAGACACGCAAGCCAGCAAACGAGTTTACACGAGCTAAGGGGTCGATCATGGGGTTGGCCGTCGGCCATTCGCAACTTAGGAATAATGATGAGACTCAACGGACCCTAAATCCGGTAATGATGGGGAAGCAAGCCGAGAAAGGCCGCTGAGCACCTGTCAAACTCCCATCCCATGTTTTTGTTCCGTGAGCCGCAAAAAAGCCCCGTTGGGGTTGTGCAGACGCCTCCCGTTTCACACTGACAGGGGCAAACAGAATCTACACCTAGCTACGGATACACACTACGAATACCTACCTTCCCTTTCTGTCAGTCACGTCAGGCGCACAGACACGGACTCCCAAACATCGGCCGGACAAGAGGCTGGTACATAGAGTGGTAGGTGACTACCAGTACAGTAAGTAGCCTGTCTTGTTCTGATTGTATTGACAAGACCCTGAGGATATTTGGCCGTGACGGATAGGGTACCAGAGCACACGAGTGATGGCCGAGCCGTTCCTCAATACATAATATGTGTAAGTGGTAGAGCAGGGCCAACGTTCCCCGGATGTCACGTAGTATTGCAGTACAGCCAATTCGTTGTGTTGCTTGCTTCTTATGTGAAGATGCATGATGCAACACGCACCGTGACCGTTGAGGAGCCGCCGCCGTCTCTCCAGTCTCACTCACAGCCCGCGGACAAGCAAAGCAAGCAACACCGTTAGCCCGAGACGAACTGCTTCCCCCAACCTACGTAACCACTCGAGGGTAGAATCCGGCCAGGCACTATCACTGGCTGCTCCATGGCGGGGAACGAGACATACCTATCTTCGTACATTCCATGCCTGGTCTTGTCTTGTCTTGCATCCTGAGCACGCGGTAAAACCGTTTGGAGTGTCTCGTGCTGCTGTGACATCTGGTAACGTTACTAGATACCGCATACCGCATACCACATACCGCATACCACATACCACATACCACATACCACATACCACATACCACATACCACTACTTCATCCGGACTGGCCATCACCCATCACCGACGCACGCACTTCCCAACAAACCTGTCGGCACCGAAATACTTATTCAAGGGCCGAAGCACCGGGCTTGTTGTTGGGGGGAGGCTAGTCCATTCCTCTCTTGCTGCTAGGAGTCGGTACTACTAACGTAACTTCCCTTTGATGGCGTTGGCGAGATGGGGATGTTGAAGCTGAGGGGGGAAACGGATTCGGTGACTACGCCCTCCATAGTCCATATCTTACACACATCACCATGTTTGTTACTGGGTACTTAGCGCTCTATGGCAGGCAGTGTTATGGGAATGAGCCATGTATTTGCGGGAGAGAAGAGAGAAGGACCGTGGCAGTCAAAAGGAACACAGACCGGTTCACACCCACACCCACAGAGGAGCAGGAGCAGGAGCAGGAGTGAGCGGGAAACACCCGATAACAGCCACACCTACCTACCTACCTACCTACCTATCTTACTTACCAGGTACTGTACCTACCACTACCAGTGTAGGGTAAGTAAGGCAGGCAAAGTGGAAAGTGTGGTGTTACACACACCACGGTCCCGCCCGGCCGTTGGTTACGGTTACATACGTCGAGTCGACCGGCGGGCAGCACCCGGTGGACGCGTGGCGATATATTGCATATGATGCCTTACCTACCTCCTTACCCCCCGTCCCCGCCTATGAACCAATGCCCGCCGGCCGGACGACAACGGTCAAGATCTGCCCACATGAGCTCGTCCAGCGGGGTTGAGGATAGGGAACAGCGGGCTTTGGTTGGCTGGAGGTTTTGCTGAGTATGCGGCTTAAACTAACGTCACGGTGAGTTTTGGGAGAAAGGTGCGTCGTTTGGCTTACAGTCGGGATTTCGAAAAGGGGGTGGTTACGTACGTTTACACTATACTCTCTCGGTCAATCTCGGTGCGGGACTGGACTGGACAGTGCTCTGTGCTTTGGCATGGAGCCGCCTGGCGGTGATTCCCTGTGTTTCTGTTGGCTGGCTTGCTGCTTGCTGGTTAGTCGCTTGCTTGCTTGCTGCCACTGTCCGTCCGTCAGTCCGTCCGTCCCACATGGGCTTGCTCAGGCTTGGCTTGCTTTGCCTTCCTTGCCTAGCCTTACATCTGTCCGGAGGTGGACGCATCATCCCTTGGCTTCCCTCCCAGCCACGGTTTCTCTTTCCCTGTTACTGTACCTCCCTCCATTTCTTGTACCCCCTTGTCCAACATGACCCCCGACCAGAGACGGGCACCGGTCTGGGTATAAGAGGGCACATTCCCCCCTTCCCCCCTTTCCTCCCTCAAATGTGCTGACATGTCTGACTCGACCTCTGGATCTGACAACCACCATACCCGTTGCTGTTCCCGTTCATGGGTATGACGTTGCCACACCGGTGCGGCATGGCATGGGGTCACCCAAGCTCGGACGGGGCCGGCCACTAGCCATGAGGACTACGGCATGATGGGCCGTGTCAAGGATGGCTGATAACCAGGCCGTGGACAATGTTGGACGGCGACGACACTCTCACGAAACGATGAACACGGCATGGCGATCGTCGGCATTTGGCTTTGCAGATGAACGAATGTAGACCGATGAGTGGATTGACGGCACTACTGCTCGGCATGGAGTCATGGTCGTGGAGCTTGGCCAGGGAGGAAAACCTGAGCGGGAGGACTTGGGCTTATGGGATGGATTTTGGGAAGGGTGTTGAATGAGATGGGACCGTCCGGATGAATCGATGCAGCGCCGCGACCGTCCAATGCATCCAACGACAACCAGGCTACAGGTACCGAAGTGGCGATGTGGATGGTTCTGGAATGCTGTGCCCTACGAAAAGGCCAGGCAAGAGGATAGGAAATTATGGCACGCGACGGTGAAGGGGCCGGGCGGACTCTATCGGAGGATAGCAAAGAGGGAGGGACGAACAGATGGGTGAAAGGGGGTGAAGGTGTTGGAACTTGGACAGGGCCGACCCAGCGCGGAATCCCACGACAACCGACGCGATGTTGTGAAGTCAAAGCCGGAGCTTCAAAGGGAAGAGTTCTCGCTCGACAAGGGGATGTGGCACCCAGGCACTCGACCAATGTGCACGACTTCGACACCGAGCCATTGTTGGGTGGTGATCTGAGCGGCGAGCCACGTCCACTGAGAGTATGAGCGGATTCTCGACGGGAAACGCGCCCAGGGTTCACTGAAGCGACGATGAGATGGCTATCACTTGGGGCCAATTTCGGATGGGAATCTATCTCCCTCCGAAGGTATAAGGCGTTGAAATTGCTCAGGCCGAGGGGGAAGAGTGTCGAGCTGAAGTCCGAGAGTTCCTGGCATTTCCTCATTGAACCCGGGCACAAGTTCTGGGAAGCAGATCGCAGCTTCTCAGACCAGAAGAACAGGGCGGCAAGAGCCATTGCTGTCAAGTGGTAAGTCTTGCGTTCAAACAAGCCGTTTCTCTTCGGAAGGGCGACAGATTTTGGGGTCTACTCGTGGAATTTAATCCATCACCCTCTGATTCAGAGATCTGTAGAGCTGTAGAGCGTGGACACTGCAGAGGAGGGAGGGGGGGTGGTTTATACTGGCGTAGATTGGTGAGGCCGGGTTGGACTTTCCTTCCATTTGGGGAATTCAGGGGAGGAGTGGGCAAGGTAACGACGACGGGAAACAAATGACAATTGCTGCTCTGCGTTAGATGCGCTTTACCACACAATTCAGTTTGCGTGGAAGAAATAGGCTAGGAGCTGCATCTTCCTACATGAAGGGGTCTAAATACTGTACTGCATGTGCAGCATTGGATTTGTCCCTGAATTGAAGGGTTCCAGAAGTCGAGATTAACTTAACGTTAGCGGTGACAAGGTAAGGGTCCCAATAGCTTAGGTAGCTTATTCATCCCTCAAGAATAGCAGGGTTAGGGTAAGCCGCATGCCATCAATTCCATGATTTCTTCGGCCGAGAGCACGGGCCAGTCTCACCAGTTGCCTTGCTTAGGTACTGTGGAAGTTGGTGGGAGGGGGGATAACGCTACCAAACACTCATCATCGGCGAATAAAGCATCTATGACCAACGTTCTCTTCTAGCCCTGATCTGCAGCCTGCATATGAAAATATAAACAGGCAGTGTAAAGTCGTAAGCATTCTTGCTTCACACATTTCGAGGCTTCCCTCATTCCGAAGCTCCTGCCACACTCGGATGCTTTTTGAACCCGCAACAAAATGAAGGCCGTCTTTGCTGTTCCTGCGACGGTCCTACTCGTGCTTCGAGCCTACTCAAAAAAGTCGTTGACTCCAGGCGGAATCGTGGCCGCGACTCTCACAGCAATCGCTCATGCCGTTCATCCCTGGAACTTGCCATTTGTCTTACTCGTCGTCTTTTTCCTCGCGGGGACACGCGCAACCCATGTAAGCCGCCTACTACTATTTCTTTCTTGTCTTTCACAGTCCTCTGAAAGAGAAAACGTCCCAAGACTAATAATTGGAACCCATGCAGGTCAAGGAGAACGTCAAAGCTTCACTCACCCTGAAAGCAGGCGGCTCGTCGGGCGGCGAGGGTCCTCGGACGCACGTGCAGGTGCTTGCCAACTCGCTTACCGCCTCCATCCTCTCTCTGCTGCACGCCTACCAGCTGCGGTCACGCGAGCGGGCCCTGCTCGCCCACCACCACGAAACCTCCGATGCCGCCGGCAGCCTCTGCTTCTCCTGGGGCGGCGACCTCCTGGTGATCGGCATCATCGCAAACTACGCCTGTGTAGCCGCCGACACGTTCAGTTCCGAGCTGGGCATCCTGGCTACAGGCCAGCCGCGGCTCATCACCAGCCTCACCTTGCGCAAAGTACCGCGCGGAACCAACGGCGGCGTCACATTGACGGGCCTCGCTGCCGGCCTGCTCGGCAGCGTCATTATTGTCACGGCGGCCATGCTCTTTCTGCCCTTCTGCAGCGATGAGACTGCGGCCAGGCCAGGCGGCGGCGCGCCGTGGTCGATCGAGCAGCGCCGGACGCTGATTCTGGGCCTGACCGTCTGGGGGTTTCTGGGGAGTGTCGTGGACAGCGTGCTTGGTGGGCTATTTCAGCGCAGCGTCAAGGATGTCCGCAGCGGCAAGATTGTCGAGGGCGAAGGGGGCGTGCGGGTGCTTGTGTCGTCGCCTGGTGGTGCTGCTGCGGGCGTTCACCGTCCCGAGCATGAAAAGGACATGGGGGCCGACATCAAGTCTAGCCTGTTGCATGGGGAGGGCGAGGCTGCCGTTGAGGACACGAGCTCGGCGGCGGTTGAAGGCGAGGTCGGTGCCGATCGCTATGATCCGCGCAACAAGCACCGCCGGTCGAGCTTCGGCGACGAGAGGCCGTCGAGGATCGTTGAGAGCGGGTGGGATCTGCTGGACAACAATGACGTCAACTTTCTGATGGCGTTTTCCATGAGTATCGGTGCCATGGCGGTTGGCTCGTGGTATTGGCAGGTCCCGCTCTCATCGGTTTTTCCAACAACCAGGGCGCAATGATAAGTGTAAGGTTTCAAGAGTTGATGCTCCAATTGTTACGAATGTCCTTATTGATTGCAGGGGGGCCAGACATGGGTATTTCAAGGTCACCAATATGACCATCAACTGAAAACCGATGATCATATCTCTGCAGTGTGTGTCATTCAATATGAGAAAAGAAAAGACAGAGACTGGAAGCACATCTGGCAGAATTTAAGCTGCTCAATGTGTCCATCGTCGTGCAGTAAGTATAGAGGTACGTTAGTGCATTTTTGATGCGTTGTTAGGGGGCCGTGCTGCGTCATTCGTTGGGGACTGCAAAGTGCAAAGCATCGGGCTGTTGGGTCCCCACAAATCGTTAACATTTTCTACAGGGCAGCACTGCCAGTCGCCCGGGGCTGCCGTCGACTGTCGACTGTCGTTGGGGCAGGCAGGGGCTAGGGGACGCAGAACAAGGCTTCCCCTCACAAGCCCCTCGATTGATTTTCCTCCTCCCAAAAATCAGACATTGGATGCCCTTGGCAGCGAAAGCACACGAGGGCACCTCTTTAAATACCTTGACTGCCTTAGGGATGGTACAGTGAATGCCGTACTCCGTACCGCCGGTGATAGTGGACACTGCTTTGACCTCTTCTCCACCCGCACCAACCCGAAACCCCATTTATTAGTGTGCCAGTGGCAGCCGATAACACGTAGTTGGGCCGCCCCGCGGGTTCCATAGATCTGGAGCCGCGGCCGCAATGGCGCAGGCCTACGACGACGAGGAACTGTCCATCTCGCTCTCCCCATCACAGATCCGGCGCAACAGGCGATCAGGCGACGGAACCTCGACGCCTTTGCCTTCTCACCATCACCAGGACGCAACCAGGATGGCTTCGCCCGCCGGTACGAGTGGCTCGCTGCCACTGCGCGACAAGATGCGCAACGAGCAGCGCATCGGCGCCTACAATGTCGTCAAGACGCTTGGCGAGGGCAGCTTCGGCAAGGTCAAGCTGGCCGTGCATCGAGGCACCGGCCAGCAGGTGGCCCTCAAGATCATCTCGCGCAAGACGTTGATTAGCCGCGACATGCAGGGCCGTGTCGAGCGCGAGATTGAGTATCTGCAGCTGCTTCGCCATCCGCATATCATCAAGCTGTAGGCCCTCCGATCGACCATTTTGCAACCCCTGTTGTCTGTGGTCAAATCATCGCTGACCCGAGTTTTTCCTCATAAACAGATACACCGTTATCAAGACGCCAACCGAAATCATCATGGTGCTCGAGTATGCCGGGGGCGAACTGTTCGACTACATCGTCCAGCACGGCAAGATGCACGAGGATGAAGCCCGACGCTTCTTCCAGCAGATGCTGTGCGCCGTCGAGTACTGTCACCGACACAAGATTGTCCACCGCGATCTGAAGCCCGAGAACCTCCTGCTCGACGACAATCTCAACGTCAAGATTGCCGACTTTGGCCTGAGCAACATCATGACCGACGGCAACTTCCTCAAGACCAGCTGTGGTTCCCCAAACTACGCTGCCCCCGAAGTTATTGGCGGCAAGCTGTATGCCGGCCCGGAGGTGGATGTGTGGAGTTGCGGCGTTATTCTCTACGTTTTGCTCGTCGGCCGCCTGCCCTTTGACCACGAGCACATCCCTACCCTTTTCGCCAAGATTGCGCGCGGGAGCTACATGGTGCCGACCTGGATGAGCCCCGGCGCCGCGGCCCTCATTAAGAAGATGCTCGTCGTTAATCCCGTCCAGCGTGCTACCATCGAGGAGATCCGCCAGGACCCCTGGTTCCTCAAGGACCTGCCCACGTACCTTCACCCGCCCGTTGAAGAGTTCCTCAACACGGGTGTCGATCCGAACAAGGCCATCAAAGTTAGTGACATCGCGCCACATGCGCCCCCGCAGGAGCAAGAGAAACTTCATAACGAAGTCACCGAGAAGATCAGCAGGACAATGGGTTACGGGAAGCGGGACGTAGAAGAGGCCTTGGAGGCTGACGAGCCGTCGGTTATCAAAGACGCCTACATGATTGTGCGGGAGAACAAGCTCACCGAGAGCACCCGTAAGACTTACACTCCTTTTTGCCAGTGCAATAGTGCTAATACTGTGCCAGAACTGGCAGGTCTTGCAACTGATGATGCGACTCCGAGTCCCGCGTGGGATACAACCGCATCATGTGCCCGGTCTATAACGTCAAGCAGCACGGGGGCATCGGCGAGGCCATATGTCAGCAAAGTCGGCATCCTTCCTAGCAGTCTGCCGGCCTACCACAAGGTCTTCATGGAGCGTGAGAAGGCCAAAGCCGAAGGTGTTGAGGTGCCGGATGCGGCGCTTAACATGCCGCCGGAACCGGCCACTCAACCGCGGAGCCAGGCCGAACAAGAGGAAACGCTGCGGCGTCTCAAGCCGCATTCACGCAGCTTTGTCCGCCTGGACGATGCCGGCCGCCCCCAGGGACTCACTCCCGTCAACCCGCCAAAGAAAAGTAAGCCTATCAAGTGGCAGTTCGGGATAAGGTCTAGGAACGCCCCCTGGGAAGCGCTGGTCTGCATCTACAAGGCACTGTCCAAGCTGGGAGCGTCATGGCTGATAGACGAGGGCTACGACTCGGCCCGCGAGGACGACGACGATGACGGCTACGAACGTGCTCGGCGCGCACACTCGCGCCAGCAGAGCTCCTCGTCCAGTATCGATCCGAGAGAGCTCTACAAGCTCCCCGCCGACCCCTGGCACATCAGGATTCGCTGGACCACTGACAGTATGCCTCTCCCGTCTCACCCAGGTCAACGTGGTCATAACTTAATGCTAACCCGAACGCTAGAGCTCCAAAAACACATTGTTGGCCCTCGTGTGGGCGACGCCACGAACCCGTTTGTGGCGCGAGATGCGGTGGGCGGCTGGTGGCAGGTGCTTGCCATGCGCATGGACATACAGATCTACGAGATGGAGCATTCCGTCTACCTGGTCGATTTCAAGGTGGACGGGTACGAGACGCCCGACGGGAAGCTCCTCGAAGACAAGGAGGTGACCAGTCCGTTCCCGTTCCTCGACATGGCTGCGAAGCTTATCATGCAGTTGGCCGACGCGGATTGACAGCGGTTCTAGTTGACCTGTCTGTCCTTCTTCGTGTTTGGGTTTTCTGTTTTGCTTTCTCCCCTATGATTTCTTCTATCCTCTTTTGGCGTTCAGGCAGGTGCCAAAGTCATGTTGAGAGTCCAGCGACTGCTACATTTTTACCTTGGCTACCTACTCATGTCCCCCCTCGTATACTAATGATGGTCATTACGTTGGCAAAAGCTTTTTACTGTCTCGCGGGTATGAACAAGAAGCAGAGATTCATGACAAGGGGAGTGGGAGGGTTAGATTAGCGACGCGCATTAGTTATGCGTGGCGGCTGTTGGCATATTCTTGTTCGGGTAATTGCAGGGAAAGGGGGTACAGCGCTTGAGAGATTGATTCCTGAGGTGCGCAGGTTTCAGGCGGTCACGGCACATGGGGACTCGAGGCCTACGGTGTACATACAGTACTTGGACCTCACAGCGGCCAGGTTTGGGGGGTGATTATCTCGAATAAAGCGGGATGATGATACCCCTCCCAACTAACCATGAGAGAGATTGCCACCCACGTACTGTAGTAGAGTGAAAACTGCCCCAGCCAGATGCAAACGCAGCAGGGACATGCAAAATAATTCCTCAACAATGCTAACGGCAATGCCCCTTTCCGAAGTTACATGTCCCACGAAGGAGAACAGGAACTGAAGACCAGAAACCGATCACCAAGGAGAAGCCAAACCCCCATATATGCAACCTGGTAAGGGTAAACAAACAAATAGACAGACGGACAGAAAAATTATAGCGGGAAAAGAAAACAGCCCAGAAATGCTATCTAGTCGTCATAACTCGTAACAATCCACATATACACCCCCTCGATTGGGTAGGTATTCAACTTCTCCACACCAAGTCACCAGTTCCTGAGCCGAAGCCGATATACCCTCACCCCATCTCCAACCAAACCATCATCACCATCCTGATATGTATTACCTCCCGACAGTAACATTCCCGCCCTGAATCAGGGCACTCAGTTCCCACGAGTTGAGGGTGCTTCTCCTGCGGGCGGCAGTCTTGCTGGACCGAGCCGCGTCGGCCGGGTCTCGGTCTCTCCTCCTGACCCCGGCGCCGCGCTGCTTTTTGCTGCCAACCTCTCCTCCGACCACCTCCTCCTGCTGCTGCTGCTGTTGCTGCACAGACATATCCATGAACAGATCTTCTTTTTCATGCCGCCCGTCTCTATCCCCATCCCCATTCCTGTTCCTGTCCCCATCCTTATCCATATTCCGTTCCCCATGTCCCCCATCACCGTGTCCCCCTCCCCCTTCCAAACTTGAACTCGTTCCGAGTCCTACAGCAGGCGCACCTTCCGACCTAGCGGTACCCGCCATGCCACCACCCTCGGAATCATGATCATCGGCCCTTGCACTATCCGCGGCAGTAATAGTAGTAGTAGTACTCGCGGCAGTCATCACCCCAACCCCAGAAGACACACCATTGACGCTGACACTAGCACTAACACCCTTGTTACTGTTATTATTATTATTATTCCGCCTCGCCGCCGCAGCCTTGAGCTTGGCCCTGACGCGCGCGGCATCGGCCTCGCGCTCCGACGCGGCCAGCTTGGCGGCGATGGTCGCCATGGTCAGGGGCGACTGTTGTGGCGGCGGCAGCGGGCAGTTCCCGTTTCCGATGCTGTTGCCGTTGCCGTTGCCACCGTTCCCGTTTCGGGGCAGTGGTAGGCGTGAGTTGACCCGCCACGGCGAGCGGCTCGGCGACGGTGCGGGCGGAGGCCCCATGGTCGTGCTGGTGGTGGTGGTGGTGGCATCTGTGTTCTTGCTGCTGCTGCTGTTGCTGCCGGCGGATTTGGTGGATGTAGTAGTGGAGGCGGCGGATTTGGCTGAGCATGTAGTCGAAGTTGAGGCGGCCGACCGGGTTAACGGTGGCGGTTTGGCGGCGGCTTGTTGTTGTTGTTGTGTGTCCCGCTCGTCCCTACGGGTCTGCGACCGGCCTCGTGTGTGGGTTGGACCGGCAGGCCGTGATTTTGATGGCGGTTTCGATGGGAGCTTGGATGAAACCTTGGATTCTTCGTGGCTTTTCTTTCTTGTTACGGGAGACGGCCGTTTTTGACTCCTTGTGGAAGTCGCCGAGGCCTTAGGCGGTGGTTCCTCTGTGGGTTTGACGAGAGATACGCTGTCAATCGACGTGTCCGGCGTCGAGACAACCGCAGATTGCGGCAGGGGTATCTCGGCAGCTTCCTCCGGTGGCACCGTGCGTAGTGATAGCACCGGCTTCTTTTGCGGTGGTTGTTGTGGTTTCTCCGGAGCATTGGGAGGGGGTAATGAGGCCTCCTCGGGCGCGAGGTCAAACGCATCTTCTTCGGCGATAGCAGGGTAGCCTCTTTGCCGGCGTCTGTTATCTGAACGTCCACCTCTGTTACCTGCCGTGTAAGAATCACGCAGGGGGCTGATTTGCGGAGCCGGGGGTAAGGGTGGTGAGGAGAGCATGACGGACTGCTGGAGAATCTGGACGTTTGGCTCTTCCACATCTAGGTCGTCCACGTTTACGTGGTCTTGGAATATGCTCGAGGCATCGCTTTCCTCGCCATCCTCAATGTCGTGCTCCGGGACCAGGTTGAGTGGCTCCTCTTGAGAGGGCGCTTGCTCAAACTCGGCTTCCTCAGCATCCTCGGGCACAGCCGCCAAGCAAAGGCGGTATCCTTGAGAGGTTTCCTCGACATTATGCACCTTTACTGGGCTGAGTCGCAGGCCCATTTTCAGCTCCTCGACGTTGACTGGCCGTCCGCTGGCCTGCATCCGCTTGCGCCACCCATCGATGAGATGGACGGCCTCCTTCCATCGCGTCTCCATCTTCTCCCAACCGTCGCGCAGCCTGTGGATCTCGTCTTCTCGCACAACCACCTCCTCGATGGGAACAAACGATGGGTTCGTCAGAATGGTGCGGAGATGTTCGAGCACGGCATCGACTTCGTTTGATATTTCGGCGCAGCTCGATGGCAGCGCAAGGGCATGGCCATATCCATTCTCGGCCGTAGCCCCGATACCGGCATCCCAGCCGCTCATCTCTTTTAGCTGCTCCATCGTCCTCCTGACCAGATGGAGGAGAGCCTCGTTCTCCTCGCTAAGACCCTTGGCCAGCTCGGCCAGAAACGAGTTCGTTTCCATACGCAAGTCGTAGCCCTCGTTCGCCGTGCCACCTGTGGGCAGCCCTGGGCCGGTGTCTGACCCAACGTCGCCGACTACCGTGATAGTAGTGATGCCGGGGTTTTTGCTGGCGCCTCTCGCGCGGCCAGCCTCTGTGACGGCCTTCTTGAGGCCTTCAATCTGGCGATCCCGCTTGCGCACCTCATTTGCACAGGCCGCTCTTGTTTGGGCGACGAGTGTTTTTGTTCGTGCAGCCTCCTCCTTCAAGCGGTGTATCGTGGCTTCTGCTGTTTTGAGATGTGTCCGCAGAGCAGCTTCTGCAGCCTCGCTGAGCCCGACCTTGCGCTGCGCCTCGGCGTGCTTTTCCTGTAGTCTCTGGATGTCGTTGGTCTGTCGCAACGACTCGGCGCGAAGGGCTCGCAGGGTGGCTGAAAGCGATTCCCGGTGCTCGGCATCGCGCTGGTCGCAACTGTCAGCTTCGTCCATGCCCCGGAAAGCAGTTAATCATTCAATGGTTGCTCACATCTCGTCTGAGAATCAGGTCGTTGACTACGCCGATGATTCGGCTCATGGTCTCGGCGACCTCGGCATCGCTGTCGCCGGGATGTGTAAAATCGATGCTGTTGCCATCGCGCAGAAGTCCCCGGGACAACAGCTGGTTGTTGATATACAGCGACGCTGTACGCAAGTTCTCGGACTCGATCATCGTGGCCGACGTCTGAACCTCATCAGTCCTTTAGCTTCTGACTAAACTTTTCCAGTTTCCAGCCGGGAGAAAGGGAAAATTGGTTGACAGAATATGACAGGGGCCAGGAAAGATGCAGATTTTGTTTGAGGACCCTGTTCTCTGTCTGAAAAAAGGGGATCAAATTGTCAAGGATGCTATCATTCCCAGAATGGCCAGGAGCCCGGATGCCAATGGAACGCAGCAATCTTCATCCGCGGTTGGTGGCTGTTTATTTGGCGGGGCGTTGCTGTGGCAGCAGCAGTCAATCGGCAAGGGTCATTCACTGTCGTCAAAGGGGCTGCTAACACTACGAACCCTAACCCTCCTCAGTCTGAGATTTTCACCATACCCTATTCAATTGACGTTAATATGGGCAAACATTCCGGACGCTCGCTGCAGAATGCAGATCCATATTATTTTGTCTCTTTGACGCTGTTTGCTGTTCCCGCAGTAATTAGTTGGTAAACTATTGACGAAGCTAACTACTGTGCCGCCCAAGGAACCGCTGTCTCGGAATCGTGAACCGATCTTCATCAGCTTAGGTATCCTGAGGGTGTCAAAGTCAGCCAGGGTCTCCACAACTGAGCGGCACGGACGTGTGGGCATACGAGTCCACAGCAAGAATGATACTCAGACAGTTTGAGAAGATTATTGGAAGCGCGGTTTCTTTCAGCATACAGCCCTTCGTCCCCGGGAGGATTCCCGTGAACGATATGGATGGTCTGATGGCCCCGCGTGCGTCATCACAGTATGGGCAGATATCGGGGATAGGGAGATGAAGACGACTCACCAGTCTTAATAATGGTGCCGAGTTTTGCAGCCAGTTACGGCGTGCCTTTAACAAGCCCGGATTGACGGCTCCGTGATATTGAACCACGACTGGCTGTTCTTCGCCCTGTCAGCGATAGCGAAATGGGGCCACCTGGATCTCGCTCTATCGAGAACCCAGAATGAACGTTTTATGCCTCGGGCACGAATTTGCCCCTCTTCTCTCGCATAGCTGACAGCTTCTTGCGGTCTTCGTCGAACCGCTTGAGCAGCTCGGCCTGCTCGGCCTTCTTGCGTTCCCTCAGTTGGAACCGATAGAAGTTGATCAGCTCTTCCTTCTTCTTCTCTTGCTTCTCCACCATCTTGCGCTTGGCCTCCTCGGCTTCGTTCCGGCTAGCCGGCGCATTCCGGCCTCCTCGCGTGACCGTGACGAACCCGTCCTCGTCAGGCTCGTTCCGTAGCCGCTTGGCAATCTCAGCCGCCTCCTGCTCGCGGCGGGCAAACAGCTCCGAGAAGGCGTCTACCGACGCTTGGAGCGCGTCCCTATCCGGGTACGACAGCCGGTTGTGGGCCTTTAGCCAGATCGAGCCGAGAGGGGGAACTTTGCCCTCCGGCAAGTTCTCACCCCAGGTAGGGTACATTTTGGTCCGGTGCAGCTTTGCGATTGCCTTGAGCACTTGGTCTACACTCTTTTCGTCGGCCAGCAGCACCACGGCCGTGCACCCGCTCCGCCGTAAAGGCCGAGTCCAGGTGCTAGGGAGACGCGCCGCGGCTTCCTCCCTTGCCCGCTCCGCTTCTTCATCTTCGCGCTTGCGTTTCTTGCTGGCACTGCCGTGCGCTTGTAGAAGGCGGACAGCGGAGACGGGCTGGGCAGCGTCAAGTGGGGACTGTGATTGTGCTTCTTTCCGCTCATCCTCAAAACTGACGCTTTGAAAGCGGCCCGCCCCTACCAGCGAGGCGAAGAGGGCACGGAGGTGGGCATCACTGCTGTCGACGGGTACGTTGGTAAGGAACAAGCTTCGGGCGTCGGTCGGCGTGGGAATTTTTGGTGTGTTGCGCCGCACGTAGAGGTAGTGGACGACACTTTTGGGGAAAGACGGTAACGGGGGAATCGACACCGGGAGGACAGAGAAGTCCGCAATGACGGGGGGACTGGAAGGCATTTTTGCACGGCTGGGCGTTGGACGATGTGGTATAACCTGCCCTCGGCCGGCAATTGCTTGAAGAATTGGGAATTGGGATTGTTTGTCCCCAAGAAACTTTTGTGCCCCACATCAGCTTGCCAAGAAGTGGGTACGTTATCGAATGCTTTTTATTGGCCGCTACCTATCTACGAGTGGATCGCTGGCCGATAAGAACTCGATTGAGGATTCGAGGTCGATCCCCTGGTTCCTTTCTCACCTCGGAACTCTCAACCCTCAACCCTCAACCTTTGTGTCCATCTCGAAGGCCAGCTTGCCGGACGGCTTGGTTTCAGTTGTTCAGAAATCGCGTGGCCTGGTCTCTTCACTTTTTCAGACTCAACCAATTTATTTCATTCTCCTAGTTTTGTCGTAGGAGATGGCAGATATGGAATGCCAAGGGCGGTGGATGCTGACCAAGACTGATGCAACGCTGTTTTGCGCTAATATTAGGGTCGCCGCAGCACTCGAAATGTTGGCGACACCCTCACCACAGCTTTCTTTGTGGTGATCAGGTCCTCAATCGCAGCAGTCACGATGGCCGGCTTGGATGGTGCAACATCGAATTTTCGACTAGCCTCCCTCAGAGCCCTCACCACGGTTACGAGGCGGACTAGACGCGACACACCATCACAAGCACCAATTTTGCTCAAATTCCGGTCGTCTACTGCCTTCATCCTGTTCACTGTGTGCATGGCAATTTTCACCGATATCTTCTTCTACGGCTTGATTGTGCCCGTCATCCCATTCAGTCTCTCCGCCCAGGTCGGCGTGCCCGAAGATCAAGTGCAGCACTGGACCGCCATCCTGCTCGCCTGCTACAATGCTGCGCTTTTTGTCGGGAGCCCGCTTGCTGGGCTCTTCGCAGATCACATCTCGTCACGCCGTCTGCCTCTTCTCCTTGGCTTGATCGCCCTCTGTGGATCCACGCTGCTGCTGTGCCTGGGAAAGACAGTCGCACTGCTTGTCCTGGGCCGGATCCTCCAGGGCCTCAGCGCCGCCATTGTCTGGTCGGTCGGGCTGGCACTTCTCGTCGACACCGTCGGGAGAGACATCGGGTACTCGATGGGCTATGTGAGTATTGCAATGTCGGTTGGCCTGCTGATATCGCCTGTCATTGGCGGCGCCGTCTATGCGAACGCAGGCTACTATGCTGTGTACTATATCGCATTTGCCATCATCTTGTGCGATATTGCTCTCCGTCTGGTCTTGATCGAGAAAAAAGTCTCCAGCCAATGGCTCGATGGCGGCAACAGCGGAGATCGCGGCGCGCCATGTCCAGAGGATCTCGGCGCAGCTCGAAAGGACACTGCTGTAGCGGATGGCGCCCGGGCACGGACCGAGACCGAGAAGGGGCACGAGGGTGACTCTGCAGCCTCGTGCTCACCGACCCCCACCGGAATCTGTCCCGTTGCAGAACCATCTAACGCTACTGGCCCCATCGTTGCAAAGCATCCGCACTGGGAGTTGATCAAGTCCAGAAGGATCCTTGCTACCCTACTAGGAGCCGTCATCCAAGCTACCATCGTGTAAGCAGCATCTGACATGCCCGGAGCGTAGTCCGATAGGCTGCGGTTACTAATGAACGGCCCTCAGCTTTGGATTCGATACAGTAGTGCCGCTCTATGTCAAGGCAACTTTCCAGTGGAATTCCACCGCCGCTGGTCTGCTCTTCATCTGCGTTATGATCCCAGGCTTTGCGTCCCCGTTGGTAGGGAAACTTTCGGACCGCTTTGGCGCCAAGTGGCTATCTTCGGCTGGCTTTGCCATCTCCATTCCTCCCTTAGTCTGCCTACGTTTTGTGACGAGTAATACGGTTGAGCACAAGGTTTTGCTCTGCGCGTTGCTTACTTTGCTGGGTGCTACACTGATGGCACTTGCCACTACACCACTCATGGCCGAGATGACCTACGCGATTGACGAAAAGGAGACGCTGCTACCGGGAGCCTGGGGTGAGAAGGGCGTCTACGGCATTGCATACGGCCTATGGACCACCGCCTTCGCACTAGGCGGCACTATCGGCAGCATCATGTCTGGCTACCTGAACGCCGGGCCAGGCTGGGGAACAACAACTTGGAGCCTGGCTCTGTGGGCTGCGGTTGGAGCGTTTGTTTCTCTTGGCTTCGGATCAAAGCCCAACGAGCCTAATCCTACTGCCCGCCCGACGACTAGCCATAATGAGCGACTACGTTCCGTAGCTCGAGAGCAAGCGTGACAGCGTAGCGGGTTGCATCTTCCGAACGGCGTCATACATGGTCAATATCTGACGGAATGTTTCTGGAGAAGCCACCGTCTCACCAGAATTCTCTGCATTGACGGTGTAACACTCTTCCCCTGCAAGTCCTGCAAGCCGCCATGCTCATATTTCAATGGTGATGCGTCCGATACCCCTGCTGACGCATGCCAACATGGACGTCGCCTTCTCGGCTTCCGTGAGTGCACTTCCCCGGTGGTCTACCCGACCATCCCGGAGACTCACCCGGCATGTGCCACAGTTGCCAACACCGCAGCTGGAATCAACATCGTCGAAGTGTTTTTGGAGGCACTCCAGCAGCGTCTCCTCCTCTCCTACTTTGATAAGCCTGTCGCCCTTGTTGGCCACTACCGCCTCGAAGGGATCACCCGAGATTTCGGCCTCGAATGCCTCAAAGTGCACCTCCCCGTCAGCAATGCCATGTGCTTTCGTCTCCTTGGCCGCCTCATCCATGAGACGCTTCGGTCCGCAGAAATACAACTGCGAATTCCAACGCATGTTCTCAATAATTCGGCGCACGTCGAGCCGCTGCCCTGCAGCCTTGTCGTAGATCACGACGCAGTCGTCGCCCAGCCTAGCCAGACGATCACGGAAGGGCACGTCGTCGGCTGAGCGCACCGCATAGTGCAGCCCCACGCTGTAGTGGATCTTCCTGTACTGTTCCACCAGTGAGAGGAAGGCCGTGATGCCAACCCCGCCAGCCACGAAGATGTGATGGCTCGCGGCGCTGACGACGGGTACTGAGCCCGTGATGGCGCCAACCTGCACCGTATGCCCGACTTGGACCGTCTCGTGCAGGTACCTGGACCCACCGCGGCTCTTCTCGCCCAGCGCGATCCCCAGCTGGAACCGATTCCGGTTGCCGTCGACAATAGAGTAAGCCCTCACGAGACCATTACCGAGCCTGAGTTTGGCGTGCGCCCCGGGCTTGAGCTCAATCTCCTCATCGCCATCATTGCCAAGTGGCTCGACTGCCTCAAGGACGAACGACGCGATCCTCGCCGTCTGCCGCGTCCTTTCCACAACCCTATACTCTCTCCACTTCTGTGCTTGTTTAGCACCCTGCAATGACTCTCGCCGCTCCTTGGCCCGCTGCTTAGCCACCCGAGTCCGGAACGCGTTCTTGCACTCGGCACCGAACTCGTCGATCCCCGCTAACTCCTCGTTCATCGCCGCGTCCCCGGGGTTCCTGTGCAGATACTCCTGCACCCGCTCGATTGTCCACGTCGGATGCGGCCGTGACACCAATCGGACCACATCGCCTGCGCGCACAGTCCCCTCCCGCAGCACCCGGAAATACCAACCCGTCCGACTAGTCTTCCACGTGTTTGGAGCAAAGTTCTTGAGCTGGAAGCGCTGGTTGAGCTTGAAGCATGGCTGTCGGGGGAGGCTGACCTGCAGGAGGAGGGATTCCGGTTGAGGGGTTGATGCGTCGCCGTTGGCAGAGTCAGGGTTGGAAGTAATCACCTCAAGGGTATCGCCTATGCAGAGGTTCCGCTCGTTGAGGTGGGCAAAGACTAGATTCTCCCCAAACCCGCCTGGTAGGAATGATTCTGCTGCCGAGGGGAACTCGGCTTGCCAGGTGGGGTAGTGGGAGCAGCAATCTACGTTGGACGGCGTCGGTGAGTGAAGGGTGCTATCTTGATTGGAAATGGAGGGATGAAAGGTTTGCTGAGAACGAAAATCGAATGGAAGATTGGATATACCGATGTATACACTCAAAATATCAGACGCTCAAATGCCTTGGACAAGTACAGATATAATCTATGTTGGACAACACAAAAGCTCAACACAGTTTCATCCCACTCAACAAAGTAAACAGAACTTACAACCGTGCACGGCCTTGTCAAGGCCCCCGTGAAAGGTAGGATCGTGCTCGTCGCCCTCGAGTCCCATCTTGGTCACGCGCACCGGCCCGTCGCGGATCGTCTTGTCAATGCCCGATTGCACGGCAAGCCCGCGCACTAGCGGCTTCATCTTGCCTGTGCGGACTTGCAGGATGGTGTCGCTCGTAAAGGGGGCGTACAGGTCCACTTGGGTCCTCTGAGTCTCATCATTGTCATGAGATCGAGATTGGAATTGAGCGATGTGCCTTGGTTCAAGGGCAGGGACAGGTTGTTTTGCCATGATTAATCAAGGTGAATCTGATTATTGTATCCCGTCGCTCCTGTATATGTAAAAATGGTATATGGGTCTGGGATTGGGTGTATTCTCGTGATGTCTTTTCCGTTGAGCGGCGAGAACGCGCGGGGCAGGAGGAGTTGGGTGAGTGAAATTGTGGTTCGTGGACCTCGTATCAACGGTCGAGTAAGAGAAGTGGGAAATATCTCCACTTATTTGACTAAGCGCACGCTGCTTGACTGAGAATCGTGTTCTACATCATTTTCTACAGTATATGCTTTGTGAGAAGGGTACAGTTCGTGCATCTTGTATGCCCGTGAACTACGGAGTATACGGTAATATATGAAACCGGCTACCAAGGTCGGCCAATTCGACCTAGATATGGAACGAGGATGGCTTGATAATCTAAATAGCAATCATGAGAGCCTTTTACATATGTATATATATATATATATATAACTATATATATATATATTATATAGTTATATCTCTTTTTGCCCCTTTTTTAGTCTCTGCCTTTTTTCGCACTCCTTGCTTCTCGTTCTACCTTTCTCGTTTTCTACTCATATCGTGTGCTAGTGGGTATGATTTGACTTATATGTAGACCCTATGCTGCAGAATCACCAGCCGACACGCACCGCGAGCGGCAGCGTATTGGCTTGTCTGATACTCAGATCTCGAGTTCCTTCACACCTAGCGCGGAGAGGCGGCTCCTTAACCTGTTGGACATCATTACCAACACTGTGACATGTATAGCTATTCTGAGGAGGGAAGACATAATGTTGCCGACCTTGATGTCAAAGACCGCCCTCTCCTCGATAGACATCGTAATTCTCTCCTCGTTCCCGCCATAGTCGGGTAGCAATACTCTCCGAGGCTACCCGTAATTTCCAGAGCGCTCGAGGTATGAGGGCCTGATTGAAAGGTACTGATTCACCTGGGACAACCTCTTAAGTAAAGAGAGCATCAATTCTCCACGGGTTTAGGCCTCATGCCTAAAATAGGTGGCTTCAGCCTCTCTTCATCTTTGCTTCAAGTTGCTCCCGTCAGCCCCCGCGCGTGGACGAAAAAAGGCCCGTCAGATGCCACGAGACCTCAAGAAGAAAGCCAGGCTGGCGTCCAGCCAACCCCGTTGGACAGACTGAAGCTTATGGTGACAGCCCAGCCTTCTCACCTTGAGTATCTGGTTGGCCCTGGATGTGACTGGATATCAAAGCCGAAGGCCAAGTGATTTGGCAGCCGGATCACTTCTTAATACGATAATTAGCGTTGGTTACACGGATTTCACTCGGATTTTCTCTGTCACTGGTTCCTCACCGCTGGTGTGGCAATTGCGGCTACCACGACAGTCATGAAGTGAATAGCTTATGTACTTATATAGTATATAACCATTTAGGGACAGGAAAAGAGGTAATAAAGGGAAAGGGAAAGGTGAGGAGAGTGGGCGTCGTTAGCATCCGCAAGGATGCATGGCCACGGGATCACAAGTTGCTGTCAGGGCCCGGCGAATAGCGCAGGTGGAATCGTGTGGTGAGAAGCGAAAAAGAGTCCAGATTCTCGCCGGCTGAGAGAAGTGGGCGGAGGGAGCTGCTACACGTGTTGAAAGAGCCGCAAGAGCCGCATTTATGCCGGCCTTATTACCTTCAAGTTCTCAACCTGGATGCAGCCGATACCCAAATTGTGCATGCGGCGGGGGTCAAGTGCGTCGGCACGACAGGGCGGGGAAGATATAATGTCTTGAATTCCATTCGTCATGGGGTTTCGGAATCAAGCCATTGATTGCAGCTGAAACGGCCAAGTAAGGTACTTGTACCGTACATACAATACAAGTACGCAACTATGTAACGTTGGGCAGTTTAGGCAGTTCTTGAGAAGCTGGGTCGAGTGTTGTTTGTCATTAGGGAGAGATTGTACATACATATATGATGCAGGCGGCCGAATAAGCTCCGGGAACCTGATCCTGGCGGGGCAAGTTGAGGCTCAAAACTCCCAAACGAGCTGTCTTTAAGGCTGCCCCATCTGCCCCATGTGATTGGCTGAATCGCTGGAGGCCTGCTCCAAGTCAACTGAGCCAAACTCCACTCGATGTTTTTTACCCTCTTTGGGCATCGATCAAGGTTGGGTGGGACTGGAGAGTTGCTGTGCTAGTGTGCAGAGCCGCAGTTTTTTGCAAACGATAACCTGAAGTGCACCGAGCTAACAGTATAATCACACTGTACAGTACACGGTATTACAGAGTGCTTACACATATCGTTTCGTGCTACTGTGCACACTGCACATGTCACGATACTTTTGCGAGAGACAGCCCCCTGTGCCGATGGCTCTCGGAACTGAGAAAAGAGCCGCATCACATTCCCATCCCGCATGGAAACACACCATTGCAGCTAAGCAATTCACCTTCGGTATAAACGGCATGCCGCGTTGGGCACTGTGCTCTTATCCCGCGGAAAGTGCGTATAGTAAACAGTCGAGTCATAATACTCCCGCCGAAAAGGAATAAACCGAGGCGAGGGCTGGAGGCCTTGACGGAGAACAGAGCCTTGTCAAGTGAGGTATTCCATGCAGGTTTATACGAGAGGTGTGAATTTGTCCTATTTTCTCTGGTCCTACTCCACCCCTCCCATGTCGATACTCCGACGTCGATACTAACTGGAAGGTCCCATCGCGGAGCCTTGCCTTGGTCCCAGGTACCTACCCGTATCCCTCCTTCTTCTCCGTTCCAGTTTCCTGTCATTGATCTTCTGGACTTTCCAAGTATAACTGCCTTCGTTGGCCGCAGTTTCTGCTGAAATATTGCCTGCCATGTGCCCCTTCCCAACTCTTTTCTACGTTTGACCCCCGTTTGACCCCTCCCCTCCCCTCTTTTTCAATGGTTGCCAGCAAATCTTCCTGGGAAATTCCCCTGGTGGTGCCTCATGTCCCTCGTCAAACTTCCATACGAGCTCGTAGCTTATGTGATTCAACATCTCGACCTTGGCGAGATCCGCAGCTTGAGCCTGTCGTGCAGAAAATTCCAGTTTCTGCTTCATGAACCAAACATTGCGAAACTGATCCTCGAGGTAGGCCACCTAATTATCTCGCTCATACGTTTCCGCATAGCAAGCACTTTAACTGATGGATAAGCCTAGACAAAAGCTCCGTACTCACTTGAAGCCGGAATTGCTCGGAACAGTAAGCGTTACGGCAAAGAGTTGAGACGGCTTATAAAGCGCCGGGAGGCCATAACCTCCGTCTCTCCCTATCTTGTGGCAATCGTGGGCTATGCCGACACCTGGATCTACGAGAACGGTCTTCTCTGCTATACCCGAGGCGGTCAACTCCGCATCTTGGACTTGCACCATGCGGCTACTTGCGAGATTGTTGTCAACATTCGCAAACTCGTTGACACGGCTATCCAAGAGCGCCGGGAGGGCACAAAGTACAGGTTTCAACTCCTGTATTGCGCTTATGGCATCATCTCGTGCCTGTACACGCATGCCAACACCCCCGCCAAGCACGCCGAGGGAGGCTATGCCAGCTGGCTTGTTGCCTTCGACCCCCAGAACAGTAAGATCATCATTGTGGCACCCCTCGACTCTACCTACAAGATCTTTGTACGCAATGACGACAAGTTTCTCTACTACGGTACCAATTCTGAGATGGGCCGGGACGGCTACCGCCGCTGGGTGATCCGTGGGTTTGATCTTGTCAAAGGCGACTGGCTGGATCAAAGACTTGATATAGGCGCCGTGATTGGCTCTGACATTGGTTCCACCGTCACTTTCGGCATCTTTGATGGCTACTTCTACGGAGTTTCGAACCAGACGAGCCTTGAAGTCGAGGAGGTTGACTGGGTGTCCTACTACATCTGTTTCAGGTTCCCTCTTACCCGGCGCGGCTTTCAATGCTTTGAGCAAGCACCTCGGCAGCAATTCTGGCGAAGAGATCAGGCAGAGGGGCCCATTGACGACCGCTGGACCTTTCTTCGCATGTTTAAAGACGAGACCACCGGCCAGCTTAAGGTTGTCGAGTCCAGAAAGGAGTGGCTCTCTGCTCGCATATCAGCGAGACGCACATATTATACAACTGTCATCGACTTCCAAGATCCGGCCATCAGGCAGGCTTGGGACGGGCCTGGACGCCGAGTGTCTTCAGATACTGAGCCATTAGGATCCGAACGAGCGACAACGCAGAAAACAAGTCCTGCGGCGACCGTCCGAAGGAATCCTCATTTGGTCCATCCGGGCGATGACAGCGCGTCGGATTTGACGTTTACGCTGAGCAAATGTCCGATTCGTTCATACCACCCATCTTGTCAGACTTTCCTTGATCTAATAGACGATTCGACATTTTTCGAGCCGAATGACCAGCGAATCCGCATTCGCGGGGGCTCACGCCGCCGTCTGACGCCCAGAGAGCTTGAGCAACGCAAATGCGCAAAGCCGGCACCGACATCGGACCACCAAGATACGTTTCTAGAACAGACTACAAGTCTATACCAGAGCGAGCCTGTTGTATTCTGGCCGCCAGACCTGAACTCGTCATCCACAGATCCTGCTCTTGCCGACCTGTATGCGATTCTCAACCCGCCAGGGCACGTTGGGAATCTACACGGCAGTTGGGACGATCGCTCACTCATCTACGCTACTGGAGGCAAGGCAAAGGCCTTGGTGTTTATTTCCTGGGATCCTTTCATCCGTCTAGCCGGCATTCCAGCATATCCCCTTCACACGCTTCCCGGTACGCCCACGAGTCCGACCAACGGCGACTCAGCAAGCCGCCAGTCCTACCTTCCAACGATCCCTCCACACCAAGGGAAAGGAAAGAACTGTGACACCGCAGGGTGGCCCCCAACCTCACAGCTCGGTGCATCATCTGGGCCCTCCCTGAACTTGAAGGCAGGTCTAGTCTCTGAGGCAACGAACCACCCCGATTCCTCGTCCTGGAGAGTGTTTGAACCAGCTAGATATCGTGAGGTCTTACGAGGCTACCACTTTGCTCGCTAGCAGAGCATGAAGATCATGCGAGGACGGCCGGAGTTCTCCCGCCAGCTTGAGCACGAGGCAGAGACCAGCCCGGTACTGGTTTCGAGCGAATTCGGGAACAAAGCCATTGCATTTCAGCGCATGAGTTGGCATGCATACTAGATGGTTGCGAAAGCGGCACATTTGCACCCCCAATATGCAGCTCAACTTGCTCTGTACCCTCAGGACCGAGGAAAGCCGTCTAGATTGCATTTTCGGCCACAAGTAAAAGGGGAGCGCTGCGGGCTGCAACCGAGCTTGTGCAGTGGCCTTCACGGCCGCGGGTTACATTACCAAGCCAGTCTGACCGAATAACAAGCAAAACCCATCCAATGCCTTGAAATCTAGCGGCAGGAATGAATGGGAAGTTTTGGCTGTAACTGAACGTCGCGTCCGTGGCAAGGCTGTGATGGGAGGCCAGATGCAGCTAGGATTGACCCATGGTAGCTTTCAATTACCCCTCCTCAATCCCGTGTCTACATGTAACTACGTTGTTGCCTTTGCCCGACGATTGAGGAGTCTTGAAACCAGTTCCAAATTTGGTGGTTACAGAACAGATTCTAGTAGAAGCATCATCCGACCCTTCCCCGTCTTTGTGAAGTGCCCAACCTTCAGTTTCCAAGCCGGTGCGAATCCAGACTGTAAGGCTGCGGTAGACCCCCGCCTTAGTTGCACCGGTATTTACTGTTTACAACCCTCCAGGGCAGGTTTCACCGGCAAGTAGACCAAGGAAGAAGATTATTGGCCAATTGGAGTGACAGCAAGCAATGTGAAAGGACTGCCACGTATGTGTCCCCGAATTTCTTCCGTGCGGAAACCGCAGAGCAGGAGCTTGCATGTTGCTTGCATGGTTAGGCTGTTAGGCAGAATCACATCACGGCTATGTAGACGGGGGGTTGGACATGAGGTGTCTTGAAGTGGGAAAGTAAACACAGAGGAAACAATACACATCGCCCCCTTTTTCGACCCCTTTCGACCCCCACCCCAGCGCGATGGGTACCTTATACGATACCTCATCGCACACTCGTCTTGCAAGCTTTACTACCCAGTACTCTGCTTCAACTTCTCACACGTAGATCTTGTTTTGGCACTTGCTTCTCCCTGAGCGCCATTTTCTGCGACGGCAAGCCAGCGTGGGGTGGTGGCCACATAATACTTATATCAAAGGTAGCATGGTTACCTATATACACAGACATGCATGCATGTCCGATCTGATAACGTTAAGCGACAAAGGCGACGGGGATAGTTACAGGCAATTCTGATATGCAGAGCATATCTCTTGGCTGGATCTGTACCAGAATCAGATCATTCCCGCCTTGTTGGTGTACTACTGGCAATTCTGCGGTATGATTTCCCTCCAACCCCCCAAACCCCACGGCAAACCTACTTAGCAAACGTCACCAGGCAGCATGTACGTGTATGTATTGTACATACAACACTTGAACTATATCGCCGCAACTGAGACAAAATCTCACCTAAGCCCCCCACGTCCCGGTGCCACAAGGTTCGTCCAAAATTCGATCTCCAACGCGCCCACGGCTTCCGCAGGGGAAGCGCTCAACGCTAGGTTAGAGTGGGGGGAACAAGATGTGATGACAAGACGAGAGACTTGGTCCACGTACAGCTGCTGTTGGCCACGTGCCTTGTAACTGCCTAACGACCAACAACGCCACCAACGCCACCAACCACAGCTACGAACGCCGGTCAACGAGAGGGGGGAAAAGATCTCGTACCCCAACTCACGCAGAGCCTCATCCCCCAACCATCGGCAACAAATCCAGACTCAGAGAGGGCACATGTTACCACAAGAGGGACAAGTGGAAGGCACAAGGCAACCCCTCGGTGAGTTGTTTCGCTCTCCAATATTCCCGTTTAGGGGGGAGGGGATTCGGGTATTCAATACTTACCCTCTTCACCGTGGTTGCCACGCCATGACGCCGAAAAACATCGCATTCACCTTCCCTTCTCTCCCTCAGATAGCAATAACCCCGGTTCTATCTCGTAAACGCTCCAAGCAGCATACATACATGTGTGGAGGTGAGTAACAGACGACTACAGGTTACTTACCTACGAACCCGGGTATCCAGCCGACAAACCCCACCCCCTAATTCCCAAGAAAAGGCAGTAGCACCATCAACCATAGGTAATCACCAGCAGTAATTCAGTCAAGCCGAAAACACAGGCAGCGCCATCGCCGGGCAAGAAAACGGATTTCGGGCTCCCCTGTGAAACCAAGCACGACCTCGCCTCACGGCATCATCTCCCTTGGGGTGGCCGGAAGCTGAACAAAGTAGTTACACCCGCTGTTGTATTGAATATTGTCTTCAGCGTAGGTAGTCACCGCGTACTGCGCGCCGTGTAGCTGTATGGTTGATAAGCCCACTACCACCCCTAAATCATTGCCACGCCAGGCTTGTCAACATACCCCCTGACCGGATCACAACACAACCATCAACCATCCAGGGGTAGGTGAAAGAAGATTTACCCCTGGCCGCGCAAGCTATGAATTCACCTTCACGTAGTTACCTGCCACAAGCCGAGTTAGCCACATCACCTATCACGGTCCCTCCATTTCCTGCTAGAGGTAAAAGAAAAGCAAACGAGAAAGAACCTACCAGGAAACTGCCCTTGCTTCCCCGCCAACCTGCCCACCCACCACTCATTACTGTTGGCCGTGCGCGAGACAATCTCAATCGTGTCCCCGGCCCGGAAACTTAGGTCGCCCTCGGCCTGCGCGGCGTAGTCGTACAGCGCCGTGACCGTTTCCGTCTTGTTGGCGGCGGCGACTGACAACCCCTTTGGCTTGGGCTTGGGCGGTGGCGGTTTCGACTTTGCGGCTGCTGCTAGCGCTGCTGCCGATGCCGATGCCGATGCCGATCCCGCCGAGGGGCTTCTGAGTGACGGGGAGATGGGCGCCGAGGGCGAGTACGGCGGTGGAGGGTTGTTGTCAGTTTCACTTTGTGGTTGTTGTTGTCGTGATTTCCATGTTGGGCCGAGGGCGGGCGGTTTTGTCGGTGCGTTCGCTGTTGCTGCTGCTGCTGGCGGCGGCGGTGAAGATAGGGACGGGCTTCGTATTGAAGACGGAGTTTGAGAGCCGGGAGCCTCTAGCAGGCCAACTGGCTTGGAGGGGCCTTCTATCGCGGCGGGCCGTGGGCCGCCATACTTGGGCGGGCGCTTCTGGCCTGACGTCTTGAACTTGACAATGGACAAGCTTTCGGCTTGCTGCTGAATATCACCTCGCTTCTTCTCGAAGGCCTCCAAGAGATCGATTGTTAGATCAAAGTAGCCGATGTCTACCCGCTGCATGCGCTCGTGAAGCGTGTAGAAGATGTTGAGCTGCATGTAGTAAAAGGACTGGAACAGCGGCTGGATGAACTCGCGCTCCAGGGCGAACAGCTTGGGCAACTCCTCCTTCAGCATGTCGTTGAAGTAGTTGAACTCTTGCGTCGACTGCTCCACATCGTTCTCGGCCTTCCACATGGCCTTCTCGTCCTTGGCTGACTTGTCCTTCTTCTCCTGCAACTTCTTCAGCGTTGCCCGGTGGCGGTCGTAGTCCAGCTTCTTGTGCTCGCGCTTGGTGGCCGTCTTGCGGATCACCTTGATGATGTCCATGAGCTCGGTGGCTGGCCGGATCACCCTGCTGTCAATCATCTCCAGCTCGGGAGCGAGGGTCTCCTGCAGCTCTTTGACGACGGCCTCGTACTCCTCGCATGCTCGGATGCCTTCGACATTGCCCTGCACCTTGAGTGTCTCGGGATCCGACATGCGCCCGCTAATCGGCTTGTAAATCTCGGTCATGGCCTTGGAGAAATCGATTTGATGCTGGAGCATGTCATTGATGGCCTTGAAATACTTGGTACTCTCCTCGTGGAGGTGCTTCGTCTCGGTCTCGAGCTCTTGGAACCGGCGCTCCGAGTCGATGTAGACGGCATCTTTGGTGTGCTCGCCGATGTTGAATTTAGCCTTGAATTGTTGAGGTGCCTGGAAATCGTCAGAGACTCAGTCAGGCTTGTCCGGTGCAAATAATTATGACCTGTCGGCAGCAAACTTACGCGAGCAATCCCCTTCTGGAAACCCCGGAAGCTCATTCTCCTGGTGTAAATCGATTAACGTTATTGAGGGCGGAATATGTAGCGTTATTAGGTCAGTGGGGGAGGCGAGGTTGGAAGGCCTGTTCGGCAAGATAATATAGAAAGCTGGCCTGCGTCAGGGCACTCGTGAAGACTGGAGGAATCCTGAGGATGCCTTGCGCCTGATCTTCCCGGCGATGATGACGATGGGCCCGGGGCGGAGCCGGACTTCAGCTTTTCTTGGCTTATGAAAAGTGGCGCTGCCCGGGTTCTCCAGAAACCCGATTGCTCGCCCAATGATTTTCGCAGGGTTTCGGGAAACAGTGCCGAATGGAAAGGCAAACAGAAGGTTGACTTTAACCTGTAGAGCTGTTCTCTGTTACTGAGAGGAAGAAAATGACAGAGGGAATCCATAGTGATGATGTTGACTGCACGGCGCTGACATGTAATTGTGCTACCTACCTCACCGTCTTACACCACTACAGTGGAAGTTAGTAGGTTGTTGGTTCCCTCTGATACTGCTGCTTATTTATTAGCGTCGTCATTCCAGATGGCCGACTCAACTGAAAACGCTCCTGCGTCATGCGCCATGGTGGGGCCGGAACAGGCGGGGCCAAGTTGACTGCAGCCAATTAAAGGAGCGCATCCTGCCTGTCAAAGCGACATCATTGGCTGGCACTCAGCTTCCACTAACAATTTATCCCACGCCTTCTGTGGGGAATTACGACAAAACCGAAGCTCCGTCCCGCGCTCCGAGAGAGAATTAGAACGCTTCCTTCTCTTACAACTCAAACCATACAGCACCGTCTCGTCTATCATGGCTGCTCGCGCGCCATCAGTTCTCAAGCAGGCATCGCGTCTAGCATCGAAATCCTCACTCCCCGCGACTCCCCGACCCTCGGTTCCTGCTCTATTGCGGGTGGCGGCGCCCTCGGCCCGCAGCAGCTGCGGAAGGTCATATGTGACCGAGACAAGGCGGGACAATGCCCAGGTCCAGGTAGAAACGGCTATTCGGCTCGACAGGAAGGAGCTTGAGAGATCGGGTCTTACCGTGAGCGGGCAGGATGGGTCGACAACTCATGTCAGCCCCATGGCTGGTAAGAATTGTCTTTGTCCGAGATGTGTCCGATCATCCGCTGATATCTCCGACCAGACGTTCTGAGGCGGGCAACCGTCATGGATGAGGGCCAGCGCCCCATCTACCTGGATATGCAGGCCACGACGCCCTTAGATCCACGGGTGCTTGACGCCATGCTGCCGTACTACACAGGCGTGTTCGGCAACCCACACTCTAGGACTCACGCATACGGTTGGGAGAGCGAAAAGGCGGTCGAGGAAGCCCGAGAGCACATAGCGACCCTGATCGGCGCCGACTCAAAGGAGATTATCTTCACCAGCGGCGCCACCGAGAGCAACAATATGAGCATTAAGGGCGTGGCGAGATTCTTTGGGCGATCCGGGAAGAAGAAACACATCATCACCAGCCAGACGGAGCACAAATGTGTGCTTGACAGCTGCAGGCATCTGCAAGACGAAGGCTTCGAGGTCACCTATCTGCCCGTCAACAACAAGGGGTTAATCGATCTGGAACAGTTGAAGGCGGCAATCCGCCCGGAGACGGCACTTGTCAGCATCATGGCGGTAAACAACGAAATCGGGGTTATCCAGCCCCTGGAGGAGATTGGCAAGATCTGCCGCGAAAACAAAGTATTTTTCCACACAGACGCCGCTCAGGCAGTGGGCAAGATCCCCATGGACGTCAACGCCATGAATATTGATTTGATGTCGATATCGTCTCACAAAATTTACGGCCCCAAGGGGATAGGAGCCTGCTATGTCCGCCGGCGGCCAAGGGTCAGGCTTGACCCCATCATCAGTGGAGGCGGACAGGAGCGAGGTCTGCGCAGCGGCACGCTGGCTCCGGCTCTCGTTGTTGGGTTTGGAGAGGCGTGCCGCATTGCGAAGCAAGAACTCGAGGTATGTTTCAGTCATCATATCGTTTTCTCTCCGACGGCGCTATCCAAGCTACACATGTGATGAACTGCTTTAATACATGCATGGCTTTCTGAAGTCTCGTGACACAGACCATTTTGTTGATATACAGCACCCTTTTCTGATTCCTGTCATTCTCGCGCTCGAAATTTACTACTCTTCAGTCTCTGCAAGGCACGTGCTAACAGCTTCCGCAGTATGACTCGAAGAGGATCAAGTTCCTCTCGGATCGGCTACTCAATGGCCTGCTCGCTATGGAGCACACGCAGCAGAACGGCGACCCGGAGCACTTCTACCCGGGCTGCGTCAACGTGTCATTTGCCTACGTGGAGGGCGAGTCGCTCCTCATGGCGCTGAAGGATGTCGCCCTGTCGTCGGGCAGCGCGTGCACCTCGGCGTCGTTGGAGCCCAGCTACGTCCTGCGGGCGCTTGGCAACAGCGACGAGAGCGCCCACTCCAGCATCCGGTTCGGCATCGGCCGCTTCACAACCGAGCAGGAGATTGACTACGTCCTGAAGGCCGTCACCGAGCGCGTCGGCTTCCTCCGCGAGCTCAGCCCTCTGTGGGAGCTAGTCCAGGAGGGCGTTGATTTGAACACGATCGAGTGGACTCAGCACTGATTCTCGGTGTTTGGTACGAGTCTGTATGGGTAGGTGGTTTGGTGGTCATGATCATGTTCTGGTTGAACACGGGGTAACGTGAGGTAAAATCCGAGATTGGCAAGCGGAAACGCCTCTGGGGCTGTTGTTTGGGTTGGAGCGAGCAACGTGTATCATATGTGTATTCTGTTTATCTTCGCTCGCTGCACAGAATGATACCATGGGTAGCCACAACACCTGCCTGTTGTGTGCGAAAAAGGAGACTGTGTCCATCGCCGGAATCCTGTTCATCGGCAACTCTAAACAACCTACCGCTCGAACACATCACTGGTGCCAGGCGAGACATCAGTCAATCCAGCGTCGTCCCGAGTGGGAGGGTGAGCGAGGCTCTGGCGGATGATTCGATACCCAATCTGGACGTGTCCGAGCGGCACGCTGAATTGATTATCGGATTCACTGGGATGGTGAATGGCTTGGCGTATTTAAAAGCTGGTCTTGATGGGGACTTTAGTGGAAGAGCGTGGGCATTGAGACCTGAACCTCCCGAGGAGAGTGAAGGTGGGGGGGTTTATACTGGCGCTAAGCAGCAGTAAGGCCAGGTTGGACTTTCCTCCGTTTGTGTCTGTGAGCATTTAGGTTGGAAGACAGCAAGAGCAAGGAAGAAGCAACGTACCGACCGCGTTAAAGTTTCCCGAGATATGATTATATGCGCTCGTCTTACTAACGTTTCTAGAAGTCGATTCAAGTAAATATTATGCTAACTCTACAGCTTGATTGAGGTTGAAGAGACTCATGGCTGCCCTAGCTCAGCCCAGCAGGGATGAGGTGCAGCACGTTGGATGGTGTACTGTGTACAGTACACAGCACGTTCAACATCTCCAAGGGTGAGCACTGCCGAGCCTAGAGTACGATGAGTACCACTGCTCCTCCGCTTCATCTCCGTTTGTCACTCCAATGTGGTCAGTCAGGCTCAAGTCTTTGGCGTCATAGTCTGTCAAGATACATGGGACGGTCTTCCACGACAATGAGGATGGGTCACGTTTCCCATGTCGCGGGGCGTAGGAGCAGTCCACCGCTTCTCTATCTGACCGGTCAAACGGACACAGAAATGCAGCATTCTAGGCACGCTCCTGGTTCCAGCAGTAGTACCGTTTCATAGACCTGTTCCTCCAGGCTATGTGGGATACCAAGGAAACAGGACGCAAGGAGGAGGAATGATAGAACGGTGCATTGGGCCCGGTATATGCCCCAATCCAGAAAGTCCCAGTGACCTGTCGACGACTGAGCATAGTACGAGAACTACATGTGATGTTGAAGACGATCTAAGGTAATTATCTTCGCGGCCGCTTCAGTGTTGTCCTCGCTAACAGACCTCGGGCAGTGACTCAATCAGTTGGCTCCCTCCCTCCCGTAGTTGATGTTCAAGTATCTCATCTCCAGTGGACCCTCTTGTTTTGGTGTAGCCGCTGACATACAGTTGGTTTTGTGCCTGTCACAAGGTCTCTGCTTCCAGTTGTGACATTCCTTCTGTCATAGGGCTGAATTGGGAGATTCATGGTGTGTTGAATGGTTAATCGTCCTAGTCGGCGGGGCGAGTGTGGGTTGAGGCGTAGACACTGATGACTCGAAGGTCAAAGGTTTGACCTGACGACGCTGAATCCTACCTGTATAGTGTAGTGCCATAGATTGAAATGAGATTCTGGAGTTTACCAGCTTGCTGGGCAGGGGTACTTCGGAAGGGGATGCGTCTGTTAGTGCGACCCAGATTTTTGTATGCAAAAATCATCCTCTGGACTACTCCTCTTAACAGATCTCTGTGTTTGCAGATGTATACCATACCACATCTGCAAACATCCCCAGAGATCTGACATCGCAGCATCTACCCTATCTCCCTGCAGGGAGCCTATCTAACGTATCCCAATAATCGGGCTGGCATTGCAATGACAAAGGAAAGTGGATCGTCCAAGAAAGTCATTGCAGCGCATGCTCTACCCGTTGTTTCCAGGAGCAGGTTGGTCTCGGACGCTAACCAGCCCTTCGTCGCACCCTGATTCAGTGAGGTTGTCCAAGAAGCAACAAGTCTGCCATGCCAGGCTACTCGCATTACACCACGAGCATGTGACAAAGCCACCGGCGAAACAAGCGTGGTGGATACACAAACAGTTCTCTCACATGCTGGTGTTGGAGTCTCATAAGGCTGATGCTCCGTCCCTTATGATGTCATCGGTCCCCGTGTGCTAGGCAATGACATCACCCACCACCAGCAACCCCTTTGACGATGGCAATTCCATCCGATCAAACGAGGATCTACTGCTGTGGAGTGTTCCTGGCATTCGGATACAAGATGGACCTGACGCCCTTTATTTCTACTGCTTGGCTTGCTCGTCAGTCAATCGACAGCAAACATTTGAAGAGACAACCAACAACAGCAAACACCACCTCTAACTCGGAATCTTGACTTTACTATCACTCAAAAACCCTCATCAAAGCTTCACCATGTCAGGCAGCAACTCTGATAACACCTCCACCCTCAAGTCGTACGTCGACTCTGCTGTCGGCGCGACTCAGAATGTCGTGGGCACCATCATTGGCAGCCGTGGTGACGAGGTAAATCTGCGCCCTAAAACCGTATCGTCAAAGTTGGATTAGCATACTGATAGACAATTTTGACAGGCAGAAGGACAGGCCAAGCAGGACAAGGCCAAGGCCGAGTACGACGCATCCCATGCTACCGTAAAGCTCCCCGGCGTGAGCGCCTCCTCCACAGGCGCCGTCACAAAGGACCATCCCGATCGCACCGCCGGCTCATGGAACCAGACAGCTGGTTCGGCCAAGGAGTTCGTCGGCGGTGTTGTGGGCAACGAGGTATGTGCCGGCTGAACACACATGAAACGTATGTCCTGGGGTCGAGGGAGCGCCGCTGACGGGTTGGTGGCATGCAGAGTCTGAAGCAGTCCGGCCGGGAGCAGAACCTGTCTGGCCAGGAGCAGGAAGCCCGCGGTCAGCTGAACGACTACACGTCGGGCGCTGGCGATCGGGTTGCTGGAGCGGTTGGAAGTGCCGTTGCAGGCCTGACTGGGGACCGCGCCAAGCAGGCCGAGTATCAGGACCGGCACGATGCTGGCAAGACGCAGCAGCGAGGAGCTGAGCATGATATCCAAAAGCAGGCTGAGGCTCGTCAGTGAGTTTCTAGGAGCGGCATGGATGGGGGCGCCTGAGTCTTAAGGCAACAACCGGGTCTCTTTTCTCATGGGAGTTTGCATTATGAGGGCATTGAGCTGTGATACCTAGGAAGAAGGGAAACACCATATTGGGGGACTGGTTGGATGGCGTCAGGCAGCAGGGAAACCTTGACCGAATATCGTTTCCTGGAAGTCGTTTGCGGCGTTAATAAGATATTGCGTTAGTTTCTGACCGATCTTCATGGTCGACAAATGCGTCGGTGGAGTTGATTGCTAAAGCGACCAGCTAACGATGCCACTCTGTCTTGGTCTCCTCCCTCGTGCATCGCTATACGAGTCGAGTGTGGTCACTTCTGGTGTCTGGACGCGGGAGGTGCCCCAAGCGGAAATAAACGACTGTATTAGAAGCGTAAATCTCGGCTAAGAACATGTGACTACAGTAGTTACATCTTGGATTGTTGAAAGCTCATGTTGCCTGCCCATCATGGCATCATCGAATGCAACATGTTGGACAGTTGGAGTGACATCGGGAATTTAGCGTCTGCGGGAAGCGGGCCGCCGTCTGCAATGGTTATCGCTTGACTAGCCGAGCCCCGATTGGAGAATCGAATCTTTTCATACATTGGCTACAGGTACGATCATGATATTTGCAAGGGGCCGTTCAGCGAGGGGAGGTAGGTAGCCAACGGCCCTCTGGCGAACGTTGAATTTGTATGTACTGTTCAAATTAGTACTAACGGCGGTGCACTATCCGTACTGAAGTTGTGAAACGGATGTTTGCTGAAAATCTTGAAACATCTGTTGCTGGGGATTCGGTGGCTGGTGTAGGTATTGCCGTCTTATGGTCGGTTGTACGAAGTACAGCTCCAAAAGAATGTCGGCTTCGTTAGACCGGAAAGGGAAAAGAGGCACGAACTGTTGGTCATTCCAGCTTCAGGCATCAAAAGTTGCTACAGCTGAGTCACGCGGTGAAACTCACACGCCAGCTGCCGGTGACACCCCTTGAGCCGCTCGCCTGTTCCATTGTAAGCCGTCAAATCAGAGCTCTAGCCTAACCTTAAGCTGTGACGACAGCCTTATCCAAGCCTCGCCCGGCACGCCTTTGCCTCAACATTAGCAGGATGCCGCGTATGCTAAGGTACAGTACCTAGCTGAATCGGCCCCCACTAAGCTCGACCTCATTGATAGGTATTACCTCAAGTCGATATGCGTAAGGGAAAGTATGTACTGTACATGCCTATCTAGTTGAAGCACATCAGAAAGGGCAGAATGCAGCACACCAAGTCTTTTGCAATTGAATACCACATTGCACTACTCCCTTCTGGGCTGTCAGAGTGTCGTCGCCAATTGCACCCGCTTTGACCGATGCTGGACTGAGGCCGTTGGGCGTTGATGCTTGGCATCTGATTATTGCTGAATGATTGGCGGGAAAGTGCAAGCTGCTGCCCCGCTTCTAGCCTTCTTCGTCTCTCACAGTACCTGCATTTTGTGACCTTGAAAATGGTAAGCATTTTCACCCTTCCCCCGTTTTTTCCTCTCTCCTTTTCCAATGCCCCCCCTTTCCACGCTTCTTGTCTTTCGAAGAATCTCGGCAAAGCAATGTAACGCCTCTATCGAGACTGCGGGTCCTCCTCCCCTAACGACCAAATTGACTGAAAGCTGGCTTCTTTTCCGCAAACGATGAATACGGAGTACGGATACATAGCTCTGATGCAGTGGGCTGCAACACGCCTCTTTCGGCACAGGTGTGTAGCCGTGCTATTCCGTCTTCTTTGCAGGCTTACGATATCCAACATGGTTTTCTTGACACAAGACCTCGCTACCTACTTCCCTACGTCTTTTGCGCGGCAAGGCTTTCATCTAAATTTGGTGCCGCCAAATGCTGAATTCTTGACGTATTGTGTCAAACGATCTTCAGTCAAGTGCGGTGTAGCCAAGACAGGAGGTGAGTTGGGTTTGACGATGCTGACTGCCTGGCTCACAGCCATCCGTAATAGTCCCCCTTGCCACACCCGTGGATTGAATCGTCCATGATGAATTCCGGCTCCTGAAGGTCGCCCTTTGCGGCCGATTTTTCCGATTTTTCAGGGGCCAACCCGTCCAGGGAGATCTTCGGTACCTACCGTGAACCCACGGCCGCCAAGCGTCGAGGGGAGCGTAGGGCAGAGAATCCTGCCGCTTCGTCAACCCATCTTGGTGCGGAGCACCCTCCGAGCAAGGCCGGCCCCCGCCCCCAAATTGGCAGAAACAAGCTCTGTACCTTGTGTCTATCTCTGATGTTGATTCACAACTCTCACATGCCGATGGAAGCCTGGCCCATTTCCGTTCTCATCACACTCCCAACGGAATCTGGGGATGAGCAATTGCCGCGATCGAGTCAATGCCTCGCCTGGGGGGGCTCTGCTTGCTAAGGCTCTTCTGCGAATGCACCGGTGGAGTCGGCGGAGTCCGTCCTCTGTTCAACCTTTTCGCTCGTCGTTGGTTGGCGGCTTTTGTCTGTACAATGTAGTGATGGTACGGCCATCATAATAGCACCCAGCACCGATCTGATTCTGCAGATCAGCCCGATTGCTCGACCCGGACATATGCCAAAGTCCCGGAATCCCAAAGCCATGGCGGCCGAATAGCCATGCATGCAGGAGTCCACAACCGGGAAGGCGTGCATGGGTTGCCCATACCGACGCCCACAGGGAAGAGCTTCCTGGCCCATTTCATTCAAGGGGCGAGGCAGATGTACCCTGGGTTTCTGGACTAAGTACCGAGAGACTTGGTCTACATAACCGCGACCCGCCCAGACTCGCCTCACCGTGCCACATCGAAGGAACCTTCCCGTCCTGCTAGGATGTTTCTGGCTTAGGCCACCGCTTTAAACATGTGCCTAATGGTATGCGGTATTCAATACGGCATTGGACTTCTGTCCAAGCAGTCACCTACACCCCCTGACCTCGGTGCCATACCAATCAGGTCTCTATCAGACACACATCGACTTTCTTTAGGACTGGCTGCCTTGAACTGCGGCCGCAACCACCACACCATGCAGCCCACGCCGCTAAGTCAAGGAGCGTTGTTGAACATCCAACTCTTTGTGCCCGTGAACCATGAGATCATTGTCGCGATGTTATATAGAGTCCTCTGTCCAGCACCTCCCTTGCCTGTCCACAAGACGTCACTTCCCAAGCCCAGCAGTCGCCCTTGTCCCAGCCCTTAGGGATCAGCCTCAACCCCAGTCTACCATCACAATGAGACAGAGGAGCAACCGGCCGTCCATGATGAGGATTGCCATTGCTGGTGCCGGGGGCTTCGCCCAGATCCTTGCCCAGCAGATCAGCCAAACCGCACATGCTCTGCTCGTCATATCTCGCACAGTGAGTTGGCCTCTTCGGTCTTTCTTGCGCCTCCCCCAGAAGACAAGGCCCGCTGACCATGCTACAGCCACACCCTGAGCTTGAAGAATTTTGTCCTGGCTGCCAGGTTGCCGTTATAGACTACGGGGACGCTGAGACTCTGCGGTATACCCTCCGGGGAGTCGACCTTTTAATATCAACGATCGCGGGCAACGAGCAGCTCAACCTCATCGATGCAGCGCGGAAAGCTCGAGTCAGAGTTTTCGTCCCGTCCGAGTTTGAGGGTGATCTCTCCCACCGGCCAGCCAACGATCCCCTTGACCGTGGTTCGCACTCGGCTCTTGACCTCCTGGAGCGTTGGTCGCAGTCCAAGTCACACCCCATGCGCTACACCGTCTTTTCGTGCGGCATCTTCATGGAACGGTTTGGTCCGGGGGGCTTGCAAACCTACAACATCGGGGCTGGCTGCGGAGTACAGGGCCCGAACGACTATCTTGTCAACATCGAGGACGCCAGAGCCGAAATCGTCCCAGCGAACTCCAGCGGGCGGCCCGCCCACGTCTCTCTGACATCTGTATACGACGTTGCGCAATTTGTCACGGCCGCCATCGAGATGGGTCTCGACAATTGGCCCAAGGAGTTTAGGATGAGGGGTGATGCCATGACAGTCCAAGAGCTGGTGAGGACGTGCTCGAACGTTCGCGGGGGTGAGTCATCCCCGTTCTTGAGTTTCTTCCGTTACCTCTGGCCTTCTTTACTGACGCAGACACAGTTCCGTTCAGTGTGGTTAGTCACCCCTACCAGGACGCTGAAGCGCTAGCAGAGGCGAGCCAGCAGTCTGGGGATTGGGCACAGTGGTACTACTACCAGAGGCTGCTACAAACGGCCAATGGGCGCTATCACGTACGCCAAGTCAACCTCAACGATGCCGTCAACCAGAGTGAGATTTATCAGGTACAGCCCATGAGGTTCAGTACATGGCTGGAAAGAATCTGGGGGCCGGCGATGTGATGGTTTACGTCGAATGTTCTGTATGACTATGATCGTTTGTCCCTATATTTCCTGTTAGCGTTAGTTATGCGGATTCCCCAGCTCGGTATCAGGGGGATTTCCCTTGCGGGCACCAATTTTCCTTGCCTCGACATCTGCTATGTCTCTCCCCACATGATAGATAGCTGAACTGGCGACTCCTGATTTACAATGAGCATCTCAATATTTTTGAACATCATGACGCATCTCCACTGTTCTGTGTACAGGATAAGGCTTGTTTATTTGTTAGCGCGGAACTTGCCCCGCTTTTTGCAACCAACCACAGCCCAGAGTTACAGGACATTTGGCCATTCAAATCGAACCCAGTAAACAACGGGCTCAATCCTGTAAAACGACTGTTGCACGGACCACTTTCCATACATTCTGCTCACGCCAAGCCATTCACTTTACACCCACTTTTGAACTTGTAAATCGACACCAACTTCAAGATAACATACTAGACCCGCATACACAGCAAAGAAACTGAATTGAGCTTGTATACTAAGGCCTGGGGAAGGGGATTTTAAGCTAAGTGACTTAGATCGAAATAGAGTTGAATTTGATGTAAAAAGACACTCGTGTCTTGCAGGAGTTGACACAGTCGTTTTACAGGATTGAGGCCGTCGTTTTACTGGAATCGATTCAAATTACACGCATCTTGCTCGGGGACCCATTTTTGGGCTTACATAATCTTCACCTTTCCACAATGTACTTCCACTCCCAGCTTCGACTTTTCCTCTTTCCTCAAACTCTCCAGCCGACTATTCCTCAAATACTCACAACGTTGCAGAAGATCACTCGAACCACAGTTAGAATTAACAGGGCTTCAAATCAATGGATTGATTGATTTGGGGTGACTCTGGCCCCTTGTTTAGATCCACCCGATGTACCACGCTAACGAACAAACAAGGGTTGGACTGTATGTACGCCCCTGAAATGCAGGTACCTATGACATGGTTACCCCATGCTGATGAACGGCAGGGGGTTGCATCGGGCAGCGCTTATAACAGCCAATCAGAGGGCTCGCGCACCCCCTACTTCGTTTTCGCTGATGTCCACTTGCACCCACCTGCACCGACCTAACTACGGATAGTTATCTAACACCAAACAGAGGCTACTACTAACGCGGCCTGGTGCCTGCAAGAGCCGGATCGAAGGATTGTGCGGACATCTCGTGGGGGAGAAGGCAGCCGGCTGCTGTGATGCCAATGGTTGCGCCAATTCCCCGCAGCGGCCGACGACGATGTCACCTAACTCCCTATTCGCATATTCAAGTTAACCGATTGATCCTTCGGGAGAGTCAGTTCGGGTATTGTATCGTACATACAGAGCCGTATGTTCCCGGCCTCGGTGTTGCTAATATTCTGGCTCTGAGATCATCCATAGGTCGGCCCCGGTCTCCGGATCAATCTCGAACTCCAGCGTATAGGTGAACAGTAACATTACCCTGGGGCCTCGGTGGCTTCCGGACCTCCCTGGCACCGCCCATGATCGGCCGGGAATAAGAAGCGCTTGCCATCGGCAGGGCAATTCGACAATTCCTGCCGAATTAAGTCGCTGAGACCTCGGGACTCGGGCTATGTATCTCCCAATCCTTGAAGAACAGACTGAACCTAACCCAGTGCAACGGCGCGGTACAAAGCCGCAGGGAAGCTAGCTCATGTGCAGGCAACAACAAAAATTTGGGCTAATTAAGGCGGGTATGTATGGAGCCTATGGGCCCAATGCGGTAGCATTTCAATTCGATCCGTAACGGCTGGGCGACGGCCGAAACAATGAAAACCAGCGCAGCGGCCAGGTACAGTACGATATACCCAATGCCACCAACGACACGATGTATATGGCGGTAGGAAGTACACTACGCCATAGGTCAATCCAGGATGCATCAATTTTGGATGCACTGACATGTCACTTACACAACATGCTATGCGTACAAGTACCATTACCTATTGCCTAGGTACCTTGACCGGCGTTGAGGGTTAAGTTGTGCATTCCCCGGACAACGTGTTCCTCGGGCCGTGTGTAACGGCAGGCGAGCTTGAGCTTGGCCTCTTGTTTCAAACATCAAGCTGAATTGTCGTGTGCCGCAGCCTTACCGATTCCAGCGTGCTGGCTCTCTCATGGGCTGATCCAGCTGGCAGCCTGGGGCAAGCGCAGGGATCACGGGCCAACTCTGAAAAGCACAACAAAAAAAGAGAACACAAACTGGCGAGCATTGGTGGAAGGCTGAGTCTAAGGCAGCAACGATTCCCAACCTCGCCAATCGATCAATCGAACAGCGACCCATCATTGGCAATGTGGCTTTGCAATTGTTGGCTCGATTTAGGATTCGATCCTTTCGCCCGCTTCTCTGTCGAGACCATGCTCCAAGTAAACACGAAGCAACACCTGGAACGGACTGGAGCAAAGGGCTTGCTGGCGGGTCAAGCCCAAGCGTGCCGGGAAAGACGGCTCGAACCTTCCTTCCTAAACTCCCCTTTTGGAAGCCACACCGAGAGAGGAGCACCTGTGGGTTGCTTCCCGGTTTAGGCTGAGAAAAGAGCGGCAGGTGTGCATTGAGGAAATTCTCAATTGTTCAATTCGAGTGCGATTCATGGAACTAAAACGCGCGATAAGAGAAACCGGGGGAAAAAAGGGAGTAGATTGAGAAGAAGAACAGCCGCGCTTAGGGCCCCCAAATGTGACCCTACGCCAGATGACTGCTAACGCTTGCGAAGCACCAAACTTCAGCCAGACAAGCCGGATGCGAGGTATCCTTTGAAGTCTGCCCCGACTAGATCGTCTGTAGTCGAAAAGGCCGGAACACGCCCTGTCAGCTTGCCATTCGGGCTCACCGGCAGCTTTCGAAACAGCGCCGATATACAATATATATCAACCACGATCCCGGAGCCACCTTGCGCTCTCGAGAATAGCGTGGATGGCCGCCACAATGAGACGCGTAACGTCCTGGTGTTGTATGGGGCACGTATTCGGCGGCGTCGATACTCATCGATGCCGTTTTCATACGCATCGTGGTTTTCATGATGACACGGAGACTGCAGTGCTCCATTCGATAGCCCAGTGCCGCAAACGACGCGTGTTCTCCAAACCCCCACACGTCAGGCGCGGATACGTGTGACTTCCAACGACAAGCCTCGTCAGCACCCTCCCCAGGGCTTTCTAGGGTGTGAAGAGGCGAGGGCGCAGGGAAGGAAGTGCCCAAGCAGTCGCTCCCCTGTCCCGCCACCCGCCAGACGAGCCGCTACCAACCTCAGGGAGGGAATGGAGGAGGGGATGGAGACAAACATACCAGTTCTCGACTTCATGGCTTCCAAAAGTGGCCCAGCGCGCCCTACTGTCCGCCATCGATCCTGAGCCAGCCAGACCCATGCTGTTTGAGGCGTCGAGGACCTGCCAGTTTCATCGATCATGCGGACGGTGCTGCGTCCTAGCTCAATGCCCAAGGCACGCACTGCACCAGGATGGAATGGAGAGGGTGTTGCACACAATGTCACTCGCCATCCCAGGGGTACCGATGGACAGCGGTCAAGTCGCGTTCGTGTCGACAAGCCGCAGGCAGCTGCGGAGGTAAAGGGGGTTGCCAATTCGTCGTCGTCCGAGGAGCAGCATGTCGAGAAGGTTGCCGTCAGTAACTCACCATCACCCCTAATCTTGACCGCGCGCAGGAAAAGGGGGGATTTGCACAGGTTCTAGCGCACAATGCTTGCGGAACTAGAAGAACCTCGGAAGCGGGTCCGGGAGGGACCGGCCGATAGGATCGGGGGCCCCGGCTTCGTATCCCGGGTCGCGAGATGCGGCCACCTCACAACGATCGACCGCGTATTCTGGCCTCTCCTTGTCGGCCCTACCATACCGAGTCCCAAGAATGGCCTGCCCGAGATGGCGGCCTGGAATCTCGGCCTCTCCCATGAGGCCTTGGAACCTGCCCTTGCAATCCGAGCCGACAATCTCTGATCCTCCTCGGTAAATAGCCAAAGGGAGGCCGCGGCCCCTTGCTCCTCGGCAGCTTCCTTAGCTGCCTAGATCAGATGAAATTTGAAGTGGCCCAGACCCGCGACCGCTTGAAATATGTTTCGTCACCGAAGCCTAAGCCAGGAGGTGGCATCCTCGGCCAGTTATCTGATTCAGGCGAAGCAGGAACGCTTGCAGTTAGGCTCAAAATGAACCATCCCACGGATAATGAGTGAGCACGGAGAGGGCGCTTCCCGCATCGCCACTTCACCCGTCGCCACCTCCTATCGCTGCTCGCTCGGTGCTCCAACAAGCCATGAACCGCTTTAGGAAAGCCAGCCTGCAAGTTCAGGGGGTAGCTTCTCGATCAGGAGCTTGGAGGTACCAGCCTTGTAGCTATCACTTGAAAGTGAATCCTGAGCGTTAGGGGTGACTCCTCAAGCTCATGCATAGGTTCCCGTCTCAAACCTATGCCTCCCTAGACTCTGCAGTAGCGAGATGGACATCTGGACACGAGCTATGCACGCCTGACGTGTGCATGGCCTGCTTAGAAGATGTCGATGTCTACTGCAGCGTCGTGGTAGCACGAAACGACTGTTCTTTCGGGCATCATCCAGGCAGCCTTCCATCATGTCCTGGTCATCTGCGAAGCATCTTACCCAGCTTGGACGTGGTGATGACGGAAATGGCGGTACACTGTCGTGGTGCCCGCCGCGCGCTCTTCATCACATGCCCTAGCCGCAAGTCTAGTTGGCGACTTGTGGAAAGCACCTGCCCAATGGAGGATTCTGCCTGTCATGGTCAGCAGCAGCACGCATCAAGAACAATGGTCAGTTGCACGTCACAGGCAGGGGAAAGGTGAGCAAACCATTGCTCGTATGCTTCTTCTCTTCGGCAGGCAAAAGGGCATGGCGCTTTGGAGACAATTCCGGATGACCGGGAGTTCCTTCCGTGGCAGCTCGTGAGCGACAAAATTCTTCTTCATCGGTAACCAGGGACGTAGCCGTCTTCGTATTCGCGCGTTTCGACAAGCGAGTTGATAGGTTCGGGCAACGATTCGCACCCCGATGTGTCGTTCTCCTCAACAAGATGAGTTCCAGAGCTATACCGGTCTGGATCGGATTCATCCGGACGATAACATTGGCGCGTCGGCAAACCGTGGACGTCTGCGGCTCGCAAGAGACGGCCAACGGGCGCGTTAGGTTGCGGCAGTGGTTGCACAGATGCCGATCGGATCCGATACTCTGCTGCGGTATACCCGCCTCGCTACAGCGCTTGCCCGCACCGGCCCGATCCTCCAACGGCCGTCCATGCCGGATAAGCCGCAGTAGGTCTAGTACCCATCACTAGTTCGTTCCATCCAGCATGGCATTTCCCCCTCTTATATCCGTCTCCCGTTTCCATCTCATTCCCAATCCCTTTCATTTCCATTCGGATCCGTGGTCGTGTCGGTTTTTGGTCTTGGATGTCGAGAACGGTTCTGCCGTCGTCTTATATCAGAAAAACAGGGCCGCGTTATTTCTGTTGCCTGTCGCACTTTAGGTTCTTCGGATGCATGTTCAGGCAACCGAAAATCCTTCAGGCCACAACCTCCTAACTGGGACCGTGTCTGGAGCATGTGCCTCAGGCAAAACCCTGGGTAACCTCGCAGGATTCGGCTAGTGCTGAGCGATGTCCACTGGAAAGTCTATAGGTGAAATACTTCGAGTGATGAGCATCTCCGAGCGGAGCAGTGACTGGGAGAATCGGAGAGAGGGGTGATCTCACATAGAATAGGTAGGCAGTCGGCGCCTTACCCTAGACAAGAAGAGGAAAGAAAACAACAATGTGTAAAAATGGCCCGCTCCCTCTGTTTCATCACGATGTTTGCTAAATCCCCGCAACCCCTGTGGTGTGCTATGTATTGGGATTTGGGATTCGCTAACCCTGTCCCGAGGACGGCGGGCATCCAAAAAGCATCGACAGTTGAGGCAGAGCCGTGCCTCCGCAAGAACCATCACCGTTTGCTTTGCTGATGCCATCTGGGATCAGACTTGAAACCAGACTGAGCCTTCTTTTATGCCGGCAGCCAGTCTATCGTCCCCGTATGAATCTCCGGTGCGAGCTATGCCGCCTGAGCTACAATATCTTTCCAACGTAGTCTAGTTTGTGCTTGGTTACGTGCTACTGGCGCTGGTTGCTTGCCTAGGAGCAGCACAGAGATCGTCTTCATGGTTCACCGTTGTCCGAGGCAGAGGAGACAAGAAAGGACAAGATGCATGACCTTCGACGAGTTCACTTCGCCGTGGCGTTCCTCTCCGCGGGTCGATCATGAAACGTCTTTCATGCCAACCTAGTAATCGGGGTGCCGAGGGACGGATGGACCGCTACGGGCCGGGGGTGAAACAAGCGAAGGAATGGAGGATTATACGGGCGGCTACGAAGTACTGTGCATACAGTGTAGGAAGGAGACATATTGTACACTTACACAAGAGCCTCACTGACCATGTTCGGCAGCTGCCAATACCAGCTGCTCTAATCCCCTTCCCCTTTTGTATACTTTTCCCCTTTGCTCCCCCATCAGGCGCTGGTATCGATCAATTGGGACGCCAGGTTCTCCCATTTTCCTGGCTCACGACTCGATAAGACGGGCGGAACCGGTTGCTCGGAAGGTGCACGATATGGGGGCAGCCTCAGCGCGGTAAAATTGGCACGTTGGAGTCGGGGCTACCCCAGGTCGCCGTCAACGAATATCTGGCTCCAAAACAATGCTCGAAAGACAGCTCCTGTCTACAAAGTACCGCTCAACACACACCCGCGAATACCCCTGATGCGCAACTAAATATGACGTGCTCACTTCAGACGCGGACACCGACTAGTTGGGAGGCCACGACAAGTCTATCCGAGCAGATTTAGCACGCCACTATGCAAACGAAGGATCAGTGACTAACCCCAATGACAGTCTACGATGGGACTAACCCAGGCAGCCAGCTACCGAGGGGCTCGGGATACCGTTCTCTTCAAGGCACCACTCCCGAGATCAACGCAGCAAAGTTCGTAGCCTCCCACCCCTGAGTCAGCTCAGGGAGCGCCTTCGCCCTAGCCACGCGCTGCTCGGTCAGCTTAAACTCCTCCGGCAACCTCACCCCGCCCTTTTTTCCCTCCTCCTCCTCCTCCTCCTCGTCAACACCACATCCCTCAGCCATAGTAGCAGACTCGACCATCAACCTAGCCACCTCCCTCGCCGAGAGAGCCGCCGCAGGCATCCCGTGACCTGTATATCCTGCACAAACATACAATCCGCCACGGGGCCCGCCACCGCCCAGGGTCTCTGGCACGGGGCCAACCCACGCGTGGGCATCCCGGCTGTAGCCCATGACGCCGGTCCACTGGAACGAAGCCTTTAGCTCGTGCTTCCCTTCGACCCCCTCCTCCTCCTCCTTGGTTCCTCCTACAAGCGAAGGAGAAGAAGAAGAAGCCAGATCCAAAGGCGGCGCCAGATTCGCCCGCAAATACCGCGCCACGTCCTCCTCGATCTCGTCGTCGCGCCACTGGCCGACCCCAAGATTCCGCGCGAACCGCCGCCCGCCGCCGTAAATGAACTCACCGCCGCCGCTCGGCAGCAGCGGCCGTTGCACGAGGTAATCGTCCCGCGGTGCCACGGCCGCGGCGGAGGTGGCGGCTGCTGTCAATGAGTGCTGCGCGCCGTGGCCGGGATTGGGATTGGGATCGGGCTCGGCGGCAAAGACATACGAGTGGGTGAGCTTGACCGGCGGCGTACCTGATGATGAGGTGGGCGGTATCAGGGCGCCGATCTGCCCGCGTACAGGGACAATCAGGTCGGCAAAGGCCGGCAGCAAGTGTGAGGTGTACCCATTTGTGGCGAGCAGGACCTGGCGCGCGGTGATGCTGCCTCGCGGAGTGGCCACGACCCAGCCGGAGCCGGTCTCGCTGCGGGAGAGTGAGGTGGCCGGGGTGTTGGTTTGGAGGTTGAAGCTCGGGGCGGGGAACCTGGCGAGGAGGGATTCCAGGACGGAGGCGACCAGTTTATACGGCCAGAGGGAAGCAGCCTTTTTCTGGATGATGGCGCCGCAGGCGGAGGGGACACGCAAGGAGGCGAGCTTTGAAGAAGAGGAGGTGTCGTCGTCCGAGGAACGGACGACCTCAAGTTGGGCGCCTAGCTCGGGGTGGCTGCGCTTCAGCTGCTCGGCCGCGGCCGCCGCCAGCTCAAACATATCCTCGGAGAGGAAGGCGTGTACGCCCGTCAGGCTTACCCTGCTTGGGTCAGCCTCCTCCCTGGAAAGACGCCAGCCAACAAAGCAAAGCACAGGAGACAGATCCAGATAGAAAGGACATACCAGTCACACTCCACCCCCTCCTCTCGCACCAACCGCTCAAGAAAGTTGAACACCTCCAGCTCAAACGCCGCCACGGCCGGTGCAGAGCCATATACCAACGGTTGGCAATGCCCTCCATTCTGTTGATTATCACCGTACCATCAGCCCAGACAGCTTCCTTTCCGCCGGTATTATTTACCCCTTTCCATTTCTTCCTCCATTCCCTTTCTTCCACTCTCCTCCAGTCCAGGAACCCCAACCCACCCACCCACCCGCACACACTCACCCGCACATATATATGAGAAAGACAAGACTCACCCGCCCGGTAGCACCAGAACAAGCCTCCCTAGCCTCGAGCATCACCACACTGCTGTCATGCTTGGCACGGCCGTGATACTCCTTCAGATACCGCGCGGCAAACGCACCCGTGATGCCGCTGCCCACAATCACAACGTCGGCCGCGGCCGGGAGTTCGGGCGTCGAGCGGTGGCCGAGCAGAACGGGACTCGGGTCACGGAGCCAGTACGAGGCGGTGGGATTGTCAGAGGGGAGCCCCGCTCTTTGTGTGGACTGGACTTGTGGTGGTTCGTGGCCCGGGGTTTCGGTTGGTGGTGTTGGGGAAGGGGAATCGGCGATCTTGCGTATTACCATTTTTGAATAATGGGGCGATTGAAGTCGGTGATGCTGAAGGAAGGCGAGGGGCTGTGGAGGGGGTTTACATTGATGGTGAGGTGATGGGTTGTTGAGGGTGGTGGTTATGAAGTGAATGAGGGATGAATGTATGAGGATAATTGAGGCCCGACTCCATCGAGGAACAAGCTGGGTGACCCCACCCACCTTGGTCGCATGTAGGTATTCAGTAAAAACATCGAACTGATCACCAGGGTTATCATGTAAAACTGCATCCGTCCTTTTATTTTCTCCAAATGCCAATCTGTTCCAAGAGCACAGTCCAGGTGAGGTCCGGCAAGTGCTTTTCGTCTCACTCTCTGTCCATGAGCGACTACCGTACATGCGAACGAGGAACATAAACCATGCTATAGCCCATCCGCTTTATTTCCCTTGCCGTTAGCGGCCCCGTCTAGCCGCCCCGGTAGCGTTAGTCGCTCTAAGATGACTCTCGTCGTCACATCGTCACAAGGTCGTGCCAAAACCCTACTTGCCCACCAAAACCATTGCCAGTAGTAACTCCGCAAGTGCCACTGAACCCGATTCTAGCGAGCAGACAGGACCCGGAAAGAAAAACGGCCCAGGGGAAAAGTGAGGTAGTAAGTGATGCTTCAGCCTTGCATCTTTCTTCTCTTGCCGACCTGGGCAGAGAAACCTGTCTTGATGGCTTGGACTGAGCGACGAGAGCCGCAAGAGTTGCAAGTAATGAAGCTGTGAAGCGGTTAGTACAAGAACCAACACGAAAGGTAAACGGCACGTACTAGAGACGGTTCTCGCCCTTGGACAGCTCCGTGTTGGGAGACCGGCACGTCTTGCACGTCACGTATTCTAGGGGAATTTCAATCAGTCACACGCCCTGAACCAATCTCGCCAGATCCACTGTGACATACCTATTATGTACGTGCGCAGGACGTTCTCGATCTGCTTCTGCTGGAAACGGCCCTTGATCACCAACCGCCTGCTGCCGTCCACGCTGCCGCTGGTACCCAACTCGGCAAAGAGGTAGGCTGTGACGTGTTCGTCGGCTCGCTTCATGCGCTTGCAAATCTCCGGGAGGTTGGCGAAAATGGTCTTCTTGTTGCCTTCGCGGAGACACTGCGGCGGCGGGATCTTGTAGGAGCGCGTGCCCGTTGAGGCGTGGTCCGGGTTCTTCTGCGCCAACAGGGCAAAGAATCTTGAGAGCAGAGGGTCGTAGTTGATCGTCTTTGTCTCGTCGTGCGACCAAATGCCTGTGCCCTTGTCCATGTCACCCTCCTGCTCGCCCTCCTCGCCGGCAGCTTCAGCACCCTCAACGCCCTCGCCGCCCTCGATTTTCAGGGCCTCGAGTTTCTTTGCAAACTCATCCTCCTCCTTGGGCACCTTCTTCTTTTTCTTCTTCTTCATTGACAGATCAATCGCCTCCTCACCACCGGCAGCGGCGGCGCCGTCACCGCCCTCGCCCTCGCCATCCTCCTTCTTGACCTTCTTCTTCTTCTTCTTCATGAGAGAAAGGTCGAGCTCATCGGGATTCTCGGCGGCGGGGGCGCCGTCTGCCGCGCCGTCAACGGGTGCTTGTGAGGCATCAGTAAAAGCCCCGAGCGCGGCGGAGAGAGGCGGCGTACGTGGTGTGTGCGACATGGCTGTCTCTTTGGTATCGTCGTTTGGTGTTGCAACCATGGTTACGCTACCATCGGCGTCCACCACCAATTTCTCCTCTGTAAATGCAACCGACTTACGCGAGGCGCGTCTCTGGGCTGAGGGATCCTAAGTATGTTAGTATTGGGAATATCCAAAATCTAACGGCGAACAATTTGTAAAGATAAAGCCGTCAAAGAAGACGGGAGAAGGAATTTTGTGCTCGTCGATGGCGTCAAAGAAAGCAGCCGGTTGATTTTATTGGAACTCGTGTGGTGTGGCGGAGGGGCAATTGAATTTAAATTCCCAAGGAAAACCGGCCGTGGTTTGGTGAGGGGGAAAGCCAGAAGGGCTCAGGCAAAAACTTACTTCGGAGCTCATCTTTGGCCGCAGACCTCAACGTTACTGACCCTTGCAAGTTGTACTCGAAGGGTGGCTCTCCACCGTCGTTTTCGTCAGCTGCGAGTACGTTCGACTGTAGTACCGGCTGCCTGGGAACGGGCGCTGGCTTTTTAAGGAAGAATATATTCGGTGTTCTTGATGGATAGTTCTCGCGATTTTGCGCCCAAAAAGGATGCCGTTTTACAGATTTGAGGACTGCAAGTTGTTAATCTGTTGCATGACGTTTGTAATCTTTCACTGTGACTCAGGCCTTCAATCACCTGACATTTACGGGCCAACGTTACAGTACGCTCCGTCTGCCAGCTGCTGGCGTCCGGCAGATACAGTACGTGAACTGGGCCGGGCTTGTGCTTCGTAGTGCTAGTGCACCACCTTCGCAACACCTAGAGCAATTCCATCCCGGCGCAAACTGTCCGCCGCGACATGCTTCGAAGTCGCACTATCCTACACTAGACAGCTCTATGCCGCCCATCTCGCGCATCCGTCGACCTTTGAGACCGAATTGCGGACCGTGACGGGAACCGGAGCAGAGCCGAAGCCGCCATGTCGACGTCGTCATTGACGGCCAGCGTCTCCGAGTCGTTCGTCATTCCGGATACCGCACCCTCGGAGAACGATGAGGTCGATTCCTTGCCATCCATTTCGAGCAGCGTTCTTGACTCGGAAGAGGACTACTCAGACGCGCAGAGGGAGTGGGAGGAGAGCTTGGAACAGCTGCAGCTCCTGCTCACCATGATCATCATGCCCTTTGCCGGCAAATATTTTGGCCGCAAGTTTGCCTACTGGAGTGGGTGTCCTCGGTTCCATGCTGGCGTGAAAGCGGAGCTGTTGTTGACATTGGCACAATTGCAGGTTGGGCAAGGTACATGGAGTGGATGCACAATGTCGAGATCCGGTGGACGAGCCCTGCCAGCTTCAAGGCGGCCGGCGCCATACAAGCTGCATCTACATTATGACTCAGGGGTGGATGGGCCAATTCAAGCCATCTGTAAATACCGGCTAGAGCATTGGAGAGGATTATACACCACGGCGTTTGGGAGTTACGGACTGTTTCTGATTACTTTCCGATCACGAAGCTGTGTCTTAACGGCTCCTATTATTTTGAGGATCTCATTACTTTGACATGAATTATCGTTCATTGCAATGCTAATACTACATACAGGAGCCCGCCCCTTATTCCTCGTCCATAGGCCTGCCCCAGCAAAACCATTCCATCCAGTCATATACCCATTAAATATCTTGTTCCGTTTTCATGTGTACGGCCCGGGCCATAAGGAATAAGACGCTCATAAACCATCATACACATGCAGAGCCAATAACATCCTCATCGTGTTCGTAACATCCCAATCCAATTTCCCATCATCTCCCGATCGAAAATCCTCATACCCTAACCTGAGACATGGTTGGTCCAGACCTGACGCTCCCGCCGCCGCGACGGAAGCCCATAAAGGTCAGGGCGAGCGCGGCCGTGAAGGTGGCGAAAAGGAACCACATGAAGACTGTGGATGCCTGTACTTCGCGGCAGCGCCTGGTGTCGTCGTTGCTGCCGTAGGCAATCCAGTCCGCAGGCTTATCTTTCGTATCGGAGCAGTTGACCACGGTCAGCTTGGCCGCCAGGACGATGGCATCGATAAAGGTGAAGAGGGTCACGGCGGCGTCGACGCCGAGTAGCGCCAGCACTGGCAGGGAGATGCGATCAACCATGCCCACTGCGAGCCCAAATAGTGCGGCCAGCCATGAGAGCACGATGACGAACATGGAGAAGTTGATGGCGGCCGTGGCCGATGAGGCGGCGCGTTCGTTGCTCGCAATGACGTTGCCGATCAGGCCCGTAAGGATTATGATGAAGAGGAGCTGCAGCGCCCGGAGGAGGAGCTGTATTCTTTCCATGGCGGGCGAGACTGGTTCGACGACCGTCGACGGCGATGCGGCAAAGGACTGCAGGTCTTCTCGTCACAGGAGGTGTGCACTTGGTTTTGCGACTGCAATAAAAGTGTCTCGTAGCTCTCGATAACTCGATTCGAGGGAGGCGAGGCCAGATGCAAGCTATTGATTTTTGGTGGGATCAACAAGTTGGCTGTTGAAAGACAAAGAAAGATGGGAAACTTTGGGTGGAGAAGACCAGCTTTTTACAACAGGCCGGGGACTTCGGAGCGGCAGTCGTATGTAGGCAATAAATTCCAAGCGATCGACAGACTGGCAACAGCAGCAATGGGAGGATGGCGGTTGGCGAGGAAGCATCATAGGGAAAGCATGGATCGCCTAGGAAACTAGAAAAAGTGGGGCGATGACGGAAGCTTCTTTGCCTTCCCACCGTACCCCGGCACATCGATCGATTGGCCCTTGCGGATCGCCAGACAAGCCAGAGGTCGACAACGGACGACCTCGAGGGCGCCAAGTCTCAAACACAGTCGTGACACCCCTTGGCTCTGTTCCTCAGGATTGAATCCCAGCGTCAAGACAGACGCCAGGCCGCCCGCTGTCTTCACGCCCAACAGAAGCCCGGCCAGAATCTCTTCAAATGTACCCATGTACTTTGCTCGCCGTTTGAGTGGAAAACAATCCTGGGCCTAGCTGGATGTGCGTCCCAGTGTGATTCCCGTTCCAGCACGGCACCTCCGCGCCCTGGTCGCCCCGCTAACCAATCGATCCACTTCAAGGACCCTCGTCCCCTGACGTTTTCATCGGCCACCCTTCCGAGCTCCCTGGTCCTGCGTGGGTCCTTGCTCTTCTCGTGGCCCTGGCAACGGCCATGCAATGCATGAAACGGTTGACCTGCCGCGCGGAAGCTTTCTTGGCCTGTGAAACGCTGTTTCCAAAGCAGCGGTTAACATACCCGTCATGTTGCGTTTTTAGCTCCATGCGCGGCCGCAAATATCGTGGTGTGATCCTCTGATCATCGGATTCGCAGAGAGCAATCCTGATGTTATGCGTTGCCAAAGCGATTGCTCTCAGCTATCCACGTACCTAGCCCTCTGTCACCTACACGTACACTAAGATCCCAGCTGCCTACCTACGCACAATTCCGTCTCACGAGCCTCTCAATCGGTCTCACCCCTCCGACCCGACCCCAACCCAGGCCCCACCTGCGCGAACAACGTCCTGGCACCAGCATCGCCATCTACCACCATGTGCCCCTTCTCCCCTTGACCCTCACCAACCACGACCCCGCCCATCCGGCGATGGTCGTACACAACAGACCCATTAACAGCCGACGCGTTTCTAAAGTACAGCTCCTCCTGCTTGCCCGGCTCAGCCACGCCAAACCACAGGACCTGGCCGGCCTCTCCCCACCCGGTACTCTGCATCCCATCCCCCGTCTGCCTGAACTCGGCGGTGCCCGCTTTGGAGGTATCCATACGCGCCACGCGGCCCTTAGCGCCCTTGCGTGAGCCAAAAGCCTCCAAGCCCGAGGGGAACACGCTGGGCCCGGACACGCTGACCTCCTTCCCCTGCACCACCCGCGCCGAGATGCTGAGGTTGCCCTGCGAGGAAATGGAATACGTCTGGTTGGCGAACAGCGGGTAGCGGTAGGTTGCCCGGTATGGTAGTCCCTTGTGGGTTGGGGAGGAGGCACGGTCGTCGCCGCTGATGACCAGATCGTTGAGTTGCGTGTAGCCGAAGGCGGTCAGGTGGCCGTAGTTTTTGTATGAGAGTGACTGGGACCAGGAGGCCGGGGCGGAGGAGTGCTGGGTTTTGACTCGGTTGGAGATGATCTCAAGAGAACGATGGACGGACGTGGTATAAGTCAGGGTTTCGTTGGCGGTGCCGTTGCTGGTGAATGCGCGTGTGATGGCGATGGTGGGCGGCGACAAGGCGATTGCAGGCGGCTCGCCCGTGGTGATGGAGGAGTTGTCCTCGTCGAGCCAGAGGAAGATCTTGCCCGTCACGTACCAGCTGTCACCCACCGACTCAGTTAAGGCCACAGAAGAGCTGTTGGCGGGGTCGTCATCTAATCCGGCGATGCGGATGGTGAATGTATGCTGGGCGCCGTCGCAAAGCAAGGGAAGGAAGGGCGTAATGTCGATTTCTTGCTCTTTGAGGTCGAAAGCATTGATACCGACGATGGGGCGGTGTAGCGAAGGGACGACTCCGCCGGTGAATATGACCGGGAAGGGCCATTGTACCCCAGCAAGTTGGCCATCGATGAGTAGCTGCACCTCGCGGAACGGGCTGTACCCTGGTAAGGGGCCCGCGGTTGCCTTGAAGGTGAGGACGTCGCTTTGCAAGACATTACTCCACCAGAACTCCTCGCTCGCCTGCCCGTTCGCCGAGATAGAGAACACGGCGCGGCGAACGTTGCGTGGTATATCGATGGTGTTTGTTGCGTTCTGGGCAGGCAGGGTAAACTGACTGACCCCGTTGTTTGCTCCCTGGCGCGCAGAGATTGGAATAATCAGATCACTTGGGGCATCCTGATCGGTTTTCAGGTCGGTCTTGTAGAAGATGGCTGTCATGGTGGTGTTGAAGATACCAGTATACTTCTCATCTGTGCCCGAGTGGTGAGCAGTGAGCTCCGGGGAGATCGTTGCACAGATACTGCGACCTACTGATCAAGTTGCCCAGATCGAATATAATCTTCTGGGGGGATTTCCAGAAGTACATGTACTCGGTCATGTCCTTTAGATAAATCCAGCTGATCCCAGGAGGAGCCGTGGGTTGCGCCGTTGAGGTCCGCCCTAATTGGCTCACAATCAGGAAACTGAATCTTGAGTAGGAGAACACTTTAGATTCCGGATTGTCCCTAGAGATGTCTCATACGACTTACAAACCTCTGTGTCGCCAAAATACATGATTGCAAGGCGGTCATACTGCCGACCATGGCTCACGGCGCTGAAGTTGAGGACCACTCGGTTGAATTCACAGCTAGGTGGCGTGTAATTGCCTAGAGAGATGCACGATATTGTTAAAGCTCAAAGGGACAGCCTCTGGCAATATACAGCGCGGCTTACCGATGTACGGAGCGCCGTAGCTCCAGGCAAAGTCATGGCGCATCAACAAGACGGTACACAGCTCTGGTGAGTAATCCTTGCCATCGCGAGTTGAGCCATCACTGTCGGCAGGGCCAACTGGCATCAAGACTGGAGGGGCGATCTCGAACGTTTTCAGGACCGTCCGAGTCGGTGCGGCGGTTGACGTCGTCGTCGTCTCCCTTGGCTCCAGGGTCGGTGACTGGCTGTCTGCTGCTTGGACCTCTAGCTTGGCAGTACCTTGGTCGACTGGTATCATCCAATTACGGGGAGCCAGAGATGGCTGCCCTGGATAGCACCAGCCAAGTATCGTCTGCACTAAGACCACGCCAACAATAAGGGCGACGAGCCAAGGAAGCATACTTCGTCTCGTCGCGCGCTTCTCGCCCGAGGGCAAAGGGAGGGTACCGTCATCTTTGCCCATAGCCATGACGAGCTTCTCCGGGTGGACTAGGCCCATGATGGTGAAGAAGTTCCAGAAAGGAGGCAGCACCAATCCAGAAATTCGGAGAAAGTCAGGTTACTTAGCATTGGGTTCGAGGATGGCTGGGACCGCGGGCAAACAGACCGGGTTACGACGCTGGAAGGGAGGATCTGGGCCTCCGCTTTCAATGCAACTCATTCCATTGACGGCTATCAGAAGAATTAATCCATGTTGCCAATCAATCAAGATGCGAGGTGCCTGCCGAATATGTCGGGGACTCGGGGCGGGGTTTCCTGTGTTTATTGGATCTGTTTTGCACGGACGGGAGTTACGATGGGACAGGGGCACTTGCCGTCCTTATCATCCATTATCGGAGTACGGAGTACTTCGTATAGTACCTTACCTGCGTATACGGTATTTGTACCTCATGCCGGTTACCAACTCTCTGCTAATGTACCGGATCTCAATAGCATGGACGTTATGGACTCCCATGCGTTATGTACGATGTCCACGACCTATCAGCAATATTTTGAGCATTCAGCTCAACCTATGGTATGACCTATCACATACGTCCGCCTGCGAATATCCTCCAGAACGCGCGGGATAATTAAGATTTATAGCTCTGCTTAGGCCCCGCCTGTGAATGGTATCCTCAATGCTGCCCGTCCACTGACTATGAATGGAAATGGTGATCATCTGCCATATCGATGTAGTGAGAGACCCGTTGCCGAGTCAGCCACAGCACCGGACAGCTGTACAAGGTGGTGCTACAGTCTATGAGGAGATGGTCTTCCGTATATCTAAACGCCGAAGCCGCCAGCCAAATGCTCAACCCCCATTCAAACAGCTCCAAACTATAATGCACTCAGGTTACCCGCTTGGCCTTCCTCTTACCGATCTGCCATCCCCACGACCTGAGCACCTTGACCACTTTCGGTGTGACAGCAGCCGTCAGGGGGACGCGGACGAAGATGAAGCTCTTGTGAATGGCGTATGCGAGAGCAAGTTGTGTAGCCAAGCCTGAATAAAGACAATGGTCAATTACTGAGGACACGGTTGTGGCAGGATGATACTCACTGGCCCCGTCTTGCTTGCTCCTCTCCTCGGCTTCCGCTACCCCATGGCCGATTACCACGACCTCGCCCGTCTCTCCAATTTTCTCTTGGCTCTTTTGCCTGGCAGCCTCTCGGTAATCACGCCAAAAGTTTTGTACGCTTTCGGGAATAAGCCTTTTCACATTATCCACGACGAGATGCTCAAGGTAAGCTGAAAACTGGTGTGTTAGTGGCTGTCCACACTTGGCAGGTCGCAGGTGATGACCACTCACCAATCTTTTCGGTGCCCACCGTCCTCACAAGTAGAAAGCAAAAGGGAAAATCCAGGACAGACAACGCCAGGTACACTCCGACCGACGTCCAACCGTATTCTCTCGACAACTTCTTCATTCGCGCGCTGAACGATAGTGATTCTTCGGCAGCCGCCTTCCCGTTTTCTGCCCGACGAGCGCGGGAAAAGTGGAAGGGACGTTTGGGCGCTGAAAATGGGGATCGGAAAGGCCAGCGCCTCGGTACTGTTCGAGTAGCCGTGAACCTCGAGGCGCTGAGTTGCGACACCAGCGCCTTCTGCCGCCAGGGGACGGCCTGGCCCTTCAACAAGCTACGCGCCCATGGTGCTCTGCCTATGATATCCCGCACAAGAATCCCCCTGGCTGCGCCTCCCCTCAAGAGCACATTGAGCGCTCCGAACGTTGATCGAAACATGGCACCTCAGGTGGACTGTAGGAGTAACTAGAGTGATTGGAGGACTCAACAAGGCGAGAAAGCCGACTGTCTGTCAAGGCTTTCTACCGCCTGTTGAGGCCTTGGATTCCGCGCCTCCGGTAGTTTCTTTCCGGACGCCGAGGATTCCGGGCGCAGGGCGCAGTGCGTCGGCGCTTTCTGGCGCCAGAGGTGAGGTCGCAATTGACACCAAGACTCGGTTAGGCTGGCGTCTGTGGTTCAAATCGTTGCCGTTTGGTGACAGGAGGAATGCAGGTAGTCGCTGGGCAACGACTTTCGCGCTGGGACCGATGCGGACCAGAATCGCGTTGTGCTGATGCGATTTCGAGTCGCAATTTTTGGAAAAGGATCCAAGCTCCGGAGCTCCATCTTGAACCGGTGATGCAATCGGATCCTTCCTGCAGGCAGGATCCAGCGGTCTCCTATTGGCCACTTAATGATGCGGATTCGGAAAAAATCTAGCGCGCTGGTGGGCCGTGACCGGATCCATGGATCCATCCACACCCGCTTCCAATTGGCTTGGCAGGAAGTTCCACCATCAACGCAGCTGAAATCCATCAGGAACTGGAACCATTCGAGGACCCTGAAAGATTCATCACCCTGCACGTGTATGCCCTCCAGCGGCCGCAATATGGTAGACAATTTACGGGTAGAATCAATTTTCAAAAGAGTATGAGAGCCCAACCTTCAACTATGCCATCATGCCTGAATTTGGCTGATTTTTGGCAATGTACATACATAACGTTACTCTTCTGGTATCCCTACGGCACTGTAAGTTACTGAGACCCTCAGTCGACGGGAATTGGCCTCCAATGGGCTGTGCTATGGGAACACAGCTTCCGCCTGTGCTTGGCAAGCCAATCGCCAGCCCGGTTCCTCACGTTACCCCTAAGCGCTGTCCTCGATCCGTTCGGCAAAGAGCTCCCTGATTGGACCGACATGCAACCCCATTCCTCGATTTAGCAGGGGCAGCGGCTAGGTACTGTCCCTCACTGCCCGACCTCAAAAGGTGCTGAGGGGTCCATCAGACAAGCTCACCTCCCCTTTGTCCCATCGTTCCCCTCCAAGGTGTGCTTCGAGCTTGTGCTAGGTTCGTTCATCAGAAGCCTTCAGCGGTTTTCATTTTCTACCGTTTTAGACTCTTCACGAGTTCCCGATTCCCTGGAGACCAGTAGCTCAGGGGTAAGTGCGGGGCATTGCTCTGTTCCCTCGGATGCGTTGCTAACAGCTACCAGCCCGAGAAGCTCCGAGGAAGAACATCTTGCGCTGTCGCCGGAGAAGTGGAAGACGCAAAAATGTCAGGCTACTACCCTCGTGAGTATCACTTCATAATTGCGAATCTTCAACGGACAAGCGTATAACTGATCTGTTCAGCCCCTCCTGGAGCTGCTGGTGCTGGACCCGGTGGGCAGCAGAGCTATCCGCCTCCTCCCATGTCGGCTCCTCCTACACAGACCTCCTTCTCGTACCCGGCTCCCCCAAGCAGTCCGCCGGGTAGGAACTATCCTCCTCCTCCCCAGGCCGCGCCAGCTGCTACTCCACCGCCAGCCTCGACCACGCCTTCATACCCCCTTCCGCCCCAACAGCAACAGTACGCACCGCCGCCGTCGCAACAGCAGCAGTATGCACCACCCCCATCGCAACAGCACCAATACCCACCCCCACCACAGCAGCAATATGCGCCGCCTCCTCAGGCAGCTCCCATGCAACATGCTGCACTACCCTCGCACTTACGGAACCCCTCGGCCGCGTCACAACCCTCGTCTACGACTCCGCCCCCTGCAGCACCTCCTTCCTACAGCCAGGGAGAAGGCGACGGTTCCTACCCTCCTGAGAAGCAGCAGCAGCCGCAGCCGCAACAGTCCCCCGTTATCGATCCGACTGGGGCACCAGCTGCTGGCCATTTTATGGGGGCCTCAACGATAGTGGACGACGTGGGAACCTTCAACGGTGGGAGCTATCGAATCAGCCATCGGGACTGTAACACAGTTTTGACCATCCAACTGGCCATTGGGTGCCCGGTTGATGCTAAAGCAGGTATGTTGCCGTCTCGGGACTTGGCCCTGTGAAGGATGGGTGCACTGACATCAACCTAACAATCAGGCTCTATGATTGCCATGTCCCCATCTATTATCCTCAAGGGCTCATACAAGTTCAGCATGAAGAAGCTGGTTGCCGGCGGCGAGATGAACCACTCGACTTACACCGGACCCGGCGAACTTCTCCTGGCACCCCCGATGCTGGGAGACATCACGAGCCTGCGGCTGACAGGTAGGGAGTCTTGGTCCGTCAGCAATGACGGCTACCTCGCGTCGACGCAGAACGTGGTCAAGGAGTATAAGCGCCAGGGCCTCGGCAAGGCTATGTTCAGCGGCGAAGGCTTGTGGGTATACAAGGTCACAGGGACCGGGTTGCTGTGGTTGACCAGCTTTGGTGCGATTATTCGGAAGGATGTGAGTTTCCCCTCGGGTTTGGTGCATGAACCGTGCCGCTAACAGAAGATGTAGCTGGCCGATGGTGAAAAGTACATTGTCGACAACGGCCACCTCGTGGCCTGGAACACCAAGTATGTTCTGGAGCGGGTCTCTTCGGGCGGCCTCATCTCCGGCCTCGCCTCGGGCGAAGGGCTCGTCTGCAAGTTCACTGGCCCGGGAACTGTCTTCATCCAGACCAGGAACGCGGTACGTTCCCTGTCAACACAGGATTCTGATGATTATGACCAGACGCTGACCAACATGCAGAAATCATTCACTGCTTACATGACTGGCCAGCAGACAGCCATGTAACGCGATGCTCTACGCCAGTGACCGAGGCAGTGAATAGTGTTCTCTGCCGTATGTTGTCGATTGTGTACGCTTTACCCATGCTCGGAGTACGCTGTCGAGTGCATAATCTCATCAAACTAAATGTTGGACTTGGGTTGTTGGGCGGCAGAAGGAGCTGGAGCACGTGGACTTTGGGCAACGAGCGAGCGACCGAGGGAGGTATATAGCCATCGTTTCCTCCTCTGTCAAGCAAGTTAGACTTCGCCAGAGGATTTATTCTATGGCCGAGTAGAGAATGCCAGCTAACTAGGAAATCGTTGCGCACGGTTTCGTAGGGCGGGAGATCACCGGTTCGATTTCAGGTAGAACCAGTGTCGCTCCCGCCTGAGCTTTATGCTATTTCCCCCTTTTTTTCCCCGTCCGATCTTGCCCCTGGATTCTCTCGTCAATAGCATCTGGACTCCCACATGCACCCATCAAAAAATGTGACGCTCGCTCGGGGTTTTTAACAGCTGTTAATGCCTGACTAGGCGCGACTGGGTTACTGCTTCTACAGATAAGAGTTCGTCGGTTACAAGCTGTCTCACCACAAAATGCAGGTGCTCATACTGGCACTTACTCCCGTTGGATGGGAAGTGGCCACCTCCACTATCGCCTTGAAATGAACTTCGGCAACTGCGGCAGCGACATGCCCCCGGCCGTGGTCGGACGCTCATGCCCAAGCCAGAGATGGCACCTTCTCCTTGGATTGTGTTTACATGGCTACCTTAGAGATTTGGGTACTGCTAGGCGATAATCTTCCAGATCATTTTCCAGCTCCTCTCTCCAAGCATCACAAGCGAGGTTGGGATTCTTGCCAGCCACAGCCAGCCTTTTTGGGTACTTTGTGCATATTCTCTCCCTCGCAGCTTTACGACATCTCTTCTTCTTCTTCTTGGAGCTTGCACTGAGCACTGAAGCGTTGTTTTGGGAGCGATCAAGCAACCCTCTCATACCCGTTTGTCCTGAACTCGACGTCCGCATTCCGCTTTCGAGGCCGAAACCGAACATAATTCCGGGTTTAACTGAATATCATACTTCCCTTCGCTGCTTGCCTTGTTTGAAGGACAGGGAAAGCGTCTCTACACAGTTACCTATCCCTGGAGGAGCACCTCGAGTCCCTAGGATAAGCTGTAAGACGCCTACTCTGGCATACCCTTTCCCCTTTCTCACTGCCAACTCTAGGGCTCCTATGCTTTTCGAGACTCTGAGATAGCGGGCCAGTTGTTCTACTTGATGACTAACTCGATTTCTCAAAGTCAGCGCACACATCAGACAGGCACTTCCAGCCCACTAGTAAGCAGGATGGTCGGCTATGCCAGTCATGCCTCGACAATCAAGAGTTCGAACCGAACCAAGGCCTCCGGGCTTAGGGTAAAGACTAACGTGACCGGATTCGGAACTTCTCATGGAAGGAACCGGGCAATTGCATCGACCGACTGGCGAGGGATGGCCTCGGCAACGTCATCCTCTGGTGCCAGCGTTAAGAGACACACCCTGGCAAAAGTCAAGCACGGCTCCGGAGAGAGCGAGAGCTCATTTTCTTCCCTCTTGCCGGGAACGGAGAAGCAGTCATCGAGCCATATCCAGTACCGTCAGCCAGCGGAAAAGCAAGCCCCCTAGGAAACGGTGCTCTCTGCGCCAGCTGGCCATCTGCCCTCTTCGCCATCTACCCTCGGGCCGGATCCAGACGAGGTGACCATTGTTCAGGTCAAGCAGGTCAACCCCATCGTCGTGACCGTGAAGGGCCAAGAGATTTCGCTACCCAATCGGCTGTACTTCGAGGTTCTGCCTGTGGATCCTGATGCACTCGACGAACATACGTTGCCATACGCAGTGCTAGGGGAGTTGAGGCGGCTTCGACCTCCTGTTAGTCTCCGGCAGGTGCAGTCGGAAGACTCACAAAGTCTGCTAGACAACCTTCAAGTCGCCATCGCTTCTGATCAGGACAGCGCCAGCCCGGTCACCTCGTCTCTTCGGAACGGGGACACCGTCTTTTCTGACAAAACGGACCGTCTAGACTCCGCCAGCAGTAGCGAACCAATCGTCGAAAACAAGATCGACCATGCGCTAACACAGCCTTCACCAGAGGAGGAGGCTCGTTTCCAGGGGTTGCTAAGCCGTTTGCAGAAGAACGCAGACCAACCGCCGCAGCCCTGTCAGGCAGCTAATTTACCAAATTCTCTCGGCCAGATCAATGACCCTGCCATCGTCGCAATCAAGGTCAAGCAGAGGGTAGGGACGACGGAAAAAAGTTCTGACGGCGAAACGCAGAATGCCGGCTCAAGTCGAGTCTCTAAACCTCAGCCCATCCACGTGCGGATGACAGCACATGAACTTTTTGCCATGTTAGCCCGCTCGAGCACGAGTGACGATGCAAGGAGCAGTTCTATCAGCCAAAGGGCGAAAGAACCCTCGACTGCGACGGACGACAGCCAGACAAAACGGTTGAATCCTGCAGCAGCCGAGTTCAAATCAACCAAGGGCGGTGACGTTCCCTGGTTCACGCCCAAGAAGATGTCCCGGACACCACTGACAAACATCTTCCCTGATGCTATCTCAAACCATGATTCGCTGGAGCCGAGCCTTCTAGTGGGAACAGCCCTTGTACCGGAGCTTAACCAACAGCAAACGGTAGGAAGAGTGGATGCTGGGCCGACACCCAGCAGTTTGGCGTCCCTTGAAGCCCAGCTAGCTGCCTCGCAAACAGTCTTGTCGCCCCCTGGGCTCAACATCGCCGCTACCGGTGGCTATCCGGGTTCATTACCTCCGACGAACCCAATCATTCGGCCCATTATCACACCGCTGCCACTTCATGCCACGTTATCTGCGGCAACCACCTCGTCGAGCCCTGCGTTCACCAACTATGGAACTTATCCGTCAGCAACTATATCGAATGCTCCGATCAGTGTTCCGCACTTGAGCCTGCCGACTGCCCCCAGCCTTGGAATGAACACCTTCCCCTTCGTTCCAGTTACCCCTGCCATAACCATGTCTGGACTGTGCCAATCCACAACGGCAAGCTCCAACCCCTGGATTGCGCCTCTCGGTGCGGGACAAACCTCGCAGCCTCTTCATCTGCAGCAACAGGACCAGAACCAGCAACCCCAACCGCAACTCGGTCTTGGGCTCGGGGGTAACACGGGCAGCAAGCCGGCTCTGGCCCGGCCGTACTTCCCCGTCACTCAGAAACCGCGCGATCACGACCCGGTCAAGCAGCAATTGTACGAAGCGTACCTTGAGTGGCGCAAGGCAAATGAGCCGGGATACCACTTGAAGTGCAAAATGCGTCAGGCCCATCGCGTCGTCCGCCAATTCCAAAAGCAGCAGCAACAGCAACATCAAGCACAGGAGCCGAAGCATGAGCAGGGCAAACCTGCTGGCAGTCACGACAGGAGTGGCCAGACCCCAGATCCCGGCAGCAACCGTGAAAGTAACAATACCAATGACAACTCGGCGGCTTCGTGGAAAGAGATTGCCGAGCGGGCTAAGGCTGCTGTGGGGATGGCAGCGGCAGCGGCGGCGGCTGAAAAGAACGCCCGCCTGGAAAAGGTGCGGGAGGAGCTCAGAGCTAAGGTGCGGCGGAAGTGTGTTGCTTTGGCGGTGCAGTCATCGGATTCGGATGGGAGTGCTGATGGTGCTGCTTCTGCTGGTGCTGGGAAGGTGGAGTGAGGTTCTCTGTCTTGGATCGGCTCCAGGACAGCAACAGCATTGTTATCTTCATGTATTCGAAGAGGCGTGGGTGGGCTGTTTCTGGGTCTGGTTTGTCGAGGGCTTGCTTTGCATTGGCGGGAAGGCGCAGCATCATTTCCCTCTTTGCTCAACCGACATAAAGTTGAGGTCTTTCTACGATATCTGCATCGGTTAGCTCAGCTCTTGCGTTTGTGTTTTCTTCAAACTTTGTTTTGATCAGTTAGCTCTCGGACACTAGTCGATGGACTAGAGGTGTGATCATTCATACATTATTAGGCTTTGGCTTGCTAGTTTAGTTTTCTGTCTTTCTTTCCATGAGCTGCAGTAGCTTCTTAGTCTAGATAAGCTGGATCATGAGTTTGAAGGCGTTGGGTAGCATCATCACTCAAGTTAGGGGCAGTTACCCAACCGACCTGCTTACTCAACGGTCTTGGTTTAGTTAAGAGGCACGGTAGAGTGCTTAGCATATAGTAGTATTAAAACAATGACGCCTGGTGCGATTTCTCTCTTTGGTCACATATATCGTTTGATGTGTCTTGCCAGATCGGTTGGGCGACTAACCCGGGCGTAAGTGTGATGAGTGATAGCACTTTGAGGTTAAAGATGCTCTCACGGCGAGCGAGGGACAGGGGAGGGATGAAGACTGGAAGAAAGAAAATCAGAGGATCTTTTCAGCAGCACACATCACCACGTACAAGGTTGGGCCAGATATATCTGTTTCCGATCTAATCAGTTGCACCTGATGAGCGGTAGAGCTCAAAGTTCAGGTTGGGTATCACTCCGTACATGTAAAAGAACATAGAACCAACAAGCCTATTTCCCCTCGCTGAGCCCAATTCCAGGTCATGCATGGTATGCGACTTCTCTTGGGAACGCCGTGCAATGCCCAGTGCCAGCCCATGCTCAATATAAAGGGGAAAGGAAAACGACATCAATATCCGTCCCGACCAGACGAATGCCATATCATAGTATGCATGTTCCCCCTGTCCTGCCGTGGATGCTCTCCACCCTCTCTCTTCCCATTGCTGTAGCGACATGTCCAGTTGTTGACCGGAGACCGCCTCGCAAAAGGCTAGGTAAATTGCTGACGGCTAGTGTGTGCCATCAGCGTCACTGTCTCAAGACCAGCCTTGACGAATATGAGCCAAGAGCTTAGAGGGACCAATGCTTCCCCATCACCCGTTAACGTCTCCAACACTTCCCCTAATCCCCCGTTGTCAAGTCCCACCCCCCGACTAGCACCTCCCAGGTAGCGCCACTAGTATTCTTTGATGACATCAACCCAGGTAGCGGTTTGCCTGGGCGGGACGTGTTGAACATCGACGCCACGCTTGCGTGCCATTTCGAGCACTTCGTCCCTAAGGGTACCCTTGAGGGCGTTTTGACGAATGACTCGGATTCCCGGGTGGCAGACGAGGCGGGCCATGAAGCGGGCCACGGCCTTGGGGGCATCAGCGTTCGGGAAGACGCTGACGGTGTGCACCTTTGGGCAGTTTTTCAGCAAGTCGATAAAAGGCATGCCGTCAAATCCATCCGGGTCGCAAATATCGGACCAGTTGAAATAGTGCAGTCCGAAAGTGTGGATGTTCTCGTTGAGCAGTCTGTTATAGCAGCTCCAGGGAAGGGAGGCCCTCAACGACGGGCCGGCCCACAACTCGAGGACCTTGAGGTTGCCGGCTCTTGTTGCCGGCCCTAGGATGTTATACAGTTCTTCCGGTGCGGCCGCGCCCAGATAACGAAATACTTCTAGCTGGCGCAAGCGCTGACCCAGGACCTCGGAGATGGGGGCGTAAAACGGGATCGCGATGTGATTGGTTCTGACAAAACTCACAGGGGGTTTGATATAGAGCACCTCAATGGATCGTAGGGAGCCGGCTATCGTGATGAGGAAACCTAGTTCGTGTCCATAGACCGTAGACACCATCACGGATGCGGCTGGGCCGAGCACAATCTCGCGGAGGTGAGGCCACACTGCCGGCGGGTTGACCGGGTCAAAGAGCCAGCGAACCTCATAACCATCGATTTCGAGGCGCTGAAGATTCGGCGTGGCATCCACCACGGTTTCCTTAGCTCGTTAGTCACAATCCTGGAGGGCGGTGGAGTCCAAGCCGGGCCAACCTACCAACACGAGCGCCGTCTCGGTTTGCCCGACACCAGAGTGGAGGAGGAATTCCGTCCCAACAAATCTCAGCCTTTCAAGCCTTGGAAGCTCGGTCGTCGCAAGCACCCGGTTCACTCTTCCCTGGATGTTGACCAAATCGAGCACCTGCAGAGTCTGGGCGTTTATCTCGATCAATCGTATGCAAACATCCTCAAACAACCCTCCCAGGGACAGGCGGGTCAGATTTGGGCCTGGCCTCGTCGGTAACCCGAGGCCTGAAGTCATGTCTGGTCGAGTGAGAATCTTGTATTCAGTGCCTAGACACAGCTGCTTCAGATTCGGGAGGCCATGAAGCAAACTGTTCAGCTTGGTGACCGTCAATTTGAAGTTGACGATTTCCTGGACGACAAAGCTCTTGATGTCTTGACTGCGGGCCCTTAGAAACTTATTGAACAAGTTCCCTGTTGGGTGCTCCGGCTTCGAGAGGCGGATGTGGTCCCAAACAGACGTTTCTGTAAGGAGGAAGTCGCGCCAATTCTTGTTGACATACAGGCACCGACTTTTATGCATCTTGTTAGAGCAAATTCTCGGAAAGCACAGGGGTGCTGAGCTGCAGGCTTACAGAAGCGTGTTGGTATCCAGGTACGAAAAGACCATGGTGAGCAGCTCGATCGGAAGCTTCTCGGCCGGATTTCTTCCAGCATGCTTAATCCTCAGATTCTCAGCCATTCGCTGCAGAATAAACTAAGAGGGCCATTAGTTAACAAGACTAGCAGAGAGGCATTCGCCAATTGGGCCGGCTCCTCCTCACCCTGTAGCTATCATTCGGGCCGTTACGGGATTGGTCGGTGTTGTACAGTCCTTTCTCGACAAAACGTCTGAGGAAGCTCCAGGAGAGCTTGAAGTCTGCCAAGCCCTTCAGTCTAGCATGGTTGACGATGGTGGACATAGCCTTTTGGGCGATAGGCTCCGAGTTGGCAGCCCGCCTCATCAAATCACGAAGAATAACGCCGGCACGGCAGTAACCCTTCAAGCCATATCAGTTGGTGCTCCGTTTGATTTTCATGGGCGAGCCTACTTACCGCAGCCGAAGTAGGGGACAGGCGAATAAGACCGAGGGCGGTCGAAAAGGCAGAGACGTACTGGTCCGCGTCAGCCTGGCACTCGGCCAGCACATCTAGGGCGGAGATGTGTTCCGGCAGGGAGCACTGTGGCCACTTGTATTCACAGGCACACAGACGCTGGGTAACAGCGTATAAGTCGTCGTCCTCGCCCAACACTGCGCTGATGCATTGTGCTATATGACACCCTTTGTCTTTCGGGTGACGCTTGTCGCCCGCTTTGCACGGGCACATGGAAAGAATCTTTTGCACACAGCATTATTAGCGTAGGCCAGCTGAGTAGTTGGATGGGCAAGTACTCACGCGCACGATCTGCTTAAGAACCTGCGCATACTGTCCTTGTTTGATACGCTCGCGGCACTCTTGGAGAGAGCTCGCCATTACCTTGAGCGCATGGCCATGGCCCTCGCCTTGCGACTCTTCAGGCTGGTGATCAGGGCCGTTGTCTGGAACGTAAGGCAGGCTAGGGTCTGCCATGATTCATTGGGGCTGTATTGCTGAGATACTGAATCGAGGATGACCATGTGAGCTTCTTTATTGCAAGCCACGATGGCCGGTGATGAATGGACAGGGTTGTAGATCCTACGTACCTTGGCCGATCGCGATCAGATCGTTTGGACTGAATACCTTTATCGGTGGGAATGACGAGGAAGAACGAGGAAACACCAGGTTGTCGTCGGTGAATGTCAATGAAAAGCCGTTCCCAGTTGATTCACGGTGGACTGCTGTACACTGTACAGTAGGCAGTGTAGGGTTTGAATTGTGGTATGAAGCGGTGGCTCACTTTGAACAAAGGATGTGAACGCGGTGATCGGTGATGGGAAAAGAGCAGTTCTCGTTGCCCACTTTGAGGTAAGTTGCTCATCTCTGCTCTTTCCTTTTCCTCATCTATAACTCTGACTACAATGACCGTGACCAATAACGCGTAGACCGCGCTTAGACGCGTTGCGGGGTACTACTCCCTGACGATATCGGCCAAGCTTCGGTTATATACAGTGTCCGTCTTATATCAAACGGTCACTCGCACGGCTAGCTAAGCCCTGGGCGAACAGTTTAAATACCCAGATTACAAAGGAAGTATCGTCATTAAGAGCGTACAGTACACTTCTTGATTGGCGATCCAGCGAGGTGCATCCAGACAGCCCCTTGGACATCGCGGAGGACTCACCTAGTAAGTGTAGTCCGTATTAGCATTGGACTAGGTACTAGTTCTATTACTCAACTAAATGGCCGCTGTCGAAGCAGACTCTTCCATTGAGCTGACTGGTAGGTAGGGCAGCATTGTAGGACAGGCTGTGCTGTTGCTTAGGTACAGGACCCTATGTTTGTATTGTACCATACAAAACCTACACAGTATACCGTCCAGGCCCGAAGCCAAGCACCAAGCTGAAGCTGGATGCTGCTATACTCCGTAAAGATAAGTGCATCAGCCCAATAGGTACTTCACTGCTCGAACAATTGCATTCCATATGTACGGAGTACTTCCAAAGTCCTCGCTAAGTAATGATATCCCCAGCTTCAGGAGTCGGCGTCGCACATGATCGGTCCCGGCAGTTGAACACTGACGATCCCAGGATGCCTAGCCTTTCCTCGCCCAGCCGTCGCGCCTCAATCCTTTCCGTGCTTGCCCTGTCCGAGTGGCGTCATCCCGTCTTCAGCCTCCAGTTGTGCCTTCAAGTCTGGTTGTAAACCGGTTTTGCAATTAATAATAACAGAGCTCGGATTTCTAAGATGCTTCTTCTCTTTCGATTCGGAGACATTACGAATCTGCCTTATTAATCTGGTGAGCCGTGGTGGTGACTGGTGAGATGTCGTCACTGTCAAGCATTTGATCGACAGGCGTCGTTTCAGAAGCCGCGCTGCAGCGACAGTCGCGGCTGTCTAAACTGGAAATGATGCAATTCTTGATTACAGAGAACAACGACATACCATACACACAGAAGACCTCCAAAATACCTCGACGTTGTGAGCTTTTTCCGCGTCGCATGCCATCGTGCAACTAAAACGTCACAGTCTCAGCCGCACCTAACTATGCTTCCTATTTTCCTTTCTAGAAGCTAGATACAGCAAGAAGTCAGTATTGGGTAACATCGAGGCTTACATGCACGGGGTGAGACACGCGGGGCTTACGTAGGTCCCGGCCCGTCCGAGGTTGTCACTCACCACCACACCCCCCCATGACGACAGTGCTGTAAGCTTCATGACTGGATTGATCGATATGTAGCCTGTAGCCTACCTGCGGCTGCCGGCGTCCGAGGTGCAGATTATATGTAGGTACCGTGTTTGTCCTACACTTGGACAGGCAGACGGGTAACTGACCGGTCGCGCACACCTCCCACTCATTTGGAAAACCCGCCATTTTGGGATTGGACACGTGGGATGAGTATGTAACCGGCCAGTCGGTGCTGGTTTTTCTTCGGGACTCTCGGCTTTTGCTCCTTTTGGTCAGTCGTGCTGCAGGCTGTCTGTCAAAACGCTGTCAGACGGGGCAGCGCCCTCCAGTCGCAAACTCATGTAGTCCTGTCAATGTAGGTATTGTACGTATGTAATTGCCTGTCTACCTACTAAGTTCAGGTAGGTACAGAGTTGAGCGAAAGAGATGAGAAGCCAAAAAAGAGCAATGATTGAGATGGCGCCAGTTCATGGCTCACTGGAGAGGAACGGACACAGGGGGGGGCGGCGCCGGCGCTGTCGGGCGGTAGGTAGTGTTAGTAGTCGTCCGTCGGTAGGGTCGCATCTTTCATCCCCTGACTGTTATCATTCAGTTCGCATCCGTCCGATATCAACTCCAGTCCGTCGCAACAGGTCAACAACCGCTTGTGCTCTTACTAGGATCACTCTCGTCGTTCCATATCACTTCGCAGACGACTTCTTGCCAAAGAAATGAGACTTGGACGGAAATCACAGAGCATACTATTCCTCAAAACTGACAAGCCTTAAAAAGTTGAGAGAATCGCCCGCTCGGTGGTGAGTGAGAGTTCCGCCTCTCTATTTTTAACGTACCAGGCACCCTGGGAGGCCTGATTGGCACCCCTGAAGCCACAGAATGCCTCGTCGTTAAGGTGCTGACCACGGGGCTCCGGCCCCCAATTTTTATCACATTCTCACCTTTTCTCTCGATCTCTCTTCTCTCCTTGCTTCCCCTTTTGTATTGTCACTGCTCTAATCGCCTATTTTGGTCGATTTGGCGTTACAGCGGCCTCCAATTGGTTGACGGAATTGAATTAAATCGTTGCTTCCATGGCACGCACCCAATGAGAATCTACACCAATGGCTTGGAATCGATGCTGTTACCCCCTTTGCAGTATGCAGATGCCGTGTACCTTAATCTACTCAACGCGACAGACACATGACTTACGCAAGCTCACTGAGTCTGAAATGATGCTGCAATGCGGGCTGGCTCTCGCGGGTGTAACCGCTGTATACCTACCTTAGGTTGTCATGCAGGCTTGTTTTATGTATTTGTTTATGTTTCCCCGGAGGGCAGTCTCAAGACAAAACAAGCTGAATTACCCTGAAGAAAGTGGCCATGTCATCAGGCTACAGTTACACAGAGCTCGGACAAATTCGTTTCTATTCTTCGAACAAGCCTTCGCGAACACAAAGTCCTGATCGGCCAGTGGCCACGAAAATTCCAGGGCACAATATCTGCCGTTCTATTTCAAGTTCTATTCCTCTATACGTCGCACCGTCTCCTTTGCCATGCTTCCCCACAACTCAGCTGGCTCCTTGCAGTAACAGCAATCTCTGGATTCCAGCCAGGATTGCTAAACCGGCCTGACAAGGAAACCAGAAGGGGTAGAACAAATGAATGTCCCTCAAGCGGCTTCCACCATCATTTGTCCATCCTGTTTGCCCAGGGCTGGGCTGTGACTGCCGCTGCTACCAGAGCAGCTATTAGACATAACAGAGGGGTGAGTCCATCCAAACGTTACATGCATGAAGCCATCCAGACATAACCAGGAGAAAAGAAAACAAGAACCGAGGAAAGCCATACCGCCAAACAGAAAGAAAGGGCCTCCGAGGCCAAAAAGTGTATGTGAGAAGAGAGTTTCCCCTCAGAAGAAAGAAAAGAGGTCATCTCAGTTGCCTGAAAGCCATTTGGCCAAACGCCTGGTATCGTGTCCCATATGCATGCCTCATACCGACCGTGGTGCTCGTAGAATCCATAAGAAGAAAGAAAAGAAACCGAGATAGAAAGGAGATGCAAGACATGGGGGTGTTGTACAAGGTGCGTGCTGTGCTGTGTTCCGTTACGTTCCAATGTCCGACGCTATGCTTTCATGTAGGACAAGAAAACCAAAAATCTCCCGTCACAAATGAGACCATAGAGACAACAATGTGGATTCGCCGGCAAGGCCGAACACATCCCTTGTCTGCTGAGGACCAGTGGACCGGGCAAAAGTGTTGTCGTCCCTCTCTGCTGTCGTCTTCTCTTCGATTTCGATTTCCCGTCTTCGATGACAAAGACTGCTTGTCCAATGGCGGATTCGGCATTCGTCGAGGAGGTTCGGTTTCCCGGGCCCAGGCACTTGGTAAGGTTGCATAACTCTGTCTGCTTCCCTCCTTCAGCCAATATCAGGTGGTGCAGATGTTGACACCAAGCGGTCGTGGCCCACGAAGAGGTATGAAAGCTGGGAAGGACGCGGGGCCACCTCAGGACTCGCTCGGAACGAGTAGAGGTAGTTGACCTAGCCTTGAAACTGAAAGCGTCCCAGCGGCGGTGAATGCCGAGGATAGCAGCCCATCATCGAAGACACTACTTTTCACCTGTACCGGCCGCTGGAGCTCTTGGACGACCGGCTTGAGTAGTAGCCAGAGTCTGAGTACTGGGAATGGGTGTAATCATAGCCACCGGAGCGGTGCGATGAGTGGTCGCTGCAGGCGTACCCAACCAAGATTGTCCGCCTCTGTATGCCATGACCTGGCCGGCCATAGGCAGCACACCGGTCAACAGCATGCTGGTAGTAGAGGCACCGGCAAGCAGAGTAGAGCTCAACCAACTGATAACACATCTCGACCCTCTCCCCTTGGAAATTTGCTGGGTCCTCGAAGCTTCAAGCTGCTGTATGTGGCGGCCGGCGTCGTAGATGTGGTCCGTGGGCAAGCGGCGTGCGAGACAGACAGCAGGGGGGTTGTTGACTGCCGGCAGGGGATGTGGCGGCGGGGGTATATTGCTCGTGATGTCCTTATGCCCACGGGATGTGACGAAAGGCGACCAGGTAGACTTTTGCCGACTATAGAGAAACAAGATCCTTCTGATGAGGTGTGCAAGTTTATCCTGGACGAGCTGTGTAGTTGTGCACAAGCGAGCGAAGGCAAGAAGATAAGTATGAAGCAACACGGGCTCAGGCATCAACCTAAGAGAGGTGGTGGTAGAACAGAAGAGAATAGGACAATAGGACGTCTGAAACGAAAGGCAAGGCAAGCAAGGACAAAACAAGAGAAATGAGTAATCAGGCACTCGACCTGGCAATGCAACTGGGATGTCGACTCATCAGGTCAACAGACCCAGGAGGGCATCGCGGCAGCCTTATAGGCCCCGGACGGCCTGCGCAGGTCTCGCAAGTCATCCGGACGGGAGTGGCTGGAAGGCCTGCGGCGTGAAGGCAGCAGTGACGCTCATCCAGAATGGAGAATGTAAGGAGGTGGGTACCTTCGTACCCTACCCTACAGGCGAAGGTACGATACCAGCTAAGGTACGGTACTACACCTAGCTCAGAATGACTGACTGGGGCATCATCTGCGTGCTGCAGGCTAATGCGGAAGATGCAGTCTTGAAAGAAGGCGCAGGGAAGGACAGGGTGACAGGGTGGACAGGAAGGACAGGAAGGGCAAGGGGACACAAGCAAGACGGGAGGGACCCGGATTTGGATCTTGGTGCTGTACTGTACGACCCAACGGAGGTAAAGGCGCAGCTGGGTGGGTGACCTGGGAAGCAGGAACAGAGTAACTTCCGTCCCAACCGAGTGCAGCTTGCGCAGGTCCCATTTAGTGTAGGTGCCGGCTGCGGGTCTTGCTTCGCGGTTGCGCCAAACGACGTTGCGAAGAGAAGGAAAAGTGGAAAAGAGGGAGACCCAAGAACCGAGAGTTTGGTGGGGTCGGTTGTCATTACGGGCAGTACAGTATTTTACCCTCCGTACCCGGGCACCAGGTATTTACGCGGTAACGGCAAGGGCGACAGGGGTCAGACACTTGACCTAGCTAGACCCTTGTAGTGCCTGGCTTGGAGGAGGGCTGCGCACCACACAATGGCTCTAGAGAATGGAAACCCCCAAAGGGCCGACATGAGGAAAACGGTGTTGCGGTGGGGTGCTAACGCCGCAGTGGCCGAGGTAATGAGGTGCTGCAAGAAGGGACACGGGGCAACCTGACTGGAGAGGGACCCGGGTAGAACCTCCACCGGCGTGACTAACAAAGCAGAGGAAGTTGCCGGCCGATGGGCTCACCGAATCATGTAACGCGACCAGGCAATTGCGATCTTACACCGTTTAAGGCTGTTTCCAGAATTGGAATAGGACAAGACACTGACGTCAAGGAGGCATCTGCCTAAGATACCTTACGTGCTACACTACGTGTAAGGTAGGTGCTATGGTGTCACTTCATCACTACTCGGGTATCGTGATGCGCCGTCAGGACAGCATCTCAGGACGCGGGATGATGCGCAGGATGCGCAAGATGCCTACGGCCGCCCGTGACGTTTGAGCCCAGAGTCGACAAGATTTGACTGAGAGTCCAAGGATTGGCTTTAGCAACCCTCGAAGTTCTGGGCTAATTCTTGCAAGCACTCGCGTGCCACAGGGGCTCAATTCACGCCCGCGTCAACCGAGTATGTACGGTACATACAGACCATCTTTAAGGGCGATTTCTCCGATCGCTAAGTCATGCACACAAGATCAAAGAATACCTAGCCGCGGTGCAGTCTCCCCTGCATATGGCATTGTTTCTTCGGAGTGATACATAGCCGCTCAGAAGAGGCATCGTTCTTCGCCCAGGCAAAGACGCCGCCCAGCTGAATGGCGTTTGTCGAACTAAGTTTGGCGCTCGCAGCCCAGATGGAGGAAAAAGCCACCGGGAAACTCCATATATCACTCGTCGTGGATCGCAACGGGACTCCGGGCTCCGGCCACAGCCCAATGCCCTTACACAGTCCCGTTGGATGGAACTTGATATGCCAATGGCCAGACATGAGACCTTAGAGTCCGCACTACACCCGCAGCCTTGTTGACACGGTTAAGTTAGGTGGTGGACGGAAGCCGACTAGCTATAATTAATGTTGGCCCTTCTGTCATTTCAGTAAGGACATTTGCCGTATAATGAGGTTTCCAGGTCGGTATGTAGCGGTGTATTGAACCGGGAAACACCCCACGAACCAGCCCTGCGCTAGACTAGCCCCCACTAGGGTGTGGCTGATCGAACCCGGCACCTAGCAGGAGAAAGACCTGACGAACAGGTCTCATAGGGATGTTCTGTTGGTAGATTCGCTCTGCAAGTTCTACTCCTAACGGTGCGCCATCACCAATTGGCTAGGTCAAAAAGCGGCCGCCGGCCTGGGCCCCGAGATCCCAACTTGTGAGGTACCCCATACTTTTATGATCGTCGGCCGTTCAAAGTCGTCAGGATCGGCCAATCCCAGGCAAGTTCCGGGCGACAATTAAACACAAACCAAGATGAAACAAGGGTGTTAAAACATGGCTAAATGTTTCAACGGCAGGAGAGATCGTGATTGACGAGATTTACAACACGGTAGACTAATGTCTGTAGCTGCAACGGAGATGCGATGACAACACAAGAGCCAAAGTTGGGGAGGCGCTGTGATACCTGGTTGGCTGTAACCCCTGACACCGCGCGCAGCTGCCAAGCACTAGTGTTATGTAGTGTCAACTCCTCAAGCAGAACTAGAGACGGCGGCCTCTGCTGACAACCTGTCTGCCGGACGTCGGACGATCACGGCCGACCCACGGGATCGGGCTTGACAACCAGGAACGTCTTGGACGTCTCGGTAATCGTCATTGGGTGTCGTACGGGACTGCGGGCGACAGCCCCCGGCAGCCCGCCGAACCAGCCCGTAGCGCCGTTGCTTGGCCCTCCCGGACGACTGGCCCACCGAGATCACGGCATGGACGCAATTAGGGTCATTACTGCACAATATTGCAATATGATGTAAAACCGCCAGTCGTGCATATCCATGACCCCGAACGGCTAGAAGCAGGGCAATTCGACCTAGCTTTTACCCTCTACGGAGTATTCTGCGACAAGTCAGTTTACAGGCGTATCTCGCCCAATGGTGGCCACTGGCCAGTGCAAGCTGCAGCAAGAGGCTCCCGACGCATGCGTTGATCGCCAGTGGCACCCTCCTCGACCGACTGATTGGGACACCCTTTTCCGATCTGGAATTGGTTCCATTATGTAGACTACAAGCTACTAGCACTTAAGGTGCGTTTACGCTACCCATCTTTGGCCGCCTGCGAAGCTAACATTGAGTCCAACCACATATCCGACGACTTGCTCACCGACCTAGGACGAAAGGCGAAAAAGTCAATCGTGCGCCGCCCTGCCGAAAAGTGTCCATGACGCCGTGGTCTGCGCGTCTAGGTAGGTTAAACCTAGTACAAGCCATCAAGCCCGAGATATTTCGCCCGGTTTCGTGTGCAAACCTCGGGCTGTGTGTAACACGGCATTAGCTGAAGAACATCAGGTAGTAATAGGTAGGTAGGCTCGCGGTAGAAACCGGGGGATTGCTCCCGGTGGCCGGGGGGTGGGACTCCCGTCTGACGGGTACGCACTACGCAGCCTTCGCTCGTACACCGAGATTCGGTGACGACATCAGACGTGTTCTGAGTCTTCTGACTATGTGCTCGCCGCCCAGAGACGCACTCTGCGCCGTTGACGGCCACCTCGCGAACCGCGCCCATTACGTTTTCATCACCAAATTAGAAAGAACAGCCATATTGTAACTACTATGTACTGTTGACATCAACAGTTCAACACAAGCTGCCTCTGAGCCTTGCAGTCTGCCTCGTTTGAAGCAATCCCCACCTTTTCTGCACCTGCGCGGTGCTAGCAGAAATCCCACAGCAAAAGCTTGCGGAGAGCTGATTTCCTTGTTCAGCCATTTCTTGAATCTTGAGTCCCCCGGCTCTCCGTCGTGCCGACTTGGGCGCTGTCGGTGCCGGCCGGAATGTGGAACCGGAGGGTCAAGAGCGACCGGTGACTCGGGACGGGGCCAATCGCTTGGCCGCCCTGAGGCCCGCTAATCCCTGCTGCATGCTCGCGGCAGTCGGTCTTGGGAATTGACCAATCACAATTCGGCACGCAACGAACGAGAACTCAACACAGCCTCGCAATGGCTGACTTAAGACTTTCGACTTGGATGATTCCGTTCGTGTCGCAATCATCAGAGTCGCAATCGCAGCGAATTAAGAGTACTCGTAACTAGACTGAGCACGGAGTTGCCGTCGGAAAGAGCAGATCCCATTCTAGAAGCTACAAGCCAAGGTAAGCTAAGTGGGACGCAGGACTATGCAAGCGTATTTAAAGTACGTACATACACGTACTGCTGTAATCTCTAGCTGTTGCGTTACGGTAATTACAGAGCCCTACCACACTGTGACTCGGAGTGCACATGACGAGCACCGCAGGCAGCAATCCCTGGTCAACGGCCGTATCTTAACCGGACCTTCCTCAACCTTGATCAACTTCTACACCTTTCCTTGGACCTACAACAGCTAAGCCTCAAACCAAGCTACTCACCGACTCAGAGTCACCCGATCACAATACCCTAGGTGTCGAAGCATTCAAGCCTGTTTGTCCAAATCCAGGGAGTTGAAGCTTTTGTTGTATTACTTTTTTCTTTTCCTCTGGATTTCTCTCTGGCAATTAACATAGGTAACTGTCCCTTCGCCTGACTTGGTATCCTGCAGGCGGTGAAGAGTGGTCATTCGACACCAGCTTCACTGTCTTGGTCTTTCAGTTCTCAATCTGGTTGCGCCGAGGCTGCCCCGGATTTCCATTTCCCTAAGCTTTCTGTGTGACATTATGTCGTGGATCAATTGGGTCGAAACAAGCTTCATCGGCACCGGCCGGCCAGCCTTAGCTAAGCTAACCCTAACGTTACACCTTGGACCATGGTAAGTCACACGGTGGCTTAGCCAGATTCTACCAGCCAAAATTCTCGACCGCTGCTGTTCGTGCCGCTCGTATTGCGAAACTCCATTCTGGGCGGGCGAGGTTATGACAGTTGTTGACGACATTTTCTTTAGTTCGAGGCATTCAAGACATCAAGTCCCAGTGCCTTGCCCGAGCCCTACCCCAGGTTTCAGAACGAGCAAGCTGAGAGCTGTCGCACAAATCCCTTGATATTCAGGTTGGGGGCAAAGTGGTACTCTGGCCCCAATTTCTAACCAGCCTCCAATGTGCTTTGCTCAGCTGGGTGCCGTGTTTCAACCCCAAACCCCCAGCAGACATGGACTCTGCGCTTGCGGCGCGAAGAAAGAAGATTTCGGCAGATCGAGCTCGTCCCGGAACGCCGCCGCGGTGGCGGCACCGTGGCCCGGGAGTTGGGTGGGAGGCGTCGGTTCCTTACCTCAACACCAAATATCAGACACACCAGGCATACAATCTGCTGGATATTTTCGGAGACTAACATTGTGTAGGAGGCTGTGGACCCCACGACGTCTTTGCCTCAGAGCCTGCCTGTATCGTTGGCTAAGCTAACAATAGGGCCAACTATGTTGTGGCCCATCGCATCGACCGTCTTCGCCTTTTGGCCTATGTCACGCGAGTAGGGCTAGCATTGCAAGCATACCAACAAGTCGACTCAGTAAGCTTGAGTACTTCCTGGTCCTGGACTGAGTGGGCTCGCAGAGAACTCAACGCACTTACCGTCCAGCGCCCTTGCCTATTCCCTTTCGTTCCATTCCATAAACTCCCCCTAGGGGACGAAGACATGCTGCTATTTACGCTTTCAGACTCATGCCCCGCCGGCCGCGAGTACCAACGCAGCGTCTAGAGAAACAAGCTCAAAGGAAGTAAGCCACTCAGGGCGGGACGGCGCGAGACGGACGCTTCTCGGCTAAAGGACTCGTCTCGCTCGCTCGGCTGTTGGGGTTCTGTGGTTTGTGCCTTGTGCCTGCAGCTTCTTCTCCTCGCGCGTAGAGGCAATGCGCCCAACAAGCTCCGTAGCCTCGCGCGCAAGACAGTCCTCATCTGGAAGGCGGAGAGGACGAAGCAGTCTGACTGCCAGAGGCAAACCAAGAGAAATGTTCGACCCCTATCAGCATTTGGAAGGCACCGCCCGGAAAACACATCGGGAACCGAGAACAGTCCTCTTCGTACGTAGCCGCATCAAGGCAATTGCAAACTCACCGAAGTGCTTCTCGGTATCTTATCCATCTGACCATGGCCAGAGGTAAGGGGGCTCGCTAGGATAGAGGACCGGGCGAAGTGTAAGCCAGTGGGTCCTTCGGCAGACACCACAAGCCATGCCATTGATGGGGCAAAGCGCAACGGCCTTCTTATGCTCTTCTCTCCGCACTGTCTCCTGTTCCTCCAAAGCTTGGGGAGGCTGATGCCGAGATACCGAGCCAGAGTAAGGTAAGGCCAAGGTAAGGCCAGGGCTCAGAGTCCTTCCCCGTCCTTCTTCCTCCTCAGTTGGCTCCATGGTCACACAAGGGCCGGGGTCAGACTACCGCGTCCTCTTCCGCCCCAAGGGAAGCATTCCGCCCTCTGTTCATCAACCACCCAGCGCCACAATAGGCTTCTCCTTCTACACCCCCACCTAGGGCATTCTCACCAGATGGGTACATAGACATGAGGGGATGCTCATGGACCGGATCTCTCATTCCGGTAAAAAACAGAAAGATTCCTTCCTTGGCCACTCAGCTCCCCTTCCTCTAGGCGGGAACCAGCCACAGCAGAGCCTCCTTCAGCCCTAAAGCGCCGTTTCTCAGGACTCCCCGCTGGGGTCAAGAGCAGGTTACTACGGCGATGCGAGGCTGCCTGGGAAAAAAAGGGTCACACAAATAGACGGGAAGGGATCGAGATTACCCTTGGCTTGGCTTGTGCAACACCTAGACTCCGAGCAAACCCCCTCCCTACCTTACCCTCCTCCTTACCGGGGTGAATTTCAACGTTGTCGAGCTGTTTCCAGGTCATTGACTGAGTGTCTGTAAGGTATCGTGTGTACCTATACAGGGAGTACCTCGAAGGTTCTTTGCCCGTATCATGTATGTACATACAACACGCAGCTTTCAAACTGCCACAACGGGACGCGCTAGCCGGGAGGAAGAGAGAGATCAATAGTGAGGAAGAGATCAGTCTCGTGCAATGAAAACGGCTCATCCCAAAGCCTACTTATCAAGCGGTAAAGCCCTTCCTTAACCTCAGTAGACCCTTCCTTGATCTCCCCTGTTAGCCAGTCCTTTCTTCCCGCTGAACCAAGGAAAAAGGGGCATGCGGTGATAGATACTGAACACCCAGCAACACCCCCAGACCCATCACCGAGTATTCCCCTCTCACCGAAGACCAGGAAACCAATGAACAAACCAAAGCAAATGACGCATGATATGATACCATCATGTAATGTCATCAATGTCGTGTCGTGTAGTAGTAGTATAGTGCAGCTGTACCAGTAAAAACGGTGTATGTATGTGACGGCGGCAACAGCCAACAGCGTTGAAAGCAATCACTCGGCCTTGTTCTCCGTCCTCCGTCTTCCATCCTTCGCCTTCTGGTCCCTCCCCGTTCGTCCATCCGTCCGTCCACTTCCGCCGCCGCCGCCGCCGCAGCAGAAGAAGCACAAGGAGCCCGTCAAACAACAATAGAAACACCATCACCAACACCAACACCAACACCAGCAGTGGCCTGCGGGGCGGCAGCAGCAACACAAAAGTATAGAAAGAGTCTATGGAGTTTGGCTTCTTTTTTTAGAAAACACCAAGCCGAGCCGACAACAACCCGGCAAGACATGCCACGGGCCCACGTCCACAAGCCCCCATCGTCCTGACTGATTAACAAGTGAAACCTAGAAGCACGACACAGGACAGGAGGAGACAGGTGAGGACGGGACGTGAGAGGGACAAGGAAGGGACAACGGAGACAAGAGACTACACAACGCAACGCGCAATGCCATGCAACCAAGGGAAGGGAAGAGAAGTAAAAAAATTGAAACCAAGTACAAAAAGGCAGTTTTGGAAAAAAAGATATATGAGGTATCGTCATCCATCCATGCTGTCGCCATGAACCGAACCGAACCGAGCCCACCCAGCCCAGAGTCAGGGGACCATATAGGCATAGGCTCAAATCCGCACATCAATTGCTTTGCGCCGCACACAACTCGCGGCTCGAGCTTCGCTCAGCTCTTCCGATCATTATTTTCCGTCCCAAAAAGTCTAACCTCGGCTTTCCTGCCAAACCCCAATTCAGCGCTTGCAAATTCAAAACATTCAGAACCGACGCCGACACTGCTCATCCAAACCGTCCCTTCCTTGCATTCAGAGTCAAGACTGTCGGTCGATCCATGGCCCATAAAGGCCAAGGCCGATTCCGCCAACGCGGCGCAGCGCAGGTGTGTCCTAAGCACGCCGGCTCATAGCAGCCGTGGCGCCGGCGGCAGCAAGGTCCTGCTTCGCGCCGCCGCCGCCCACACCAGCCACGCCGCTCATGCTGCCGCTCACGCTACGAAGCGAAGCCCTAGGGAGGCTGCTGTTGGTGAGGGAGCCCGTCGCGTTGAAATTCCCGCCTGCTGATGCGGCGGCGGCGGCATTGTTGCCCGTGGTGGCGGTACCGGTGCTGGTGCGCTTGGTGCCGGAGATGCCTCCCGAGATGCTCGATGTCGTGCTGACACCCGATGTCCGCCGCGACGCTGAATAGGTAAGGCCGGGCTTCATGGAGCCCGGGTTGCTGTACCCCGAGGCATCGCGTGGGCGGATCGACACACTGGTCTTGGCAGCCGCGGGTGGCTCCGGTAGCGGCCTAGGCGCAGAGCTGAGGCTGTTGACTCGTTTGCTCGGGGACGGATCGCGGCGGGGGACGGGGACTGACGTCCTCTGGCCGGTGATGAATTCGTGTCGGATCGCTTCCTCAGGCTTCATGCGCCGGTCGGGATCCCAACGGAGGCAACGGGCAATGAAGTCCAAGAAGGCCTCATCATCGCATTTGAGCACTTGCTGCAGCGTCTTGGACGACGGACGTCTGCGCCGACCCTTTGACGAAACAGTGAGTCGCGGCTTGCCCATGCTGTCAAAGAACAGCTTCTTCCGCGTGGACTTTTCAATCAGGTGCTTTTCGGGCGGACCAAAGACTTCCATGATGCAGGCTAGCTGCTCCTGCTCGTTCTCGCCGGGGAAGATGGGCACGCCGGTGTAGAGCTCGGCGAGAATGCAGCCGAGTGACCACATGTCGATGGGCATGCCATAGGTCATGCCGAGGATGACTTCAGGGGAGCGGTAAAACCTTGATTGGATATAGGTATACACCTTTTCGTTTTCGAAACAGCTAGAGCCAAAGTCGATGACCTTGATCTCCGAGTGCAGTGGATGGCGTAGGAGGATATTTTCCGGCTTCAGGTCGCAATGGATGACTTTGTGCTGTTTCAGCAGGTTGAGAGAGCTAAGCATCTGCTTTGTGAATCTGCGAATCAGCTTGAGAGAAAAGCCCCGGAAAGCATTGGACTTGATGAATTCGTAGAGGTTCATGTCCAGGAGCTCGGTAGAGATGCACAGATGGCCGCGAAAGTAAAAGCTGTGGGTGAAGTTGACCATGCTGTGCTTGTTCTTCGGGTCCTGTATATCTTTGTTAGACCAGATGCCTTAGAATGGAGAACGGGGCTTGCTCTAGATTGCACTTACCCATTCGCGCAGTTTTTGCAGAATGTTGACTTCGACAAGAGCCTGCTGATGAAACCGCTTCTTGTTGCGGATGATCTTGACAGCAACCAGAACGCCAGTCTTGTGGTCGATGCAACGGACCACCTGCCCGAAGCTTCCTTTCCCAAGCACATCGATGATTTCGTAGCGGTATGCCAGATGATCGCCCGGTACAATGGTGTAGTCTCCTCGCTCATCGTCATAGCCGTAGTTTGGTTTATCGGACTGCACATCGCCCACAACCTTGGCCGCATTTTGTGTGCCGCAAAAGTAGACATCCTTATAATCCACAATCTCGCCCCGCTCATAGATGTTGAGCACAGCAATCCGGATGGCTTCTTGGGGGCTCACACGCTCCTTAGCAGTGGCGCGCTTCCGGAGCGCATCCAATGTCCGAGCGGCCAACTCGGTGTCCTTACGCCGAGAGCCAAGCTTCTTCATCTCCTCCTCTGCAATCAAGTCGTCCTTATCCAAATCTGCTGTCCAAACATCGTGGTGGCGCAGGGTAGCGGCCGAGGGTTTAGGCTTCAAAATCTTCTGCACAACAGACGAGCTGTAAGGAATATGCCCAGCCTGCTGCTCGGCAACTGTGTCAAGCGTTGCTTCCTTGGCTGCCCCGTTCGGGCCGTCGCCACGACCACGTTCTTGCGAAATGATGGCGTTCAGGCTCGAGGTAGAGCTCTTCCTCCTCCTGGATTCCAGGTATGTCCCTGTTCCACTAGCCTTAGGTAGAACGGGGGGGCTCGAAGTCTTTCCAATGTTGATACTGTTGAGCGTCGCCGATGCTGGGAGGCGGGGAGGGGGCATTGACTCGTGCTTGATATTGTTCTGCTCGCCGCGATCCCCCTGAGGTTGGGCGCCGCCATTCTTAGAGGCACTTCGCTTCCATGATAGACTCAGCTTCCGCCTCAGGGAGGTCATGGATGAAGGGGTTGGGGGCTCCTCCGGGCTCGAAAGTGGTGGCGGTGATTTCCCGCCAGCGGGTCGGCTGGTGGCTGGCTTTGGCGCACGGGGCCCAGAGGGCTTACTTGAATGGGCCGGCGTGTCGGGTGCAGCATCTAGTGGGAGCGTGAAGTCGCCTCCGGTCTTTGACCGCTTGAGGAACGCTGACTCCAAGTATCCTCCTCCCTTGGGCGCAGATGAGCTTAGGAAAGGAGAAGATCCCGACCTTTGGTCCCCAGGTTTTACGGCCGCGAAGGATTCGGATGAGCTCGTCGACTCTGGCAATGGTATTGGGCTTTCCCGTTTGAATCGATGTATGGAGCTGCTACTTCTTAGGTGTTGAACGTCGGTCCTATCCTCGGGTCGTGTTCTAGTGAAGAAAGTGCCTTTTGACGCTGTCATGGGCGTCGTAGGCGTCTTAGCTATCACTCTCGGAGGTGTAGGGGAGGCATTCCTCTCCGACGAGCCCTGTTCCTGGAGGGCCGCTATTTTCGCGGCTGTGGGTGTGCTCAGCGGACCCAAGGTGATCGGCGGCAACCTTAATGGCTGCAACGTCTTTCTGGATTGCGCTTCTGCAGCCTTCTTCTCCAAATCCAGTTTGGATGTATGAACCGATTTGCGATGGCTTGGTCTCCGTTGGATCTTGATGGGCGGCGCCTCACTCAGTTGGCCCCCGGACACACTTCCCGTTGAGTTGCTGTGTATGCTGCTAGCGTCGAACCCCAGATTTGATTTCCTCTTCTCCAAAAAGGCCGCCTCAGCAAGAGGATCCTTGGGCGATTCGTATGCCTTTGGTATTGCTGGGACTGGTGGCACATCCTCATCTTCATCGTGTCCAGCCGAGTTGTGGAGGCTCAAAGCCTTCGGCGCCGGCAGTTTGGAGCCAACACCCTGTGGATTACGTTGTTGGATTGAACCAGTCGATGTGCGTACCGTGGTGTTGAAGCTGGCATTCGAGGTGACCGAAAGACCCGAACTATAGGACTTCCTGTTCAAATCAGGTGTGGTACGCGAAGACGAGGGGGTTGAGATCTTGCGCGGTAGCATGGAAGGGGAGCGAGATGCTGAGCGAATATCGGCTGACAATGGCGGCGGATTTGACAGACTTTGAGCGGCACCTTGAGTCTGGTGCATCGTAGAGAGGCGCTTCATACGTTTTGCGTCTGTAGGGCTAATAGTTCTCGCGCCGAGGCCCGAGACATGGGGAACCCCTGGCATCACTGACGCGCGCTTCGCGGAGCTCGGGTTCAGGCCCTTTGCAGTAGCCCTAGGAGACCGCGGCAACGCCATTGATATGTTGCCTTGATCTGCAGCCAGAGTGCTCGTGTCTGGAGTGAGCATGGCCTGGCTGGCTCTGGGGGGCGGTTGCGCGGACCTCGCCTTTGAGCTTCGAGAACTGGCAGAAGCCCGAGTTGTATCGGTCAGAGGCCGAGATAAACCATCGATAGATGAGCGCCCGTTCCTATCCGACAAGGAAACCACGCTGGGTCTCCGTTTCCTCCCCTCATACTCTCCTCCAAGCACGACACTGTCGGCCGATCTCCTGGGCGGCTTGATGATGTTTGGGTTCGGATTGGAGACCGGGGGGTAGTGGCTCTGGCGACGTGAGCGCATGGCTGCCGGCGCGGTAGGAGCATTGGGAACCCCGGGGTTAGAGGGCGCTGTCGGCGCCGTGCCGGGCTGTCTGCCTGAAGTGCTCGGCCTCCTCAAAATCGAGCCGGTCCGGGACCGTGTCAAGGGGGGTTGTTGAGGGGGTACATGGCTGCTTGCGGCGTGCCGTGTCATGTCGGGACGCTCTACCATGTTGTTGTTGCCCGCGGCCAGGCTGCGACCCGCCAGGATAGCGCCTTGACCTGTGGGTGCGGGAAACTGGGTCAGCTTGAAGTCGGTCGAGGCCGACTCGAGGCTGCTCTGCAGATCGTCAAAGCTGACAGAGGGTAGGAAGTCTAATGATGCGGTGGCGTCGGCTACGTCGTCGGAGAGGCCATTTCTGCCGCCAAAAGAAAATAGAGAGTGGTTGTTTGAGGACGAAGCGCTAAGCATTGGGGCGTCTGTAGTGGGTCGGCGGATGGAGCCGATCTTGGTGGGACTGGCATTCAGCGATCTCCTGCATTGCAAAACAAAAAAAACACAGTTAGCCAACTCGTCGCGCAGAAGCGGCGGGTGTTGCCCCTTCGGCGGCGGGAGCTAGTGTAGTGATGGCGGGACTGCAACCGGGGAATTGGGTAACAACCTGGTGGGCGACTGGTTCTCCCTTCTCGGGCCAGCGGGGACGCGACGCTCGCCGTTCATAGGGTATCTCACGCCGCGCCGCGAAAATAGTTGTATTACAGTACAGTCGGGACCGGACCTCAATCGACAGGAATCGCTGGTTTCGGCGATGCGGCGGGGGAAGTAGAGGCCGTAGATCTAGACTGCCGCGTTGCCGAGCAAGATACTCCCACAACACAAGACTGATTTGGGAATGGAACTCCCAAACCAAAGAAGCAGTCGCTGTGCCAGGCTCAGTCCTGTCAGGAGCTGAGAGCGGTCGGAAGGCTACCTCATTCCGTTCGTGTCGCGGTGCAGCAAATCGAGCATGTCCCAAGACAGCGTGTCGACGGAAAGCAAGAGCGAGAGGAAGGAGACGGCCGCTTTGCTGGGCCTCCGATAGCAGGTCACGCTGCTTTTGGGGTGGTCGTGGAAGGTGTTGCAGGCAGGTGGGTGTTTTCGATGGGCCGGCAGAGATCCATGGCTTTTGGTGGCAGGTGGTGGCAGGCTCTCCCAGTGACAGTCCAGGCTTAGCTGTGGTGGGTCAAATTCAGGGATCCTGCACTCACGGTGGGACGCGACAGGTGCACACACTGAGCTGCATTTTTTCTTTTCACTGGGCAACAGGCCTAACCCCAGCCGTTGCCGGTGCGTGCGTTCAGGGGTTGGGTTGCTGTGTGGGGACGAGGAAAAGGGGACCGCACCAAGATGGATCTTCTTCCGTCATTTTTCTCGTTTCTTTTTATTTATTCTGCTGCCCCCTATTATACATACGAGGCTATTTCGTACGGCATGCAACAACGCATCTACGAATACTAATAGTGTCATAGGTCTTCGTTGAATCGATATCAGAAGAGCGAAATCGGAATCCAAGACGATATGCGTATCCATTCAGCTCATCTCATCTCTCCCCAATCTAGGGACATGCAGCAAACAAAGTCGAATCGCCCTGCATCGCCAGGATCCGAGGGAGCCAAGGTAAAAGTTGTCCAAGGAGCAGTACGTTAAGGGGCATAAGGCAAAACCACGCCAACTCATCAGGCCACGCAGCTCTGCAATTGCCCTTCGACGCAGGACTCGGCCGGATTCCGACATGCAATGGCTGCGCTGAGCACATACATAGGTAGTGCTGCCTCGCGTCCATTCAGAGACCAGCTCGAGCTGCTAAGACGATGACTATTTGAGAGGTCCAGTGCGATGGCAGGCTTTGCTTTTGCGCGGCAAATTTCGCAAACAAGGTGGCCCTGTTGTTGACGCGAAGCGGCCACAAGCAGCGCAGCAGGTATAATCAAGGCCTTTTAAGATGCTTTTGAAACATATGGCATTGTCATCCCTCGTGGTCGAGGGCGATTAGTAGAGCCGAAGGGAGTCGTCCCGGCCGCTCCGTTATTAACATCTAACATAACATAACGTTAACAGGTTGAGGCGCCAATGTTATTGTTTGCTTAACTGGTCTAATAAGACGGTTTGGGGATCTTCCTTAGCAACGTACACTACCTTACTCTTATTAGCTGTTGTCAAAACCACCACAGGCGGCAAAGCTCGTCAACATGCGGATCAGAAGCGCTTCTAGGTAGGGAGAGAGGGAGAATCGTGCCGAGATAGGTAAATACGTAGTTTCATTGAGGAAACAATGGCATGTCAATTTCCGACTCTGCCCCTACCCCTTGATCGTCCATGCCGGCAGCCGATGGACGGTAATTACCATCCAGGAAGCAGAAGAAGTTTTATTAGTCCAATGTTTGGACGCCCCATGCATATCATCTGCAACTCATGTCGCCCTGAACTCTCAGTTCATCGTGGTGGCATTTGGTATGTGGTTGGAAGGCCACAAGCTGTAGAGCAAGAGAGCGTGCCGCCTTCACCAAGGTATCTAATCAACCTGTTCTTTACGGACCTCTTGATGGTATATATTGTAACCACAGTGCAAGACGGAATAGTCTGTACTTAAAGTTACATACTGTAGGTGTGTTCGTTGCAGGAGCAGCAGGCCGCCTGCAAGGTCCCGAGCCCAAGGGGACGGATAAGTATCTGAAGATGTTTCAAACTCAACGCCCAGCGATGCAATCTTCTCAGATGGTTTTAGTACTAGTAGACTCGTAGGTATGGAGCTTCTATCAACAGACTCAGTCGGTACCTTACTGTACCAAATTCCCAAAGGCACTGCACTGCACTGTCTCTCATCCACCAAGATCCTGCCTCACCCAAGCTTGCATTTTACGAGACCATTCCAATCAAGGGTGTATATGGCTTACATGATTCCTGCAAAGCGTAGAGCATAGATTGGAGAAAAAACATCGGAATCTGTTATTGTTCAGCCAGCTCGAAGAGATGCTGTTTCTGAGCCTCAGTTGAGGGACGAGTCGGATAAAACTGGTACTGTTTGGAGGTCAGGGCCCGCACTGTGCTGAGTGTCGTGGGCTGGGATGGTTCAGTTGGTCCCACAGGCCCTGCATCACATGTGAAGGTTGGGTGTGCCCGAGTGGGCTTTCGTCATCCAAACCAAACTTGATAGCAAGGGCGATATGATGGACAGATTGATCCCGCCATCGATCAGGACCCTGATGATTGAAACCCTTGGATTCCAGAGGCTACTACTCATCATCAGTACAACATAATCATCACTTTATTTTGATCATCACGGCCATCTGAAAACTTGGCCTATGACCCAAGTCACCCAACGCTGACATGTTGGTCGGGACACGGTCACCATCGTAGGTCGCCACTTGAGAAATTGTCCATACTCGGTTCTTTCGAGTTAGACTGCAATGGAAGAATTCACGTCCGACCTCCTCGACGTCGTCGACGAGGCCATCCTTCCCGAAGCCGATGGCGGCGACGATGGAGCCCAGCAGGAACACGGCACCAATCCGGCCAGGAAGGCCAGAAGCATACGCAACGGCATCTTCCGTGCTGCAAACCTACAGGACAAACTCTTGGAAAGGTACGAGTCTCGTCTCCTAGTTTGAAGTCTAGCTCAGTGTGCTGAACTGCCTCTTAGGCTCCTAGCGCAAGTGCTACCCGCCGGTGATGGCCTCGGCCAGATGCCTGGCCTCGCCTCAGATGAGGTGCCCGCCTTTGCCGAGCGGCCGGGATTCTCTGTAGCACTCATGTCCAGCAACTTCAGGAGATTCAACGCCCGAATCGGCGTCGTCTTCAAGTTCCAGGCCCGCGTGCTCCGCCTGCTGTCATGGCGGCGGCCTACCCACACCCTCTCACTGTTGGCAGTCTACACCTTTGTCTGCCTCGACCCTTACCTCCTCCTTGCCCTGCCACTTGCCATTGCCCTCTTCGGCATCCTGGTACCCTCCTTCGTCGCACGGCACCCGGCTCCGTCATCCGACTCGGACCGCGTCCGCAACCTGGGCTACTCCCCGCGCGGCCCGCCACTCGCGCCAGCCCGGACTGTGAAGCCGGCGAAGGAGCTATCGCGCGATTTCTTCCGCAACCTGGGCGACCTGCAAAATGTCATGGAAGATTTCAGCGTCGCCCACGACAAGATCGTCACGCTTGTGCTCCCCAAAACCAACTTCTCGGACGAAGCCCTTTCCTCGGCGCTCTTCACCGTCCTCTTCGCCGCCTGCGCTGCCATGATGGTCGGCGCACACCTGCTCCCTCTGCGCGCCATTGCCCTTGTCGGCGGCTGGGCAGCTATCTGGTCGGGCCACCCCACCGTCGCTCGCTGGATCCATCAGGCCAGGCGCCAGTACATGGAACGGGAGCCCTCCCCCTCCACCAGCACCGCCTTCCCACAACCCCATAAACCCTGGAACCCCATCACGGCCTTCAACACCTGGGTCCGCTCCGACATACTCCTAGACGACCCCCCCGAGACGCGCGAGGTCGAGATTTTCGAGCTGCAGCGGCTGAGCGCGACGAGCGGCGAGTGGGAGGCATGGCTGTTCAGTCCCTCGCCCTACGACCCGCTTTCGGCGGCGCGGCTGGCCGGCGAGCGGCCGCGAGGCACCCGTTTCTTCGAGGACGTGTTACCCCCCGAAGGGTGGGAGTGGAGCGAAAAGAAGTGGGCGCTCGACCTCTGGAGCCGCGAGTGGGTCGAGGAGCGCATCATCACGGGTGTCGAGGTCGAGACCGAGGGCGAGAGGTGGGTTTATGATATGTGGAGTGCCAGCGGTGAACGGGAAGGGGGAGCAGCGAATGGAGGCGGGGATGAGCCGGTTCGTAATGCTTCGCAGCACCACAAAGCAGCTGGAGGGGCTGGGAGGGTTAGTTGGGAGGAGGGCGAAGAGGGGATGGGCAGGAGAGGGGAGTGGCGGCGGAGGAGGTGGGTGAGGCTGGTCAAGCGGAAGAACGTCACCGCGAATGGGTCATGAGCAAGTTGGATAAAGCGGTCGATTTCAGGCGTTTTGGCGTGTTGGTGCGGCTCATCCATCGTTTGCATATATTTGGAGTTTGCTGCAAACATGCAGGTTGTACATACATACAATACATGCGCTTTGGCTGCAGACTGCCGGCGCTTGCTCTGACGCAGGTACCCTGCAATAGTTTCGCTTTCGAAACGGGACAAACAACCCTACGCTGCTAGCATCAGAATGATTACAACGAGTCGGGCACAGCAGATGGCTCTGCTAGCGATCTGTAAGGCAGTAATGTAGGCAATCCCATGTTGCCTACTATTCCACCCCCGTCTTATACCTGTCATCCCCTACCCCCTGTTATACCTGCCATCTCTCTGTATTCCCTACAACATGGTATCTCCGACTTCATGTAGGCCTGGAAATCCAGAAATTGAGACCAGGTCCCATCCCGCCAAGCCAAGGAAAACGCCAAGCCTTAAAGAGAAGTGAAGGGCGAAAATGCGAGTATGTTTTCATGAAGGTACATATGGTGGTCTGATAATGGAGACACACAGGGGACCTGCCCGGCAGCTCTTCACGCATTCACCCTTTCAATCCTTGACTTCCATCCGGTCCAGAATCTTGTGCACCCCCTGCGCCCGGCCCCTGCCCTCGTCAATCTCGTCGGCCATGCGGCGGGCGCGCTCAATCAGGACGGCCAGCACGCGGCGCGTGTAGTCGAAGCTGCCCGTGCTCTCCATGTAGGCGACGGCGTAGCGCTTGACCTCCTCGTCGCTCGTCTTTTGGCGGAGTATGTTGAGCAGCTGCATGTTGGACGGGTTGGAGCGGATGCTGTGGATGACGGGGAAGCTGAACTTGCCCTCGGTCAGGTCCTCGCACATGCCCTTGTTGGCCGTGTACTGGGCGCTAAACAGGTTCTTGTAGTCGTCGGCGATCTGGTAGATGAGCCCAATGACGTTGACGAGCGGCACGCAGTCCACCAGGCTGCGCGACTCGGCCTGCATCAGCTTGATGCCCAGCCGGAAGAGCCCGCCCGTCTTGTTGCCCACCATCTCGAGGTAGTCGTCCTCGGTCGGGCACGTCAGCGTGTCGCGCCAAAACAGGTCCATGCCCTGCCCCCGGTGCAGGTTGAGCAGCTCCTCGGCGAAGATGCTGACGGCCTTGGGGTTTTTGAGCTTCTGCAGCTCCTGCAGAGCGCAAAAGTAGATGTAGTTGGAGCTGTTGATGGTTTGGGGGATGCCGAATATCGAGTGGGCCACGGGCAGGCCCCGGCGCAGCTGGCTGCTGTCCTCGACGTCGTCCACCAAAAGCGAGGCCGTGTGGAGCATGCTGACCACCTTGGTAATCACCTCGAGGCTCTCCGAAGGCACTTCGAGCCAGGCGTCAAACGCCTTGACTAGCGCCGACCGAAAGTCCTTGCCTGGGTGTCCATTGAGGTAGTCAAACGGCCCCGTGAGCACCTTGTCTTTCTCGGCGGACCACGTCCGTTTCGAGTTGATGAAAAAGTCCTCTGTCGCGTAGCGGTTGGGGTCGGGCGGAGGTTGCGGTGGAGAAGCCATGGCTGGCGAGAACCAGGTGCCCGTCACACCGACCGAGTTGACAGATGCTTTGCGACTTCGATTGCGAGAGTGACTCGGGCTGGTCTTGCGATTACTCGGTGCAGAAGCAGGTTCGGGGGGCCAGTCACTCTCTGGGACGCCGCGAAGAGGTGCTTTTGAGGGAATGGGCGGGGCTGTCACTACCGAGTAGGTCGACGAGGTGCGCGGTGGGATCGCCGCCGGCGAGAAGGGGTCGCGGTTGGGGGCGGTGGATGTCGTGGAGGAAGTCGGGAGAGCAGCCATTGCGGGAGGTTGGTTGTGGGCAGGCCGTCTAATTAATAGGATGGAGCATCAGGCTCGGTCTGGAAGGCAGCCGCCGGCTCGAATCTTGCAAGGTTCCTCCCAACCCGACGGTACCTGCCTAGCTCAGGAAGGTAAGGTAGCAGGCAGTTCGTAGCACAGCGGGGCTTCGGATCTGATGTTGACGCAACTGATCACATGCGATCGTAGGCAAAGTCCTGCGAATCTCCTAGGCAGTTAGTTAACCTTGCCCTGTAGGCACAACAAACGAATCCAGCCATGTCGCAGCCATATTTTCTGGCACGCCGCAATCCAGCATCGCTTAAATTGGTCGGTTGGATGGCTGAGCGGACGATTTCCTTGGAGCAAGCTCCTCAGTAATTGTGTAGGACTCCTCCTCGGAGAGACGGCGGGGACGTGAGGCAACAATAACCTGGAAGTGCGGGGCTAAGCACCGCAAAGGTGGCTCGTCGCACTCGGCTATGTCGAGCAGCATTTGCGTTTCCGGGTTTAAGAGAAAAAAATTATCTTATTTCACTTACTTTATCGGATCACTTTGCACAACAAAGCTTGCGTTGAGAATAGCAAGTTGATTGAATTGCTGGTTGTTAGGATCGAATCGCCCAACATGCCAGTTCGCTGACAGTTTCTGAGTGGAGTTCAGGGTTTCGCAATGCATGAGAGCTAGAAGGCCAGGACCTCACAAGTGTTTGCTTCCTTTGGCCTCAAATATGATTTTCAGGTGCTTTGCTCTGTCAGGCTCTAAAATGCAGACCCAAGGTTCTCTTGACACAGAAGCGCTTTGACAGGTCTCCTAAGCACCAGGTTGAAGCACCAAGGAAGATCAACCTATGACCCCCATGCAACCCCTGATACAGTAGCACAACACCTGAGGTTGCGATTCGGCAAAGTATAACGATGTGCTGCTACTGAAGACGAGGGTATTTTGATCCATGCGCATTACTATATAAGAAGCTTGAGAATTGGAGCCATTGACAAGAGCACGGTACTGAATGTACCTGGGCTCGAGCTGGGATACCACTGGGGGATTGTTTGGCGGGATTATATGCCCGACAGGAGGGGCCAGTCCGGAATCGCTCCGTATCAGGAGAGGCGGCCATAGGTTGAAGGCGGATAGAAGATCCCCAATGAACGGGCATAGCATTTCGGCCACACACAAAACCACTCCCCTGGGACAGTTGGAGCTGTCCCGGCCTCACCACTCGACGCGCCAGCCGGGTCTAGGAATCTTGAAATTAAGGCTACAACAGTCGTACTGACTCCGCTGCCCCTCTCACGTCCCTAACATGAATACCTTAGGAGGATCCCTACTGTAGAGTATTGACCGGTGGTAGCAATGCTGGTTCTGTAGTTGCAACCTCTCACTTTCATGCATCCGTCGAGCCTGGGTTTCATTGAGCTTCTTATGTGTGAGATAGGTTGAGAACGAGGCCTGAACTCCACTTCCAGGTCTGGGTTGAGTGGGCTCAGGACCCTTGCACGGCATTTGGATTTCCCAGGACCCCACTTGCCCCACATCTCACTTATCGTTATCGGCGATCTTATCGTTCAGGGTCCTTCTCTTATCGGGTGGTTGCTGTGGCACCCACCCAAAGTCGCAAAGCGCAAACCGCCAATCTGGATGAAGCTTTGGGCTGAAGAGATGCGTCCGAACAGCCGGAATTTTCGATCAGCGGTGGTCCGTCGAAAACAGCACGCCAGTGATACCCGTCCATATTGGATTGCACATTGATCAGTATTGGCTTGAATTCCTTTTTGCTGCCTTTTTGCATAGAGTGTTATTGTTTTCTAGACACTCAAACAAGCTAAAATTCTCGGCATCGCATCATTCCTGTGCGAACTCCGTTTCGTCGTCGACAACCATCGTCCCCCCGACGCAATTGACGCTGGGTCCGCTTTATTTTGATTGTTTATTGGGATATTTGTTTGGCTTCAGATGCCCTACATCAGAGACCACCGAGATCGAGGCATCTAGAACGACACCAGAAGCACCTGAGGCGTGTTGCTGAACCGGCCGTACTGCAACCGATCACACGACATCGCATTGCGATACGACGCATTCCAGATCCCCAACAATGGAATCGCTTCTATCTCTCGCCTTTGACAATCTCTCGTCATTCGAGGCCCCCAGAATCAAGAAAGGCCTCAAACAAGTAGAAGGCCTGCTCGCGCAAATCTGCCTATCCGGCCCCAGCAGCCCGAGGAAACAAAGCGCAGCCGAGGCCGCGAGGGACAAGGAACAACACAAGGGGCTGGCTGATCTGGCGGGCGACCCAGCCTTCCGCGAGTTCTTCAAGCTGCAGGAGGGCTTCGAGTGGAACATTGCGCAGCGCCTGCTGACGACGCTGGACTGGTTGCTGGCGCGCGGCGGCAACGGCGCCTACGACCTGCTCATCGTCCACTGTCTCGACCTGATCCAGGGCGTCCTGTTGCTGCATCCGCCAAGCAAGGCGCTCTTCTCGCGGAGCGCAAACATGAACGTACGTAAAGCCGCCCTACTCCAAACGTACCCAAAAAACACCACCCATCCAACCCCTTACTAACGGGAAAAAAAATAACATCTTTCCAGCTCCTCCTCGACCTCCTCGAACCATTGAACTGCCCCGCGATCCAATCAGCCTCGGTCATCACGCTCGTCGTCGCCCTGCTCGACATGCCCCAGAACATGCGCGTCTTTGAGCAGCTCGACGGCCTGCTCACCGTCACCTCGGCCTTCAAGTCGCGCGAGACGGGCCGCGACGTCAAGTTCCGCATCACCGAGTTCCTCTACTTCTACCTCACCCCCGAAACCCCCTCGATCCCCCGCGCCGACGCCCACGTGAACGCCGCTGCCGGCCCGGGCTTGCTCCAGCGCAGCCCTAGTAAGCTGGCCAAAATCTTTGGTGGTGGTGGGGCGGCCCCTAGTTCTCCCGGTAAAGGGCAAAGAGGGGATGGGGATGTGACGCGGTCGGTCGAGGCGAAGAAGGAGCTTCTGGATCGGTACCTGCCCGGTGTGGTGGATGAGTTGTTGAAGGATTTGCATACTTACAAGCCGTTTGGCGGGATTCTGAGTTGAGCATGCTGCTCTGCGAACGGTGGGAGGGTCGTTGACCTCCTCGGCTTTGACGAGTATGCCAGGGGTTGTTTCTTCTGTTCTAATATTTTCCGCTCTGTCGGCAGCATCTAGCTCTGGCGGGAGCTGTTTCTTTCGTTGCATTCGGTATTTCAAAACGGAGGGGGAGTAGATGTCTGGTTTGCGCACCATGTATGACACGTCCGCATTTGCTGGGTTGTTTGGCGCGGAAAGGGTTCGTTTATGGTCGCTATCCCACTCTGGGTTGGGTCTTCTTTTTTGTCTTTCTGCGCATAGAACGCATGGCGTTCCAAGCATGGTGCTTTGTCTGTACAATTACCTAGATATCATCCTTCTATCCCTGGGCAGCCAGGGGCACTTCATAGCATGTCAATCATCAAAGCTACGATAGTAACTGAGACTTGCTGTTTACCTCCTGTGTGAGATATCAGGGAGGGGAAAACGCCGAAGAGGAAAGTCGGCTCAACATAAGCCGCGTACTGTTGCCGATGTCATTTGCCCATCATTGTTCCCATCCAGCAAGTAGCCTCTACCCAGGAAACCCGCTAACTCTCGTCATCATGTTTTCATGACCCGTATACCAATTCCTTGAAACAGACCATTGGCCTTGATGCAAGTTCACGAACAGTAAACCGAAATCCTGACCCTACTCAGGGTAACTTATTGCATATACGGTCCTCCTCAAAGGGGCTCGGCACACTGGTCAAGGTGAAGGAGAAGATAGGTACAGCGAAGGACTGGGGTCAGACCCGTACAACTCATACCGTTCATTCCCAGCGTCTCTAGAGTGCAGGTCGCTGATAGCTGCGCCGCTCGTCGACGTAGCCGGCGCCCTTGCCATTTCAGGCCGCCCGGCCATGCGCGAGTCGATCTCCACGGGGACTGCAATATCGTCCGGCTCAAGCGGCTGGACGGGGACGCCGCCCCGTTCCCGCTCTAACCCGGGCGTGGTCATGGGCGAAGTGGTATGAGTTTCCGAGTAAGGTCCAATGGCCGGTTCCGGGCCGAAATAGTCCTGCGTTCCGCCACCCGCTACACGACCCCCGCTGCGTGACAGCATGTCAGACCCGTCCTCAGTCATCTCCCGCCCACCTCCTCCTCCCCCTCCTCCTACCACGCGTCCAATGACACCAGTCGGCCGCGGCCGGTGCGAGCTGCTGCCGCCTTCGCTCCGCCTCTCCCTCCGGCGCCGCACAAACCACCACGTCAGCGCCCCAAAGATGAGCCCACACCCGACCACCACGCCGACCGCAATTCCGCCCTTGGCGCCCGGGCTGAGCCCGTTGTCTCCGCTGATTACCCCGACGCCGCTACCGGTCGGCGCGTGAGTGATGTCGGCACAGTGGGGCTGGTCGTCGACAAGCGTGCAGCTCTGCGTGGTGGCGCAGCAGCCGCCGCGGAGGCTCGCCGGGCAGGAGATCTGGCCAGTCGTGCAGCCCGCCGGGGCCGGGGTGCGCAGAGGCGAGGGGCTCGAGGTGACCGGGGAGAGGCATTGGCCGCCGGTTCCGCAGCTCTCGCCCCAGGAACAGCAGCCGCCGCCGAGATCCTGGGGGCAGCGGAACAGGGCCGGGTTGGTGCACCCACGTGCGCAGCATTCGTGGACGATGGAGGTTGTCGTGATGCCGCCGCCGGTTATGGTTGTGGTGCTGCTGCATTCGTACCGCGACGTGCCGCAGGGGGAGCCGCAGTCTGAACCGAGGAAGCAACATGCTCCGCGGGTTGAATCGCCTGGATCGACGATGCAGCTGTTTCATACCGCAAGTTAAAGCCTGCGGTGATAGGAGGGTTTGTTTGAAGCGTGCAAAAGACGTGAGGTAGGACGCACTATTGATCATTCGGACAGCAAATACCAGCGCCAGGTTGTCCGATTTCATCGCCTGATCATACGAGTCCAAGTCAGTAATCTCCTCGTATATTGTTTCATGTCTTCGGACCACTCACACGGATGAGAGTTCGCGTCTTCGCAGAAACTGGCACCTTGTCGTTTCCAGAGCGGCCGCCCCGGGGAAATGGGGTAATACCGCGGCGATAAGACACCGCCGGTCTCGACCGCTACGAAGCGCTCATGGGCGAATCCGAAGACATTGGCAACCAGCCAGAAGGCCGCAAGACTCCGGAGGTAGGCGGCCATGATCGGTGCAGCCGCTTTCACATTAACGGCAGGGCCACACGATGCCGGTGATGGCAGCTCAGCCTGGCAGATCACGGTCAGAAAAACCGGCAAGGGCACCGCTGGGCGGGGATTGCGACCTCAGGAAGCCTCAATCAATTAGGTATGAACGAGAAGCATCTTGTGAGAGAACATCACGAAAGGCTGTCCAATTGTAGTCAGCTTGCTTCCTGGAATTCACCGAGCCAACCGTTGACCTTCCACATCCTGCCCAAAAATCCTTAAGTACTCCGTACTGTAGGGGAACTGACAGGCCAGATCGCCGCCGGGGTCTTATGCAGGCCGCCCGCTCTTGGTACCCCACCATCGCAACCCTGATCGGGGGAAATATGAGGTCTCAGTCAGTCACCACGGCCCGGAATTGGACCAATCGAACGATAGTTGGAGGAGAAGTTGGCGCGAATCTTTGCCCGATTGGAGGACGTGCCGTGCAAATGCTGCTGAGGAGGGCCAACAGCCACAGTAACTTCCACAAGACAGAGACCGAAGGGCGATTTCGCTGTGGTCGAGGATTCCCGCTCTATTACGGATACTTGGAAAAAACAAACGTCTTTCTCTCCGTCTTAAAAAGCTTTTGGAATTGGAACACTATATGGTAGGAGTTGAACACGAATTAGAGATGAGGGAGCGAAGGCTCACTTGGGGTACTGTTTGCGTTGTTTGATTCGTTAGGCAATTGCGTAACCCTAACGTTACACCAGGTATAATGGTAGTGTACTAGATCGTAAGAGCCCGCGTAGCGGGCTCTTCGATCTGGGCCCCGCTTCGCGGGCCATTGGCACCAATCGCCAATCACCACCATTACCATCCTTACAACCCACCTTTCTTCCTCCTTACTACCTACCTACCTACTTTCCTTCCTCTATACAACGTACCTTTCTTCCTTCAACTAAAAAGCTACGGCTTCCGGGCTCCCAACTCCTTACGGCTCCGCTCCAGTCCTTCCTACCGCTCCCGGGCTTCCAACCGCTCCTGGGCTTCCGACCGCTCCTTCCAGCTCCCGGGCTCCTTCCAGCTCCTGGGCTCCCTACGACTTCCGGGCTCCCTACGACTTCCGGGCTCCC